ATGAAAGTCGCATCAAAATGGAAATGTTAGATTACAGTTCACATGACGTTTATGGAAAAATTTGTGGATGTGGAGCCTTCTTTCACATGGGGTGAGACATGGAGTTTCGTGTAAGAAATCCGTGACATATTGTTGGCTGAGTCCTCAAACAGTTCTTTGTTGTAAGCCATACATTACAGACCCACTATTCCACTGAAGAAAGAAAAAAATAGTATCAAAACTATTGTTTTTGTTGTTGTCTACTATGTTTCGATGTGGATGGAGTTCATGAAATTCATCAATCATATGCTCACACCGACTGTTGGCGGAGACATGGAAATGGACCCAAACCACGTGTATATGTTCCTTTGCCTATCTAAGGAAAAGAAAGAGATTGAACGATGAAGTTCCATAAGGGCAACTCCACTGCTGCAAGGTTAATTCTGATCACCTCGTATTATTTTAAATTTGAAATACCACTTAATTAAAGAAAGAGATGCAAATATCTACTCTATTACGTTTTGAAAAATAAATGAATTGGAGAAACTAAATTTATGTCATTAATTATCATTTTAAAAAAATGATTTGTCAACTGCATTACTGCATATCGAATTTTCTCCATAAAATATTTGCCTAACCAATTGATTTGAGAAGTTATATGGTGCTATTTGGTAATTATGAATAAAGTGCTAGAAATGAAAATGCAAGAATCGAAATGAAAATTAAAAAATCGAAATGGTATTTATATTTTCATACTATATTTAGAATACTAATAAGGAATCGAATGCAATTTAAATTTTTTAATATCTGATTTTTTATATAAATAAAAATAATGATTAAAAAAATAATTTTATTAAACTATAATGATTGTAAAAATAATAAAGGTGATTATGGTGATTATAGTTATAACAATGGTGGCTCTAGTAGCGATGATGGTGGCGATAGTGATGGCGGTGATAATAGTGGTGGTCGTGATGGTTGCGGTAGTGGTGATGGTGCTTGTGGTTGCGATGATGATAGTAGTATTAGTGGTGGTGATAGTGGTTGCGGTAGTGGACGGTGGTGGTGGTATTCAAAGTAGTTAATAGATAATAATAAATAAAATATATTATTATCTTGAAAAAAAAATCATTTTCATTCCTTAAGATAAGAGAATGAAGTTATATGTAAATTTTCATTTTCATTTTCATTCTTCATTCTCGTTCCACTTCATTCATTTTAACCAAACAACTACAATGTGAGAATAAAATTTGTATTCTCGTTCCCACCACTCTATTCTTGATTACCAAACAACATCTATGTATAACGAATAATATTTCGTCATAGAAAAGAGATAAATACAAAAAAAAACTAGGTTTTGGTGAAAATATATTTATCATTTTTTATGGCTCATGAAGTAATTTTTTTCTTTTTTAATTAAAAAATAACTATTTTTTAAGCATTTTAAAATTTCTCAAAAAATAAAAAGTGGATAAAAAATAAAAAAATTATAATTTAAGTGGCTTTGTGATTAATTAGTAAATAAAATTAAGTTTAGGTGGAAATATATTTATCATTTTTTATGGCTCATGATAATTCTTTTTTATTTGTACGTTAAAATAAACCCACAAAATAAGTATTAATAGTTGTTTTTTAGTATTTAAAAATTTCTCAATTGATCGAAAGTGATGAAAAAATAAAAAATTATAATTTAAGTGGCTTCGTGATTAATTGGTCAATAAAATTCAAATTTCAAATCGGATGATTAAGGCTCCGTTTGTTTGGGAGAAAACAAGTTCCATAGGAAAATCAATTCCCGAGGAAGCTATTTTCATGGAAATTATTTTTCAAGAAAATATTTTCTCGCTGTTTGAAAATTATATGAAAAAGCTACTTGGAAAATATATGCCAACGTTTGTTTGATACGAGAAAATTAAAATACAAAAACTTACGTGATTGTTATATCAACAAGTTTTAAGAAAATTTTAAAAAAACATTCATAATTTCATAATATAAGATACATTTAGAAAAATTTAATAAATTTTCATCCATACTAACTCTAAAATTTTAATTCAAAAAATAAAATGTATTTTTTTAACAATCAAACCAAATCATCAAAATTACTTAGGACAAAATTAAGTCAACATTCATATTTGGTAAAAAAAAAAATTCTAAGTAATCTTAGCATTATTATTTTAGCAACTCAATTAAGAATTTTTTTTTTTAAGAAATTGAACTGATAATTTAGTCTAAAAAATAATTTGATAAATTATTTGTTATCATCTATAGATAATTATTTATTTGATCTCAAAAGATTAATATTGGAATAATTTGTAACTAATTATTCATTACAATTACCAACAAAATTTTACAATTGATTAAAATTATAAATTATTGATTTAATTGCAAATGAATAGTGTTGAAAAAATAATGTATTTATCGATGAATTAATTAATTTTAATTTCTTTTTACAAAAAAATATAGTCTTGTAATAATCATTTTCAATCATTTAACTATATCTTAGGTAGTGATTGAGACAATAGTAAAAAAAAAGAGATAAGTTATTGAAATATTTATTATAAAAATAATTTTAAGGTGTAAAAATGGTTTTTAAAAATATTTAATGTATCTATAAATCAAAAAATCAAATATTAGTAAAGATAGAAAAAAATAATTAAATAATTAATAATACTTGATAAGAAATAATTAAAAATTAATATGATATATTTTAAATAAAAAGAAGATAGAGAAAAAAAAATTTTAAAATATATCGAGAGAGAGTTATGTAATGAGAGAGCGAGACAGACTTGTGAGAAGGAAAATATTTTTCTCTTTTGAAACCGATAAAACATTTTATCAAAATTATTTTATCATTTTTTGTTGATTGAAAATTATTTTTCATTGACTTTTTTCTAAATATGAAATAAACACTGAAAAATAGAAAAAACAAGTTTTAGGAACTTATTTTCCGTCCAATAAACACAGCCTAAAGGAAAACTGTTGTAAAAACTTGGGATAAAAGCATGACATAGAAGTTGGTATGTTATGACATCAGCGAGGATAAAAAGAAAACGGCCAAACACAAGAAGTGGAGAAACGACCAGCAGGGATGAAGAATCTTCTTTGCTTAGCTTCTTGCTTTGTTGGATTGTGTTCCTATTTGTTCCTTGCTTTCGTCAGGTTCTCAGTGTCCCTTTGGATCTTTGATTTGTCACCATTTAGATGAGTAAATTATAAATTAGTTACTTAAAAAATAAATTAATTAGTTTTTCTTGTTTTAAAAACTAATTATTTATTATTTTAATATGTATTAGCTTCACTTAATTCAATTTGGTTTATTTTAAAATATTTTATTTTTTCATCAATATTTTTATAATATCTATTTTTCAAGGAAATAACATAAAATAGACAATAATAATAACAATAATAATAATAATAAATAATTAGATTTTAAAACGCGAGGGACTGATTTATAATTTACTCTCGTTTAGATTCCAGACGAAGAGTTCCCATTTCATGGAGAACATTTATCATCGAACCTTCCTCGTACAACATCACCGGCCGTAGGAACCACATACTCAAATCTTAACGTCTCAAAGTCAAATCAACTAAATGCATCTTCCTATTTTCCAATGCCAGGTGGTTTCTCCTCATAGTTTGCTTTGGGTCAGTACTTTATAAGGTTACCTAAAATTTCTCCAAGGAAGAAGGGACAGTATCCGAAACGTCGCCGTGACATGCGCTAGATTTTGGAAAAAGTCATTGCTCGCTTTCGGCTCTGGATTCTGGAGTCGTGGTGGGGCAAACTGAATTACTTGAAACCGTTCAACTAACCAAAACATATAAAAATGGTAAATTGGTACTGCCTATGTATATGCCCGTCAACAAAATCTAAAAGTATGTCATTAATCTCGTGAATCCCTATCTAATAATTTACCGAGATGAAAGCGGAAAAAAAAAATTAATAAGGCAATCTATCGGTTTCTGACAGCCAATAGACCACTTGAGTACCGAGGCATTCATTTCGAATTTCAAAAATACTTTTTTTTTAAATAATAAAGACTTCTATTAAAAGAAAAAAATATTTGAGATGTTGGAGAAATTCTATGATACCGAAATCGATACTGACAATTTTTAACGTATAATTTTGGAATTTTTCACCATCGATAAACCATTTGATTTGAATTTAGCATATTTTTTTATATTATTTTATAAATATTCAATAGTATGAAATTTTTTATCTTACTCTAAAAATACTTAATAATACTTATTCATACAAAAAAGGTAAATAAAAAAAAGAGAAAAATAATTAAAAAATAATATAAATAAAAATTGGAGGATCGGAAATGACAACAGATGCCTTCCAGCATTTCCAAAAACAATATCAAATTATTCATCATCAGTTACCTTTTTTAACCATCAACCATCGTCGTTTATTATCTGAGTAAATTATAAATTAGTTCTTTAATTTTGAAAAATAAAAATTAATTATTTTTTATTTCAAAAATTAATTACTTAGTTCACATTTTTTTAAATCTTTTTGTAACTTTATTTTTTTATTTTTTTTATTTTTTCAGAGATAAAAAAAAGAAGAAAGATTAATGTGAAAAAATATCATTTGAAAATAAAATAATATTAAATTAAATATAATCAACAATGATCGAAGGGTTAAATAATTAATTTAAAAAAATTAATTAATTTGTTTCTAAAAAATAAAAGGAATAATTTATAATTTACTCTTCATTATCTCTTTGTGCTAACTATTTTTTTTTTAAAAAAAACTTTATTTTGTGCGTTATGGCCTTTTACAGTCCCCATAAGGAAATGTGTAAAAGTAGTGGGCATCAAGGCATTGTCCCCCATCTTTATTTTTGGAATCCTGTTACAGAAAAAGTGACGTTTTTATTTGGTTTTTTCACCTACCTTATGTGAGAGGACCGGAAAACTGTGCACTAAATAGAAAGAACTCAAATCATTGAGATTACTGGGATATATTGTTTGTTGCATCGAGAGAGAGACAGGAAAGGGAGAAAGAAAAAAAAATGAAGCACTGGGGTTTAATTTTCTTTGTGATTCTTCTCATTCAAAACCAGGGGATTTTTCGCCAAGTGGAAGCAGATGATGGGTTCATTACTACCAAAGGAGTGCAATTTTTGTTGAATGGTAGCCCATTTTATGCAAATGGCTTCAATGCCTATTGGCTCATGTACTTTGCTACAGACCCTTCACAGAGAGATAAAGTGACGTCTGTTTTTCAAGAAGCTAAACAGCATGGTCTCTCACTGGCAAGAACCTGGGCTTTCAACGATGGCCAAGATAGAGCCCTACAGGTCTCACCTGGCTACTACAATGAGCAAACTTTCCAGGTACTCACAACGCACCTTGCTTTTCACAATCTTTTTAGCCTTTTGAAATTCTTCATCCTCATCCTGTGTCTTTGTTAATTTTCCGGTTTCTCATGTTCATTTGTGGCTCGAAGGGGTTGGATTTTGTCATCTCTGAAGCTAAGAGGCATGGGATTAAGCTGGTTTTGAGTTTAGTGAACAACTATGAGAACTTTGGAGGGAGAAAACAGTATGTGAACTGGGCATCCAGTCAAGGCCAGTCTATATCATCTCCTGATGATTTCTATACAAACTCTGTAGTGAAAGGATACTACAAGAATCATATCAAGGTGAGGGCGACTCTTTGTCTTTCTGTCTCACTGCCATTATTGTCTTTATTCATACTCTCTCTCTTTTGATGTCCTCCCTTTCTTGTATATACGTTTTTTTTTTTTTTAATAACATTTCCTCTTGTAAATCAGAGGATTTATTGGTTTTTCTCTCATTTTTGACATTTTTGTTTCCTTCTATTTCTGCTGAATATATAGACTGTTCTCACAAGACGTAACAGTATCACCGGAGTTGCTTACAAAGATGAGCCAACAATAATGGCTTGGGAGCTTATGAATGAACCCAGATGCACCTCTGATCCGTCAGGAAGGACCATTCAGGTTAGTTAGATAGACTTCTCCTTCTGATGCTTTGGATTCTACATGTCTAATTCCGCGTTCCAATCTTGCATAATTTCATTTGATCTCTTACAGTATTTTCACAACCTCAATATTTCTGAACTCAAAATCTTGTGATTTTGTTAGTTCGTTAACGTTGTTTTGAATTCAAGTATGCTCAAAACCTTACTTTGGTAAATTTCCTGCCACCAAACTGTCCAAGTTGGGGCAATAAATTTAAGAACCTATACTACTATTGGCATAGGATTAGGTGAGAATTTAGTAGTATTAATTTCAATTACATAGTCGGACAAAAACAAGGTCATTAATAAGATCAACCAAAGCGTTACGCAAACAGGAGTGATTATAACGTCCATTATGTGACATCAATTCTTTACGATAAAAACCTGATTTGATCACACTACAAGAAAAACAAAAATTGTTACTGCTTCTGTCTCAAAATAATTGTATTTTTTTTATTTATATAAATTTTCAAGTAGTATATTTTTCTAAAAAGATTGTCTAAATATATATATTTTTAAAATATATATTTTAAGAAAATAGGAATAAAATATACTGATATGGTATAACAATTAATGATATTTTTAAATTATGTAAAAAAATAAAGAGAACAATATTTAAGAACAAAGAGAGTAAATAAAAACAATTTTTGATTTTGCTTTATCGTGCTTTGTATGGCAGGCTTGGATTACAGAAATGGCTTCTTACTTGAAATCGATAGATGGAAACCACTTATTAGAAGCAGGTTTGGAAGGGTTTTATGGACCATCTTCTTCTCAGAAGCAGCAATCCAATCCAAACTTTCAAGTAGGGACAGATTTCATTGCAAACAATCAAATCCCAGGCATCGACTTTGCTACAGTCCACTCCTACCCTGACCAATGGTAAATTTTTAGTCTCTGTTCAGTTCTGGAACTTGGCATAAAATCTGAGTATGTATAACATTTTTCCTGTCAATACATTCTTCATGAACAGGCTAACTGATTCAGGTGAAGAAAGCCAAGAATCGTTTTTGAACAACTGGCTCAACAATCATATCCAAGATGCACAGAACATACTTCAGAAGCCAGTTCTGTTAGCTGAGTTTGGAAAATCATTGAAATCTTCGAATAATAATCAAAGGGACCAGCTGTTCAATACAGTCTACTCGGCTATTTTTTCCTCAGCTAGCAAGGGAGGTGCTGCCGCAGGTGGCATGTTCTGGCAACTACTCACTGAAGGAATGGACTCATTTCGAGATGGGTATGAGGTCGTCTTCAGCCAGAATCCTTCAACAGCTAGCGTCATTGTCGATCAATCTCAAAAGCTCAACCGGATTCGAAAGATGTATGCAAGGCTGAGGAACATTGAGAAGTGGAAGAGAGCAAAGGATATTACAAACAATGGCAATTAACCTAGAAAGATAAGAAGCAATTAGGCCAAGACTCGAGTCTTGATCATATTATAGATGTAGTTAAACTCTTTTTACTTCAAAAAAGTTAAGTGTACTCAGTGAAGCGTGAAGGATTGAATTCTCTGTTAATGAATCAGCTCATCCAAATAGTATTTGAAAAGGAAGCAATTACGCTTGAATCAGAATCATCCTCGCCTTGACTATAGCAATTTTATTCCAATTGAAGATCAACTCCGTTCTAGCCAAACAGAGTTGAAGTTGAAAAGACAGAATAAAAGGTTGGAATCATCAACCCTCTGGTTAGTGCTCTAAGAAATGAACCTATCCAATCCATATTTCTAAATGGACTTCAGGCCCTTCAATTTATTCTAGTTAAAATACTACCTCTTCTAGGCTGTTCTTTCACATATGGAAGGAGTACGTAATTTACATATACAATATTAACTACTGCTTTGTGATCGCGGCAACCAAGTGCATAGCAGAGATGCAGATCGATTGCTCTCTCAGCTTCATCAATCGGATTCATCACTTCTAGATAATGGTTCCATCTTTAATAGTTGCATTCTTCAGTACGGCGGTGATCCCTGATCTAATGTAAAATCCTTCATTTGGCCTGTCTGCTTCTTGAACACCCTGATAAGTCAAAGCAAATATATGTCAATCAAACACAGAGAACACTTCGATTGATTTCTTGACCATTCCAAGTTGACATCAAGTTTAAGGAGAACAGAAAGCTATACTTACATCAGCATTGGTGATGATCACATCTTTTCCTATCTTGGCATTCTTATCAATAATACAATTCCTGGAAAAAATAAAAAGAGCATACATATTCCAATATGAATATTTAAATGGTTATAAGCAATCATGATTCTACGATGTTACATGAAAGAATATATAAAGCATCATATGCTTTAGAAACAACATGCAGGCCTCATCGTGTACCTCGCAAGTTTCTGAATGTGTGCCTGTTGATGAGAAAGAGGAGTTACAGCCTAAATCTTACCTGATTTTGGTATTCTGACCAACACCAATTGGAACCTTTCCTTCTGCTAGCAGAGAGGCAATTTCAGATTCAGTTTGATAGTAGTCAGCACCCATCATCATAGTATCCTGCGGATATAAGTACAGTCCTGTTAGGCTAATTACTATAATCGGTCATCACTCCAGAATTGAAGGAAAAAATGGCCAAACTTGTACATGATGTCCTCTTGACATCAACTAACAATAACTATTTATCTCAAGAAATTCATGTACATAGAAAAAATTGAATCTAAGCAACATTTTGATCCTCATTCAGATGACAGAAATATGGAATTAGAGTGGGAGGTTTCAGAATATGGTGCCTTCTTTGATGCCTTATGGAATTCTCTATGTTTTTCACAGAATGATTTATGACTTTCAACTAACTTTTCTTCATATTACAATATGATTCCATAATATCATCATTTACTGATTTTAATGGTTTTTTTTTAAATGCAGTGTGATACTAAGAAGCGTCACCAAACATTCCATAAAAAGACGATAAATTTCAAAATCCACAGCTGATTAGGCACATCTTAAGAGACGTATTGTAATAGCCTAACATAGCTGCCATGGATTTTCCTTCCGTAATGTGTGCATTCCAACACAGCTGCCCCCTGCTGGTGCAAATATCATAGCATACCAGCATGCTTAATTTCATCTACTGCCGTTATGAGGTCTATTTTTGGTTGAATTAATCAAATCTAGATAAGGTTAGAATGTGATGCCCGTGAATCCATTAGCCTGCCTCTGTAAGTCAATGAATTTATCACCAAAAAAGCCTTCTTGAACCAGCACTAACTTTAAACAAGAAGGAAAGAGAAGCGAGGGGACGGCTAAAGAATAGGAAAAGAAAGCTAGCTTACTGTAAGCTCAACACCGCTCTCTAAACGTGAGCGGACTCCTACAATAGAATGTTGCACGCTACATTCATGTAAAAAGCAGCCATGTGAGATTATTGCATCAACAATCTGCAGCAAAAAATTGTGTCATGACAGGCAACAAGTATATTAGAAATTGTAAACTCATTTGCGCTTAAAATTGTACCTTGCATTTATCAACTTTAGTGGGTGGCAAGAATCTAGGAGAGGTGAAGAAAGGTGTCTTTGGATCATAAAATTCGAACTTTGGTGGCTGCATAAAGAAAACCAACTGATCAATTTGCATAATCATGACCTTTTTGGAAGAAAGGAAAGCCAAAGTTCTACCAGGTTAAGTAGCTTGGTCATTTCCTTAACCAGGAAAAATGAAAAATGAAAAATGAAAAATATTTCTGATTTGGAATAAGTTTAAGGACCACTGCTCTACATTATCTGCTAGATGATCTATGTCCAAAAAGTAAACAAACAATTCAGCTATTGCGAAGGGATTTTAATTCATTGCACATGACAAGACACTTCTACCCCATCCATAATACATTTCATACTCCTTTTAGCGAGTTATTACCAAAACAATTTGCACAACTTTGTTCCAGCAATGACCAGCTGGTTTCAAAATATTTAATAACCCAGACGCAAGATAAAAAATTACTTTTATCAATTGGCTTAGAGTGTAAAGGTATCTACTGCAGAAACAAAAGGTACGACAGAAATGCCAACCTGCGCTGTGAGGGCCAAATTAGAATCAAAAAAGGACTTTATTGTTCCAATGTCCTCCCAGTAGTCATTGAATAAGTAAGCCTGAAAAATTAAAAGAAATCAGAAATGCAGAAATTCAAATACTAGAATAAAGCTAATTCATGCAAATTAATTAGAAATGAGAAATCAGAAGAAAAGGAAGGACATGTGGATGAATCTATGTTTGAAGAGGTGTTTCACCTGGACATTATGATCCTTCACAGCAGATGGGATGATTTCGGAGCCAAAATCATTGCATGAGGGATAGCTCCACCTCAGAAGCTTCAGCAGGACATCAGTTCTGAACACATAAACGCCCATTGAAGCAATATACGGAAATTGCATGGCTTCTTGCTTGGAGAGTCCAAGAAGTGTCGTATCAACTTGCTGCAGTGCAAAAGGATATCCCCAGGAGATAAGTTAAGATATAAAAACTAAGGGCATGTCAACTGAGAGGACCAAAAAAGGATCTAAATAAGTCTAAAACTAAGATGTTGGAGTTCATGAAAAATAAGACGAGCATAGGACTAACTACCATTGCTTTCAGATCAGGGCCCTTGGGTTTCTCGGCAAATTGAACGATACGTCCAGTGTTGTCTATCTTCATCAGTCCATAATCTGATGCACGGCTGCAAGATAACTTATTTCAATGAATTTCCAAATACAACACAACATTTATCTGCAATTAATGTTCTGAATGATGGGAAATTCAATGACGACAATTAGAGTTTAAAGTTACCAGACACTGCCACAAGACCATGCAATATAACATAAAAGGACCCTAGAGATACCTGTCATCCATGGGTACACAGGAAACTGTAATATCTGCATTTGTATCGATATGCTTCTGCAAATACATTAGACATAAAAAAGCGGAACTTAAGTCAGATTTCAGGAATCAGACACGTAGCAAAACTGTGTTGGATGCAATATCCCACCAGTGAATGCCTAAAAAGAGTACCTGAATAAACTCCATGTAGTCCATTCGATAAAGATGATCTCCAGACAAGATCAATACATGCTCCACGTTCTTGTTCTTTGCATCCTAAATAGACCAAGTGAAACCCATCTAGTCTAATTTACATTAATAAATTCAAGTCTTCAACAGAAAGCAAAATTCTGAATTCTCACCTCAAACACCCATATAAATTGCCTCACAGCATCTGCGGTTCCTTGAAACCACTTCTTTCCTGTTTCCCCTGGAGTTTGAGTAGCTGCCAAAACCTGTCCAAGATGTCTCTCTTAAGAACATACCAGTAGTTGACAAAAACACTCAATTTGATGAAGAAGACAACTCCATAGATGTATGATTGATACAGTAACAAGCACTCAACAAACATGCATTCTTTTATTATATTTCCATGCCTCAGTAAACCAAAGCATAAGTTCCTCCCATGATACAGTGCTGGCGGTATTGTATACAACTTAGCAGATTCAAAATAATTCTTATTCACAAAAACCATCTTACCTCCACAAATCCATCTCCAAAACTAACACCATTGCCAAAGTTATACGTGCGAGCTAGATGCCGATTGAGTGAGAAGGAGTTAAACTGTGTTAGGATGAAAATCTTTTTTATCCCACTATTGATGCAATTACTCATAGGAATATCAATCAGCCTATAACAGCCTCCAATCGGAACCTGTATGGAAAAGGAGACAAACATAAATTCTACAGTTATCTTGTCATAAAATACAAAAAACCAAATTAATCAAGCCCGCATATCATTTCTAATTTGTTAAGAAAACTCAAGAATGATTTCCAGTAACCATGAGCTAATCAAATCTTACCGCGGGCTTGGCCCTTCTGCTAGTAAGAGGAAAGAGGCGTGTCCCAGCTCCTCCACCTAATATGATCGAAGCTACACTAGCTGGGTCTGCTTGTTGAGTCTCAAACACTGGTGCCTCAAATGTCTACAATCAAAATTCATAACAAAAAAATAATTAAGCATCGCAATCTAACAGGATCAAACATTAATATATATAAACATTAGATGTTGAACAATGTAAGTATTTACCAAAGTTTCTTTGTTAACATCTGATGTAAGAACAGAGTAGGCAACTCCAGGCTTGACCTTTTTAGCACCACTTCTCAAATTTTTCCACAACTCGGCACTCAAATCCCTACTCTTCAGGTTCTTCTTAAGACTCTCACCCCAAAAGAGAGTCCCTTTATTTCTAATACCACCCTTGTTAACATTAACCCCATTGGCACTAGCACTAGCCTTCAAGGCACCACAGAAAGAATCCATCTTTAACCAAACCAAGAAATTACAATCCCAAATATTTTTCTTTCTACGTAAGATCCAAGAAATTAGAAATCCTACAACAATAATAACATGACAGTACAAGGAAGGCCGAAATATAAAGATGTTTCCTTGATGATCCTTAAATATTCAGAAACCAGAGAGCTGCGACAATGATGAGAAACAAAAGCCACCCTGATAAATCTAAAACTTTGAATGTCAAAGTCCAAAAGGCCCAGATAAACAAAATAAAAAAAGATCAAAACTTTCACTGACTAGAAATAATTTAGGAGAAAAGGAGTGAAAATGTGAGAACTTTTGAGTATCTGACAGTTGAAGGCAGAAGTGGAGATGATTGAATGCAAGAGTGATGATTAGTGTGATTAGTTTAGATTGTGATGTGAGCCAAAACTCACGAGAAACTAAGTAAAGGTGGGTTTTGAATATTCTACAGAGATTTTTAGGAGAGAGTCACTTGTGATCACTATGTATGCCGCTCTTGACTCCTCAGTCTGCGGGTGCCAGTCTTCTATTGTACTCGAAAGAGTCCTTCCCTTACAGCCAGTGTTTAACTCCTTGTACCTTTCTATTTCTATTGACTTGTTTACTATTTTTTATTTCCTTGCATTTGATTAAAAAAAAAAAGAAAAAAGAAAAGTATGTGTTAATATATAGACTTGTAAGGTTTTGCTTATCTTGTTCATAATTTTCTTATATAATGGACCGCATGAAAACTACAGTCCATTACCCCTACTCTTTTTCTAGCTCTCTTTATTTTAATCCTTACAAATATCAAAGTTTTACCAATTAATTTTTTTTAAAAAAAAAACCAACAAGTTGTTGGTCAAATGATAATTAAGTAAATTGATCTTCAAATAAAAGTTAAATTTTAATTTTTTTGAAAAGAAAAATAGTTTAGAGAAAAAGTTGCTTCGAAAGGTAATTTGGCACCTATAGTTTGAGATTTTAAAAAATTTAATTATATATATTAGATTTCCTTAAGTTGACTTAAAAGATTAAAAACTTCATGCTCGTGCAAACAAACTTTCTACTAATCCAAAACAAAAATAAAATTTCCAAATCTCACCAGATTTGTAGGCAAACGAGACTTTCATCCTTTGATGTGCATGCAACCAACTTTCAAGAAAGATTTTGATAGCTATCAATATATTAATGTATTTTTTTTCCTTTTTTCAATTCATGGAATGCTATATTCTCACACAAAATTACTCAATGAGCAAATTAAAAAAAAAAAAAAGAGAGAGTACACAATCATTAAATACAATTTTATTCCTATATTATTGAGGTGTTTAAGTCTGTTCTTCATTTTTTTCATCTTGGATTTAAATAAAGAAGGAAGTTAAGTTTTTCTGAATGCACCAAGTGAGTACTAATAAATTGTCGAAGACCTGATTGGAAATAACTTGGTTTCCTTGAGAAAGAAATAAGACTGAAACACTTGTGACAAAATGGATTTTGATTCTAAAACAGAATTTATTTTATTTTAAAAAATTTTGGACCCAATTGCCATTGTCCAAAATTATTTAAATTGAGAAAATCAAATTGTTACAAAACAGGTTACACGGATGCAAAGAAAAGAGATATGATTTATAAAAAAACAAAGTAAAAATTTTAATATTGGATGATAAAATAAATATTAATAGATGAATTTATTTTTATTCAACTCTTGTTGAAACTATTTATTTTAAAAATATTAAATTATATATAAAAAAAGAATTGATCAACCAATCAAAATAAGAGAGAGTGAAAAAAATCAGCATATAATAAACATTAAAAAAAGAAGAAAATATGCTTTAGAAAAAAAATTGATAGCTGGGAATTTGATTGTGTGCAAGTTTAATTAATTAGGTTAGACTATTTAATTACTAATTACTAACATCAGCATTGAATTAACATGAGTTGTTAGAATGTGCTTGCCATGACTAATGGAATTCTCTCATTCATAATATTAAAAGTATTTTTTAAATTATTGACTAATTTGTAATAAAAGAAAATAGTTCAATTTGTATTTATATAATTACAAATTCAAATTTTCTTTGAATTTAAAAAAATCTCATTATAAAAAAATCATAATAGCTTTTTATTTTTATAGTAGTGTTTAATTCAATCGGTCGTAATAATTAGATATTTTTTTTATCTCATTAATTATTAATTATTTATATTAATCTTCTATCGCTTAATAACTAATCATAAACTACAAGGCTATTTCTATGAAAAAAAACCCGCGTGCATAAAATTCTTAGTTTCAAGAGAAATCATTACAAGATACATCGAAGCAGGAAGCCGTGGAGCCAGTGATAAAAGAGATTCCTAAAAAAAACGTCTTAGCTAAATGTTTAATTAACTTATAAGAGGTCATTACACACACATATATGTAAAGATCATCAACAAGCAATCACTTAAATCCACATGTGTAAGAAACACGGCAAGAGTCATGAACTTTGACAGCGTATTCATGCCAAGGCCTTGAAAGGAAGGGTGGCAGGTGAGCCAGCAACTCACATACACATTCATCATCCATATTATTCAGCCACCGGCAACAATTATCTTCATGTATTAATATTCCTGAGTGGCTGTGCCCATGTCCATGCCCGTGTCTATGACCATGTTCGTGTCTGTGCCGGTGATTGCTATCGTCATCGGTGAAGACAACAGTGAAGGGATGGGAGGCAACAGGTGGTGTTAGCTGTATGTTTCCACACGCATAGTTCACTAGTGCAAGTTGAGAGACACATAAGGGGCGTTGAGGCTTAGGTTCCAACTGACCATCAACGTTAGATACAAGTAGTAAGATTGTTGTGAAAAATGGAAACGCAAAAGCATTGAGATTCTTCATTTGTATGGTACGTACAAGCTGGATGCTTAGACATTTGATCTAAGTACTAGCCTTTGGCTTCCTTATATACAAATGCTTTAGTTTTCCATAGTTAGGTTTTGACGCTTCAGGAGGACAGTGGGTGACCAGGAGCGAGGATAGTTTGTTTAGGTAATTAGCGCTAGCTCGGGATGATCATAGTTTCTGAATTGTGAATAGTTTCTGAATTGGCATTCATTTTGTGTGATAACCTGTTAGGTGATATACCGTAGGAGCATGAAGCTCAACAAGGCTGTTAAATATTGGTACCATTTTGTTCCTATTTTTTTTTTTTCAGAAACCATTTTGTTACTATTTAAATGGAAATTAATTAAACATTTTATTCTGTAAGAAAGTCTAGATGTCGTTACTTCTGACCTGACCATACGCACCATATGAATGTTCAAATTCAACTGAGTCATTCATTCGGAGTAAATTATAAATTAATCCCTCTATTTTTAAAAAATAAATGAAGCATTTTTTTTCAAAAACTAATTTTATCTTATTGTATTTAATTTAATATTATTTTATTTTAAAAGTTATTTTTCATTGATCTTTACATTTTTTTATTTTTTAAATTAAAATCAAAATAAATTAAAAAATAACAAAAACAATTAAGGTATAACAAAATTTAAAAATATAAAAATTAAATAATTAATTTTTTAAATAAGAAAGACAAAATAATGAAAACACCACCAAATTTTATTTTTACGATGCAACTAAATCGTAAGAGAGATCTTGATAGTTATCACTATATTAATATAATAAATGTTTTTTTCTTTTACAGTTAATATGTTCAAATAGTTCAATTTTTACACAATATAATTAATTTTCTAATAACGAAAGAGTGAAATACGTCAAAAAAAAAAAAATTTCCCATCAATCATATACAATATTATCTTATTGACAATGTTAGTTCATTGATAAATAAATTTATTCTTCATCCCATGACGCTATTCTCAAATCAAATATTAGTCTACAAGTCAATTGAAAAATAACTTAATTTCGATATATACTTTAAGCTAATTCAAATATTGCTGAGCAATAAATTTCGTTGCGGAAAGCAATGAGAATTTGAAAAACGCACGACAAAATTGATTTTTTATTCTAATACAGATTTAGCAAGGTGTACGACTGGTATTGGTTCACGTGAAGGGCAGATTTTTTTGGTCGAACCACAAGAAGGACCACTTTAGCGCTGACTACGGGAAGATATTTTGAGGGAGATGTTTGCTTACGGGTGACAAGTGGACATAGACGTAAGGCTAACATTTAATTTAGAAAGCGGTAAGCAGTGGCATGAACCCACGTGGCTGTCACTTCCGTATCTCTGTCTTGTCACTGACCGACTTCACTCTCGAGATTTAAACCCTGCGGTGCCGTTGGAAGTATATTGCCGGTTGCATGTGATTGAAATGGACTCCGATGGATCGAAACTACACACAAGAGCAGACACCAGTGTTTTTGAGAATCGATGGAAGACATTTTTTTTTTTTTTAGCTTTTTGGCTTTTAAACTTGGTTTTCCAATAATATTGTGCTAATAAAATTCCAAAATTTTTTTTTATTGTATAATTTTCATGTATAATATACAATACCTTTATCTTTTAATAATTTCAATATAAACTGTAAACTACCTTTCGACTATTTTTTTCATAAAATATCCTCACGTCTTTTCAAAAGCTCTAAAAAGTGGCTATTCTAAAAAAAATTATCTTTAAAAGCTAATACCATCACAGTGATACACGAATTGCAAAGGAAGAAATTTATAGTGTGGACCAAACCCCAAATATCGTCTCGTGTGAGCTTATTATGGAGCAAGGCACCGCTTCAACATGTGCTGTACTCTCAATTATTAAAAATTTAATAATTTCAGAGCTTTGTTTCGTGACTGCGATGTGTGCAGCATTTGTGACCGTTCACGTTGCACCTTATTAATATTCCTATTTCTATGCTTCGCCCGATGTATTAGGCTGTTTCTGGTCTAAGTCATCCATCATTTTCCTCCCTGCAGGCTTTGCTTTGACAAATTTGTGGTTCATGGTAAAAAAATAGTACAAAAAATTTACGATAAATGTCGTATTGCAACAACTGCTACTATGATTAGTTTCTCTATTTTATCAATTTGAAATAAGAATAGGTTCAAGGTAAGATATGGAAGTAAAAGCAGTCTAGAAAGCTACAAAGGTCGAATCAGCCATCTTGTTTTGGTCACTCGTCCTTCTTTCGTGCCAGAATTTGGTAACAACTTACCAACCACATCGAAGTCTTGGCCAAATCAAACGAATCATGACTGCATGGGCCATAGGATTCGGCCTATTGAACAGTACAGATTGCTAATATCGAACAGTCAGATGCAGCTGGAAGGATGTTGTTGGACAAAGTTTGTGGACGAAAATATTCGATTAAAGTGCACTTGAAATGCAATGTTACTGTTTGCAATTCCCATCACTTAGAGGTGACATCAAGCCCGAGATGATTGGACTAGCTATAAGGAAGAAAAATCCAAGAGGAAATTGGTGGAGCAAAAACAAATGATTGCATGACAAATTCACATGGGATTGGCAATTCGACGTTACTGGATGCTCCTTTTCTTTGTTCAAGGCCTCTTACGAAGACACAGATCATAGCAGATCATGCGTGGCCTCATCCACCGAATCATGAATATGTGGGCTTTTATGGCCTATGATTCATGACCATGTGGGCTTTTATGGCCGAAAACACTTTCAGCGCAGCACTCCCAAGATTAGCGCAACAGGTTTGATACTTTACTTGACGATTACAAGTCTGTTGATTTTCTTATTGTTGAAATAGATAATGTGGAAAATGGTGACCGTGTTGTTGACATTGATCTCGACGAGGATAACGACTGGTATGAAAATAGAGCTGTAATCAGATCATAGTTCTATTTTATATAATCTTTTTATTCAAATTAGAAAAAGTAATGTTTTCTGGAATGCTGTTCGAATTATAAAGGCCAGCTAATTAAATCGATACACATAACTTTCAATTTAAATTATATAAAAAAATTTAAAAATAAGGGGTTTATGAATTTTCATAAATTTCTCAAAACAAAATACAGTTGTAACTGTAGATAAACACCAAAAAATACCTTAAAAAAAAACCATGGATAAAATAAAATAAAAATATCTAATTAAATAAAAGGTAATAAAATCTAAAAAAAAACTTAACATTTAAAAAATATTACAATTGAAATAATTAACTCCAAAATGATGTGAAACACTCTTCATGTCACAACTTTTCAACTCATCTTTACTGATTGTTAGACGAGAAATTTTATTTTACTTTATAAATAATTGACATACTTAGTCCATAGAAAAAAAAATTATGATATTTTTTATTAAATAACTATTGTAACTTATTTTTTTTCAGTATTTTAAAAATTTTCATTGTTAGACAATAACTTGTGCAATTTTTTTCTAGAATTATGTTTTTTTCATTTTTATTTTTCCAATTCTATCGAGAGTAGGAATCGAGTCGAAGACCTCACTCCTTCTCCTCCGTAATTTTTTTTTCTTTTTCATGTTCTTTAAATGACAAGAGTAGTAGGATTTAAATCCAAGACCTCACCTCTCCTTCTCTAAGCAGCTAAACACCCATTGGTGAATTTCTCTACGATTCTAAACATTCATGGATATAATGAGTTCGAATTATGGATCCCAGCATTTTAATGAGAAATTTTATAATATATCGGGACTAACTAGTGACATCTATAACGATTACTGTAATGGATTCACTTTAAAGAGAGAGATAGACATACAAAAAAAGAGAGAGAAACAATAAAGTGAAAATAAAAAAACTTGAGCAAACGTGAAAATTTTCTTAGCACTTTTGATGGGTATAGATGTAATTTTTATTTTTTTATGTGCTCATCTCTTTTTTCAAAATAGATTTATGAAGTAACTACTATACATGTCACTAGATTCTTGTTGGTGTATTATAAAATTTCTCTATTTTTATTCCCTTCAGGCCTAGCCCAGATAAGATCATAAAAGCTGACCCGAATTAAAAAAGAAATAGAAATTGACCCAACCAACGACAGGAAGCCCATGACCCCAAATAACCTCATCCTTAACAAATACTCCATCATCACCGCTTCTCCTCTCTCCTTCACAAGCACACTCAAAAAAAAAAAAAATGGCTCTTAGTCTGACCAACACGTTCCTCCAAATCAAACCAATCTCTGCTCCTCTCTTACCCATAAAAAAGGTATAATTATATCAAACCCACTCACATAATGATAATTATTGTTTGTTAAATTTGGTTACTTATTTTCTCTCAATTGTAGGGGAAGGTGAGTGCGGCGGGTAATTATGGGATGCAAGTGACGTGCAGGAAGAAAGATATACACCCAGAATTCTACGAAGACGCCAAGGTGTATTGCAATGGAGAGCTAGTGATGACAACTGGTGGGACCAAGCAGGAGTACGTGGTGGATGTGTGGTCAGGCAACCACCCGTTTTACCTCGGGAACCGGTCTGGTGTTCTTGTAGATGCTGACCAGGTGGAGAAGTTCCGTAAGAGATTCGGAGGGCTCTCGCAGATTATGGAAATTCCTGTACTTAAAGGTGAGGTAATTTTGCCTTCCAGGAAAAGATCTGGTGCTGGTAAAGGGGGCAAGAAGAAGTAGAATCGTAAGGTATGGATGTTTGGGGTGACTGGGGGACTTTGTTTTGGTTTTTTTGGTAATTGCAAAATGATGCACACGTGTTTGATGAAATGCATATTTTTTGTTGTTAAAAGTGAATCTTTTTTGGCTTACATGATACTGTAAGAATGCCTTCTTGTGTTTATTTTTGCATTAGTTGCTGGATTTATAGTAGAATAGAAATAATTGCATTGGAATGCGCCTGCCTGGCTGGATAAGCATACCATAAGGGTTCATTTTTAGAGTTCTGACATTTTTAGGCAAACCAGATTATGTTTATGAGAGATGGGAAAATATGACTTCTGCATTATTGCATAATCCAATGTTTAGATGGAAACATGCTTAGAAATCAAATCCCGTAGGATACATCATACATGGAGCATGTTATTGAATTCTTTTCAAAAGTTACAGCAGTGAGTGGTAATTTTTTTAGTAGATTCTGTATCTTTCAACTTTCAAGGGAATGGGAATTGTAGATTGAAGTTGTTAATGTTCTATAATGGAGTTAAGTGTGGTGGCACTTTTAGTTTTCCTTTTGCACAGATGCTTCACAGATGCAGACATGTATGGAAGAAAGGGATACTTTTAATGGCAATTTATTACATTGAGGACTCAGTTTACATCGACCCGATGGATATAGATACAACTCATGCTGGCCATAGATGCCTTATTTAATAGATACTAAGCGCACAGTGGTAGTTGTAGTATTATTCATTTCGAGTTGGATGATGAAGCTGGATTGTCATCGTCCAGCGACAGAGTTGTTCAAGACTTGATTAACAGTTGAAGTAACAGAAACATGCAAATCCTGGGAACTGTGCATGACAAGCTCCGTGAACAGCCTTTTACAATGTCTTGCATTCTCGAGCACAGTTTCCAGAATTCAGGCAAGTCCCTGACCAAGTTCTGCTTTTCCTCTGGCAAAGTTTTGCCTCTGTCATTGGCATCTCTGCAGCCAAACATTAACTTAGGGCATATTCATGAATTCTTAAAACTCACACGCACACAGGAGTGCACGCGCACACGAACAGGCACGCTTGTGCACATATGGGCACACACACACATAGGGAAACAGCAAAAGGAGTAATAAGTTGATATATCATGTATATGTGATCATGTAAAAGATAATTTACGACAAAAAATGAAGAAGAGATCGTGCATCATACCAGTGGATATGAATAGCAAAAGGAAGAGGGAGAGCAGGACCAATGATGGTGCATGACTTTGTAGCTTAGCCATAAGTCTAGTCTTCGAAACTGGGAAACGGTGTAGTTTTTTGGTGTTGTAAGTTGTGGTATTTATAGCAGGATAGATCAAGATTTCCTTTTATTTTCCCAAGTTTCAGAGCAGTAAGATTACCTATCTTGAAGAATTGAGAACTAACAACCACAATAAGTTTGAATTTCTTGAGAGAAGACAGACAGGAAAAGGCGAAGCAAATTTGGCTGCGCTTATGGAATTCAAAATGTTCGTCATCTCTCTTTTGGCACACTAATGGAGATCCTAATAAGTCCTTGTCTTTGAGAAGGCAAACGAACACCAAGATAATGTAGAAACATTTATGATAGAAAGATGTAAAATCATAATTTAGTAGTTTGGGGTAAAGAACACATTGTCAGATAATAAAGCAATTGATGAGAACGGATAATATTTAATTGGTTGTCTTGAAAAAAAAAAAGAAAAGAAGTGAATTGAAACGGAAAAAAATTATTAAAATTCATGTATTGGGTTGAAAAAAAACGTTAAAAGTTGGCGTACCTATTATGTATGCTTGCAAGCCACCTAGAGAAGAGTTTGCCACTGGCGTAAGTGGTCAAGCGGTGCCCATCTGCTTGGAACAACTGAACAAGGAAATAGCTAAGTGGTGCCACTTTCTCTTCGGTCATGGGCTGGGTCCGTCGTCAACAACTGTAAACTTGTTTTGGGCCAACTTTCTCCTTATCGAACTTCAACCGTTAAAAATTGAAGGGCCTTTCTTAAATCAATAAGACTACAAAAGTGTTTCTTTCTGACTCTTTTGGGCCTCACTACTGCATTCTTTTTGTTGCAACTTGCAAAGAGACCTAGCTATGCCACATCAGTCTATATCAAGAGTTGTACAAAAAGAGCCCGAGGTGGCAGCTCAGTGATGAGGTTGAGGGTCGCTCACCAATGATTCTCTCTGCGTACGCTTGTCATCCCATTGTGCTTTATTTATCCATTGGGCTTGCAGGGTATTCGGTGGATCCGAGAGATTAATCGAGTGCTTGTATGAGCTCAGTCGAGACACACCTGTATTATAGAAAACAAAAAAAGAATTTTACCAAACAAATATAAACATGTTTTCGTCCTTAGAAAGTCGAACCATGCATGCTTGTCAAGTCAATGCTTTCTCTTATGGGTTAATTTCAACTCATGCTTGAGATTGGAGCGAATCCAGTTTCTTTTTGAAATTTTAGAAAAGACATGAAAACAATTGAAACTTCCTAGAGAGAAACTGAATTCGCCCTAAAACTTAAAAGACAAATTAAAATTAATCCTTCTTTTAACGTACCAAAGCCATTTACAAGTAAGGGTTAAAACAGGTAATGACTTTGGCTACATCATAAAATTACTTGCTCGTCGCCCCTATGGAAAAAGTGTTAAAAGTGATTTGAATTGCAGGCAGCTAAATCTTAGCTGTCAGATTTCCACTCATAATTCATTGTTGATGATCTGGCAGAACAGATTTCTCTCTTTTGGCAGGAGGGAAGCTGTTAATCTTGCAAATCGTAGAGCAGAAAGTCCATGCTTTTGACACATAACATATTCAGGTAATAAAAATTGACTACGGGATAATTGGGGTGCTTTCTTTACTATAGCACCTCAGCGGGTAAATAATGATCTCTGTTTATATATATATATATTTGTTGTATTTTTTAATAATTTTTAAGTTTTTAATTTATTTTTTTAATTAATTTTTCTATAATTAGCCGTTTTTTTAAGCAAAATTCTCATGACTAAATAAATAAAAAACGCATAGAATCACATTATCTATATGCTCTATTTTTTAAGTCTTATTTTTTTTTCATTTCAATTAAGAATTTTCGATCAAAAAATTTTTTTATAGTAAGAAAAATTGATCGGTATGACATATTGAATATTTATACATTATTTAAGTACATTATATATATAATTAGAAACATGCAGAGATCCAAACTATTATATAAAAACATTTGGAGTTATTTATCCGCACTTCAACTTACAACAAATGGAATTTTTTTGTGGCAGACTTTGATTTCAACTTTATTAATTTCAAAAAAGAAAAAAAGGAAAAGGAAAAGAGAGGAATAGAAATAAATAACCATTCACAATTGGTTTTATGAACCGCGCCCATGATACCAGGACATTATAGAAATTATCAAGTCAGTTTTAGTTAATTTAATTCTCCTCTGGGTTCCACCTACTACGTACTTGCTAAAATTACACAATGGATAAGAGAAGAGAATTTTAGCAATAGTTGCTAAATGGTACGATATTAATTAGGTTTTCCATCTACTACTTGCTATAATTACAGGAATGGTTATGTTCTTATCCAATATCGTAACCATTGTACTAGTCTTATCCAATCTCAATTAACAAAAGTAATGACCTTTTCATGTCTCCCCCTCTTTACCTTCTTTCTCCTTTCTTTAATTTTTCTTCTTGAGGAGGTCAAGCTCCTATAATTGACACGAGTAAGATTTAGGACATTAGGGATAAGATTTTATCCAAACAAGCACACGATGATATCTTGCAATTTCATACTTGTTAGTGACATAGTTTAACTTAAACATCAATACATAGATTTCATAGTACTTGTAATAAATAATTAACACCACTATATATATATATATATATATATATATATATATATATATAACGATAGAGATGGTTTATTTCAACATAAGAAATGTGGGAAAAAAAATAATCTAACATGATCTTCCACGAAATCATGTTTGTCAAACACAAGATGTAGAGGAGACTTAATGCTTTTTCTTGGTCGTTCTCTAATTTATTTGTTTAAGACTTGTATGCCTTAACCGTTAGCTGTTGGCTACCCAGTCAAAAGTTTATTATACAAATGGAAGGTAAGTATGACTATGACTTAATGATCTTGCCATGTACTTTTTCCGGATTTGAATTCTAGATAAGTTCGTTTGAAAATTTTGGTTTTTCTCATGTATCCCTATTTCACGTTCAAAACAAGAATAATTTTGTTCGGAATAAAAATGAAAAAAATTAATTATTTTTTAAAAATATAATTTTAAAATTGATAAAAAAATATTTGTGAGGATCAGTTTGTGGCTAGAACGACAACTTGTTGACCAAAAAAAAAAAACAATTTAGAGGTACAAAAGTTAATTCAAAACTACCTTGAATGATTACCGTTAAATAAAATAATAATGTTGCATCTAAAGGCATGCGGGAATGCATGCCTATGCACAGTTAGAAAAACCCAAGAGTGATGTATTTGATTTTTTAGGTTGTCTGTTTTGGTAACAAAGATAACTATTGCTACTGCAAGTGGCAAGCAAAATGATTTGAAAGAAGATGATTATGACTAGAATATCTAAAAATGTTGGGTTGGTAGAAGGTTCCTACTGCAAGTGAATGATAGGCTCTCCAAATAAACCCTAGAGATGTATTATTACCTTTTTCTTTCTTGGGACCCCAATGCCTAAACCTTTTTCTTTTGCAAAAAAATAATTTCAATCAAACATCACGTCTACCTAATCTTACTTTCGTTTTGTTTTCTTTTTTTATCAGGATGCCAAAGTTTGTACAGACAAAGTGATATATCAAGCAATTTTGATTTCTGAAAGTTACCAATATCCCAATGACACACTTGTAACTTGCAGACTTAAAAAGCTAAAAACTCCTCTTTCCACAGCCAACCTGTGAGATGGTGCAATTTAAAGACTAAAATATTCCAATTGAAACAAGCCACAGGAAATCATTGTGCTTTTTTCTTTCTTTCTAATTTGTTACTAACGTTTTCCTTTATTTAACAGAATGGTGAGAATAGATGTGTGGGTATCATAATTTCATTTTTATTTTTTGGATTTTATAGATATAAAAATGTTTGATGGGTTTAATGGATATACGATTTTTTTTACAAGTGATTATCCCTGCTTTTTTTTTTTTTCTAATTCATCAAAATTTTTCTTTATTTAATAGTTTGGTGGTATTCCGAGCTGCACATCAGAGACTAGATTAAATTTCAATAGAAAAAAATAATAATAAACAAGAAAAGCAAAAACAGAAAGGAAAAAAAAAAAAACAAAACTACAACGCATTATTTTCTTGATGATTTACAAACCCCAAAGAATATATATATATAAGGAATAATATGTGTATCTGATTAGCAAATTGATTTGCATTTCCTATTACAGAAATACTTAGTTTCTTTCCTATCTTTAAGTTTTAACTGTCCCTTTAATTTTTTGCTTTTGCACAGTTAGTTCCCGGAAGTCACGTGATATTTCACTCCCTTCTCCACCTGCACAACCACTGGTCATCCCTAAAAAGGGTTTCAGCGCGTAACCTGCACTGTGTGCGGATCACTAGCCATTAAAGACCTTTTCGGCTTACTGTGTTGATCTGGAATAATGAATCAATATTTCATGGGTTTCATCATCTTCCACGACCAAACCACGAGTTCACGATGTCTGATGACCTTCTATGTATCCAATGTGTGTCCTTTTTTAGGGTTCATGAATTTCCCATGTAAGCCCAGTGCTAAAAGGTTCCCAATTTGATCATGAACCCAATTTGCCTTTTCTTTCTAGCTAACTTTTTTTATTTCCCTCATTTAATTTTCACCCCAACCAAACAGAAAATAGTAAATTAAGCTAGCTAGCACAGCAATGCATGGGATTTGAATCTTCGAGAACACACCTGCATTGGAACATTTGATATATTGCATGCATTTAGCATTAGGGTAAAGGTGATTTTTTTTTTTTTTAATGGTAGAGACATTGGCTGGTTAGGATGGCTTTGAATGAATTTCCAATAATACTATGGCATGAATTTACATGGACTCCTGGAATTCATTGTACTAGGAATGATCTAAATTGAGTCACAGCAATTACACATGATCAATCAAATTGTAAGAAAAGATTCCACTTCATGTGATTTTGGTCAAATTGGTTCTTCAATATTTAGGGATTTTCCAATATGTGCCCTAAGGTTAAGAGGAAAAAAGTAAACCATACAATTGAACTAAAGTTTTTTTTTTAATAATTGAGTTATTGATCATGTAAAGTAATCAAATCATTTTATTTATAGAAATTAGCCAATTATATCATTAGGTCACCTATCTATTAATTATTCGAAAGATATTACAACTTTTCAAAGAATCATGAGATTGGAAATTTTACATTAGTCTTGCACAAAGGCTCCCACGTAAATTTTTTTATGTCGAAAAGGACGGAGTGCATAAACAAATGTTAAATTTTTATCACTCAGTTGGGCAATAAAGTTGGAGGTCTAATCCAATTTCAATGATTTTTCTGCTTTTCTGTTTTTAAATACTAACCTATTGACTATCTATCAATCCTCTAGGTGAATTGGGAAGCAAAGTGCTTTATGTTTGGTTAGAATTTGATTTTTAATTATTAATCTATTGTATGATTGTTTGGTTCATTGGAGGCCACTAGTCTTAAAGTTTGTTTGGTATTATTGTGTTTATCAATTAAGAAGTTTTTATCGAACTTTCATAAGTAAAATTATTGACTTACAAAACAGCAATAGTCCACTTCCGTTCTTAATTTCCACCGAACTTTATTAGATTAGGAAAATGATACTTTCAACTGAAATTCCAAGTAAAAGATTAAAAAATATAACTGATAAAACTCAAATAAGATTCTTAATGGCGAGTACATGTAATGGGAGCAGTACACTGTTTGTGTCGCAAATGTGGTTGTTGAATAATTAACCATAAGGAAACCTAAATAAGTTCTTTGGACATTATTTTTCTCCAAACCCAAAAAATAAGTTATTACTCATTTCTATTGTCAAGGGAAGAAATCTCCGGAAAGGATAAATGGAAAGGAAATGTTGATAATCCAAGTTCCAGTTATGAAAAAACCAAGGAAATGAGGAATCTCTGACTCTAAAATCCCATGCCCAAGCTTCATTGATCTTATACGTTTCCCTCCAGGAAAATGGGAAACGAAATAAAATGGGGAATGGCAGTATTGCAATTTATATATCCACCTTCAATGATTTTGGTAATGACAATATTTATGATAGCAATCTGAGAAAGAAAAATGATATACGTACGAATATATTCAATATATTTAACATGTCCAATTATATGGTAAGATTGCAATATTTTTATTGATGGAAGGTAAGATTGCAATATGCGACAATATATATGCAAGGTAAAAAGATTGCAATTTGCAATTATTTACATCCTACTGTCAAAATGGGAAAGGGCAAGATTGCAATCGATGTGTCTTCTGTCAAAATAAGAAACGAGAAAAAATATTAAAACGAAAAAGAGAATTGGTCTCACCTTCTCCACAATTATGAAGGAAATATAATACTAGTGTGTATATATATATATATATATACATCAAAAAGAGAGATTATAAGCCACGACAACAGTTGTTGGAGTCCATCCGTGCGATTTGTCTATGCCATCCACCTCTGCACCTACATAACCACGGACCCTCTTCTGGTCCAAGTTCCGGTCCTTGTTTTTCAGGCTCTCTCCCCTTTATTATTAATTTCGTACGTATTTTATTCTCAGGCTTATTATTTCTCTATAAAAGCCCCACTCCTCTCCTACCAAGAGATCAGAATTACATAATCCATTTTACTTTTCTCCCTCCAAAAATATCCTCTTTGCAAGAACCAATCCGAAAAAGGCAAGACGTACCAAAAAGAGTTGGCTATCTCAATCACTATCCCTGCCACCGCTCTCTGTATCCCTATTTTCTCGTACTTTCCTTCTCTGCAAAAATCCTCGCCCCAAGCAACCTCAAAACCCTAAGAAGCTCTCTTTATTCTCTGTATATGCCTCTTTTACACCCTCCAATTGCCGTTTCTTTTCAATTGGCTTCTTTTAAATCAAAACCCCACAAACCAAAAATGTCTAATTCCTTTGAAATATTTGACAAAGTGAAGGCTGAGAAAGCCGATGCTATGAGAAGGTACAACAGAAAGAGAAACTTTTACTACTTTTTGGAAGCAGTGGGAGCTTTAGTCTTGCTTTGGTGCTCCTTCTCTTGCTTCCCTGTCATAAAACAAGCAGCTTCTCATTATCTCTCCTTCTTTAACCAGAAAATCTATGCTTTCTTGGTCGCAAATATTTTCATTCTAATGGTCTACCTCTCATCTACAACAGCCAGCAACAATGACCAAAACGATACCCCAATCCATACCGATATCTATGACGAGTACGTTTCCTTCTCCACTAGCTCCTCCCCTCGGTGGAAAACAACAACCGACGAGGACAAACGGTTAGTTGTTTCAGCGCTGCAAGGGAAACCAGTTCAAGGAGAAGAGAAGAATCCAGTTCATGAAAAAAATAAAACCTTCGACATCGAAAAACAAATTGTTTGCTGCGAGAAAACTAATGCTGCTGCCAATGATGACGAAGTAGGGAAAAATCCAGTTCGTGATCTTACCGTGTTGAAACAGGAGAAGGCTTTCCAGAGGACGCGATCAGAGAGGCATGGGAAAGAGAAAAGAGATTATTTACGAGAGTTTCGAAGATCGGAGACAGAGATTGGAAGAGAAACGTCGGCTCTGGTCAGCACCAGCCTTAATTATAATACTCCGGCCGCCGCCAGAAAGTCGATGCTGGAGATGAATAATGACGAGTTTAGGCTTACAATTGAGAGGTTTATTGCTACCACGAAGAAGATTTTGAAGGAGGAGAGTATTGCTTTGTTAAGTGAGGAGAAATAAGGGTATTTAGCTATTAATTATAGATGATTAATTAATATTTGTAGTGTCAGTAAAAATGAGTACGTACTAAAAATAATTAGGAACCGTAAAATCCATCTCGATTTTATGATGTTGCTCTTTTTTTTATCGTGAGTTTGGATATATATTACTCATGTTTTCCATTTTATGACAATTACGCTTTTCATTTATTTTTAATTTTTTTTCTTTTATTTATGCTGAAATTTTAAGCTGATGGGAAGCTCTTCAGTTGAACTGTGCTTGATTTTCTTGTGCTCAGAAGAAATGCGATCCACATGAAACTAGACAGTGATGGACTCCAGAGTACGGACTTCGTTTTTTGGCATGTTGATGGCTCTTCCGCTTTTTTGCCCACAGCATGATAGCGATGGCTGCTCACTGCTCAGTGTAAATCATTATCAGTTAAAAAGTGGAGGGTTTTCACTTCCATGTCATATATATGTGAGAAATTAGCAACGGCAATTGACATCTTATTCAAAAACATAAAATTAGAACTTCTTCTGATCATTTGTTCAAATTTAACTCCAAAAACCATTAATTGAAAGAATAATGTCTTTGAGGAATTTGGGTTCTCAGATACAGTTTATGTTCATTTCCTGTTCTCCTCGATAAATGAACTTGAAAAGCGAAACCCAGTCCATCATTTACTTTTGTAGAGTTTAGTCGAATTTCTCTTTCACGTTATCTCTATAAAGATCTTCTTTTATCCGTCGGGATTTGTGAAAAACCATACTGTTAGGAACATATTAAAATATTAATACTCAGGCTAGATGTCAAGATCCATTCTTTACTTGGCAACAATCAATAAGGTATAAAGACAAAATTACTTGATAGGAGTTGTGTGATTGATAGTCTCTTTGGCAGCCGCAAAATTTGGCTTTTTTAAGTGCCTAATTGCCCGGACCGACGGGAAGAAGCATTTTTTATCCTCAAAAGTTAGGATTTCACGAGTAAAAATAACTTTTTCCCCCATGGTTAAAATAATTAAATCTATTCTTATAATTTAGTAAATTTTTAATCTGTTTTTATATTTTTAATTGAGTTAATTTTTATCTTTCAATATACATTAAGTTTTTAATTTATTTTTTATCAAGATTTTCAAGCCAATCCAATAAAATTATTCACATGATTTACACATAATTAATTTTTATTTTCAAAATAATTTTACAATTAAGTCAAATAAAAAAAATTATATGCAAATCATATGATTAACTCCGATAGTTTTGTTTGAAAATAGATTAAATACTTAATGAGAAATTTTACCTTAAAAAGAGAGAATTAAAAAAATAAAGTTAAGTGAAAATATTCTTATGGATTTTTATGGGTTTGGATATAAATTTTCTCTCTCTCTTTTTTTTTTTTTTTTGGGTATTTTGATCTCTCTATTTAAAATAGGTTCATGAAACAAGCAATGTTAGTTACTATTTGACATTTTAAAATTTCTATATGCTTAATGTATGTTCAATGTTTAATTAATTAAAAATATAATGATAAATTGATGAATTATTTTATTATACAAAGATATATTAATCTATCGAATTTTTTATTAAAAGATGGAATATAATTTATATTGTATTTAGAGAGACCAAGACATTAAATTTCAATGGATTATCTCGTAATTGCAAAATTAATAGATTAGCAGGCGATATGGGGAGCAATCATACATAGAGGGGAGAAATTGGGAATGGCATTGCCATTCCTAATCTACCTATTCTTCCATTCTTTTTCATTCTTTAATCTACTTTATGCACTGGGACCTGCGCAGAAAGTAAAGTGGGGAAAGAGCCATAAAGGTAAAGGGGGATTGAGGCATTATTTTGTTTGTGCTGGTGTTAAGAAATAACTTTGATGTGAGGTGGGTAGATTTTATTTTCTTGTATTATGATAAATATAGATTCCTTATAATGAAGCAGCTTGCTAGCTCTTATCCACTCGTTGTTGAAATTCTGCAACAAAAGGGATAAAGGAGGTATCTTTCTTATTAGACCCGCATTTCTTCTCTTTTGTTGCATATGGTGGTTGAGACACGAGCATCAATATTGTACTAATTGCCATGATCATCTCAATAATTTTCTTTTGGAACTTCCAAGGACCTCTTCCCTCCACACGTTAGTATCAAAATCCTGCCTGTTTGTTGTAATTGATAACAAAAGTTGGCTTGGTGGTATAGAAAGTATATTCATTCGTTTATCAATATTAAGTTCGGATATTCTTTGCATTAAGTTGTTCAAAATACCAATGAAGTTCTCCCAAGTTCCTTAATTTGAATATAAATGATTTACTAAATAGTTTATAGTCCAATAATAATGGTTTCTTACAACAAGAAGTCACAAGTTTAAATCTTAACAGATTAATTATATTAAAAGTTAATTTTAAATATGTGAGTTAAAAAAATCTACAATATATATATATATATATATATACACTTTTAATTTTATTAAAAGTTAATTTTGAGTGTGTGAGTTAAAAAAATCTAATATATATATATGACTTATTTATCAAATTGGAAGATTAGACTTATTCCCAGTTAACTCAAAAAATACCACATAAATATTGTAAAATTAAGAGGGGGAAAAAAAACACTATAGTGTAGCATGCTTGTACTCATTTGGGTGTTTTCAGTTTCTTGCCTCATCTTCATGGTACTGAAGATGACAGACATGTTGCCTATTCCAGTACAAATTGCTTTCTTTTTGAGTTCTACGTCAGACAAGAACTTCATCCAATGAGTTCCGACCAATGTTTTTTTTGTTTTTCTTTTTTAAACCAAAACAAGTTCAATTTCCAGCACACGGAAAAATTTCCATCTTTTCCTATCAGTTATGATGCTAACTTAGAAATCAACCATTCCCCATTTCTGATTTGGGTTTTTAATTTCATTTTATATTGTTGGAAAAGATTGTTCGGAGGATTTTTTTTAACATATCAATTTTGACAAGTAAATTATAAATTGGTCCCTTTTATTTAGAAAAATGAATTAATTAATCTATTTTTTAAAAAAAAACTAATTATTTAGTTTTATATGTTTAGTTCTATCAAATGACTTGGCCCTTTTATCAATTTTGCCCTTAGATTAATTATTTTTATTTTCAAATTGTCGTTTTTTAAATTTTAATTGATGAGAGAGAGAAAAGGTGGATAAAAAAAAGATATAGAGAAAATATTTTAAAAAATCATTAATATAACAAAAACTGATAAAAATATTCACGAAATTAAAATACAGAGCTAAGAGCTAAATGGTTAGTTATTAAAATGAAATACAATAACTAATTCGTTTCTCGAAACCAGCAGAACTAATTTATAATTTACTCCAATTTCGATTATTGAAACAGCATAAGAAATGGTCAGTAAGATAATTAAGAAAGAAACGTTAGTCATTTTATTTTATTCTACTTTCCTAAATGTTAGTCCGATGCTGTGGTGGACCGTGGTCCTTGCGTATATGAGAAGCCTCTGTTTCTGACAGGGAGCTGGTAGTAGTTTCATAGTTTCACAATAGTAAAATAATATCCAAATCATGTAATGCAAAAAGTGAAAAGAAAACTAATTAATGCCGACAGAAACTACAGAATATTATCTTATACTCAAGTTTTCTTATAGAAGCTTATGTAACCTTGTCTCTTAGGTTTGTCATTTCCTTTTCAGATACTGCTAACTAGCTGTCATGTGAGTCATGGCCAAGAAATATAAGAAAGACGTCTCCCTTTTTTTTCTTTTTAATTCTCAAGATATTTCAAACCTAAAAATTCAAAATAATTTTTAAACGAGTAAAACTCTTTCATTGAAATCAATTTTATTGACGTCTCATTCTGTATTTTATAGATACCAATGGACTCTCGTTTATTGAAGGAATTGTTTATCCGTAATCTCTCTCTCTCTGTCTCTCTCTTCAGCCACACCTGCTAGCATTTTATTAACAACGAAGAGTGGATTTGACAAGACAACTAGATTACATTAAATTGGTGAAAATTAAAGCAGACCTTAAACACGTGAAAAGGCATATGATAAGGTTAAGTCAACATCATCAACTGTGCAACTGGGTGTTGAAGACGAAAAAATTAATCCATTTTGTAACCTGAAATTGCAACAAATCTTAAGCAAAACAAATAGCAACAACCTGTATCCGACAATTGTTTTTAAGATACTCAACTACAATTATTATACTTTTCACTTGTCTTTTAACGTTTTTGTATTTGTTAGATTATCATTACTGTTTATAGTTGGTCGTATTTGGATGGTGGGAAAAAAGAAAAAGATTGACCAGTGTCGAAGAAGCATACCTATAATTTTTATGGAAATCTAAGCAGCTTATTAATTAATCTAGCAAGAGATAAAGTAGATGATAAATTTAATGATAGGACAACTTCCCTAGATATTTAATAGTTAACATCTTAAGAAATTCAAAAGAAAGGGAAATGGCATTACTTTAGGAAAAAAAACTATTGTTTTTAAGATACTCAACTACAGTTATCATACTTTCACTTGTCTTTTAACGTTTTTGTATTTGTTACATCATGCTCAATGTTTATAGTTAGTCGTATTTGGATGGTGGGAAAAAAAAAGAAAAAAAAAGAAAACTGACCAGTGTCTTCGCCTGAATAGAAGAGGCATATTTATAATTTTTTTAGAAATCTAAGCAGCTAATTAATTAATCCAGCAAGAGATAAAGTAGATGATAAATTTAATGATAGGACAACTCCCCTAAATATTTAGTATTTATCATCTTAAGAAATTCAAAAGAAAAGGAAATGGCTTTACTTTAGGAAAAAAACTATGTATAACATGATCTAGTGCAGAATTTAGGACTGCAGTCCACTATTCTCCTAAGACAAAAAAAGGAAAGAAAAAGCTATAAAAGAATGATTAATTGCAATCTACGATGCATCCATAAGTTGCACGCAGGGATCTGACTTCTCTGTTCTCGTTTTCTCAATCTTTTAGATAACTTTAGTCGAAATGTCCATTAAATTGCAACATTTTGTAAATAATGCCACGAGTATTGTGATAACAAAAGTAGTGTTCGTATGTGTCTATACGTAAGAAAAAGAGCTTAACCTTTTTGCTTTTGCCGCTCTAGGTTTGCTTTTTAATCCCCATAATAATAATAATAATAATAACAATAATAAACACTAAGGAGCATTACTTAGCAACAAAGCAACGGTAGGCAAACGAGTGGAGATGACCCAAATTGGGCCATTACATTGCAAAAAGGAGCTGCAATCGTGTGTACATGTTAAGCAAATAACAATGACCTATTGCAATATTAACGGCCAGTAAAGATCGAACTCAGAAAGTACCTCTCCACTTTATATTTTGCATAGCCAACTTATAAAATCAAGAATCGAAGGTCCACCAGCCAATTATTGGAATATATATAATTTGGGTATTTCATCCATTTTGGAGTCATGGTGTGCTTGGGGAACACTGGCATTATATGAAATTTGGACAGAACTTGTTTGTGTGGAATTAATTTGTTAGAATTAAAACAGTTATATCAACAATTGCAAAGAGTCATGGCTTCCATTCAAAATATTCTAAGGCTTCTTCAGTGCTATATCTTACATGTTTTTATAACACCTAGCATATCATTTATTCAGAAAGTAGAACACTTCAGAGATATTCCATGGAGTTTAAAAAAAAAAAAATGGGGTGAATTTTTTTTCTCCTTAAGGAGTCAAAATTGGAGGCTTTGTCCCTAAGGTTAGGTGGTGTCCCCTATTGTATATGCTAGAACAGTTTTGTCTCATTCTAGCAGATACAAATATTCATTTCGTTTAACTACATGGATGCTGTGACGGGTGGTGATCGATTAGATTATATTATCAGAGCATGTCATATGCTACCTAAACTTAACGTGGCATGCTTTTGTTCTCTAAGAAATTAATCAAGCCATGAGTTTAATCAATCACAGATGCACACATCTATCTATCTCATGTTTGGATTGCAAATGTTGTTTGACATTCCTGTATGCTTATTGTTCACCAACAGGGATCATGTGTCTGTCTGTTGATCTAATCTGTGTCTGTATAAATACTACTGGTATTGTTTAACACATTATCATCAAGCAACTCCTACATTGTGTAGAATTACTCCATATTAAGAATAAAAGGTCACACAAAGATTCATAGTACAATGGTTGTATATTCATGTAATTTTTTTATTAAAATAAGATTTGAGTTTTAATAACTCAATTTTTTTATTGGGTAATGAAAAAAGACTACTCTCGTTATGTAGTCCAAGACTTACGTACCTACGGATGAAAAAAAAAAATCATGTATAGAAAGTGGGAGGCAAAGAAAGGCTTTTACAAAGTCCATATTTCTGACTGATTACAAGTCTATGTTGCTTGACAGTCATACATGTCATGAAAACAAAGCTTTTAGACTAGAACATTGCATATATTAAGGATTAGGTAAGAATCCTGCCTAATTTCTATTACAACTAGTAATAACCACCCAATAAACTAAGTACACAAAGCCTTCACTTTTTCCCCTTTGAGGCAGCTTGTATAGACCATATTCTACCCACTATTTGTTTAATGAGAGCCATTATGCAGAGGCGGCGTCCTTTGTATTAGTAATACGGGTTACATGAACGGGACAGCCACTTTTTAATCTGGAGAACAATGCCCATTTCTTAATACTTGAGTCTGAATCTATCACCTTCCACCTGAAAAAAAAAAAAAAAAAAAATTCATGTTTGACATCCTAACAAATATAATATTGATTGTGATTGCGTTTCTGCGGGTGCTAGTTGCATTTGAGAAATGTGAAATAAAATTTCAAAGCATGTAGTTTTTAGACTTTAATCAAAATTGCAGGTAGCTATAATTCAGGATCTGATATAAATAACTATGCTGGAGAAGTGAGTTATTGCAAAGCCAGATTAAAGATAAAGAAAACTCACTTGTATGTGGTGATAAGACGGTGAAGGAAGGCTAGCATCATGGCTTTAGCCATGTTCATTCCCAGGCAGGTCCTTGCTCCCATCCCAAATGCTAAGAAGCTGTAAGGCTTTGAGTCATCCTGTATATGAAAAACAGAAAGGCCTTGTCGATCATTAGTCTTAACTCTTAATCTCTTCCATTAAGTTAATCACAGAGAAACGGGAGGAAAAAGAGAGTAATGAAATCAGACATGACAATAGTTGAACTTACATTAAACCTTGAAGGATCGAACTTGTTGGGGTCATTGTACAGATTATGGTCAAGGTGTATTGATCTAGCATCAACATTAATGTTCCACCCTTTCTTCATCTTAAATCCTACGAAAGCAAAACCACAAAAGGACTAATAATGTCATTTATCAGGATCAAAGACAATATTGGGTGGAAATTGGAAGAATTTGTTGGGAAACAAACCTTCAATCTCACAATCCTGGAGTGCTAATCTTGGAATCCAAGATACTATAGATGCCATCCTTAACGATTCTTTGACTACCTGTTTGCGATCATTTATTTTTTATTTCAAAATGCACCAAATTATAACATGAGTCTCTCAAGAAAATTAATGAGGGAATTACAAACAGCCCCCCACCACCCCCACCCGACACACACACACACTTGTATTAACCTTAGAGGCATATGGCATCTCAGTAAGATCTTCCAGTGTAAGAAATGGCCTAAGTGGGTTTTTTTCTGCAAGCTGAAGTTGTTCTGCCTGCTCCAAACAAGAAGCACCATTGTCATTTAACTTAACTTCTTTTAGTACTCTAACCAAAAAATAGTTTTTCTTCCAGTCGTGCATATAATATATGTGTATTGATGCTTGAATGTGAAAAAGAATACTAAGTTTTCTACATACTCTGAGTGTGTCCAAAACATCTTGATTTTCTCCAAGGTACTTGACCATCCATGCAATTGCACTTGCTGTTGTATCCTGACCTACATAGACAAGCTATGATTCCCTTAATTTTGAACATTTATGATGTTAAAAGAAAAAGGGACAACATCAAATGTGGCAAGATAAAAATTTTATTGCCTTGCACTTAACAATCAGATTCTGACCTGCAATAATCATGGTCAAAATGTTGTCTTTTATCTCTGTGTCTGTCAGCCTATAGGCTTCATCAGAGCCTGCCTTTTCATCTTCTATCAATAGGCATTGCAGAAAATCTTGTTGATTGCGTTGCGAGCATCTTCTTTTTTCAGTTATAATCAAGTCCAGTGTGCTCATGATCCTTTTTCGGGCCTGAATCATTATCATTTTTTTCAGGATTATCAAGTTCCTCGCATCAGAAAGGGACACCCGAATTTGGGTTCAAAAGGGAATTTAATATAGTTGAAGACCACAACATGAAAAGCCCATTTATCATTTAATGGGCTTCATTTGTAGATTACCTTAAGGCCTTTATAAAATCTAGTCCCGGGAAATTTCAAGGGAAATGCCAGCATTGCTTCACAGACATGAGTTATGTCCTCTTGCAGCATATTTAGTTTTTGCCCATCCTCTAAGCTCATCAACATCTTGCACATGGCTTTGAAGGTTATCTGCACCAAATACAATAACACCAAGATCAAGATCATGGCTTTTCGGCTTTTATTCTTGGATTCAAAAATGATATTTCTGAAGAAGAACTCAATCAAATTGGGCCTACGATTGGTTTTGTCCTAAAAATTAGCCTCTTCTAAGGCTCAATTCATATTATCGTTTAAGAGGCTGTAGATATTTACAAAAGCCCGTTGGAAAATTAAGTGGGTCAACTAATCAAGCATCTAGTGTTAGGGTATCCTAGCTCCAGTTGACATGGATGGGCTCCTGAGAGGCCCACAAATGCTGGCAAATTTGGGCCCAGTAACTGGATCGGGCAAATATTTGGACCACAAGAGCTCGTCCACTTGTATTGGGATCCCTTTGTACAGCACAAAAAATGTAATTAAATATGTTTCTCTTCTTTAAGGATTATCAAGTTCGTGGCAATAGAAAGTGAAATTATAGCCCAACTTTAAATATTTGAATCAATTTCTTCCTCATTCAAACTAATTCAAAAGGGATAAATAGTCTAATTTTTTATGAATTTTAAGTAACTTGAAAATTATTTTTTAATTTTTAATTTGAGATTGGATCTCTCTTTTAATTATTTTGTATTTAAAATTGAGTCATTTTATTATATTTTCATGCAATTTGTCTTTCCTTTTAGAATTTTTTTTTATCTCCTAAATGCTAAAAAAAATAAGTAAATAAAGAACATTAAAATGCAATGAACAAGTTTTTAAAAGAAAAATATGACTTTTATAAGTTTTGAATTGTTTTTAACTGTTATATAAATTAAAAAAAATAATAAGTCATTTGTAGGGATGGCAATAGACAAGTACTAGGCCCTTTAATTCAATTTTTTATCCTATTCATTAAAAAAAAATATTATATCCGTTGCTCATTAAAAAAATTATCATATAAATCTTTACGTAGTTCATACTCGATCCACATTAACTTACCCGCCCTTTTAATATCCATTAAAAATAATATATAAAAAATATTCATTTTAGTCCTTATAATTTTTTATATAAAAAAGTTTTTGGTCCTTATTTTTTTTTTTGTCATTTATTTATATTTTTTTTGTACTCAAAGTTTTTTGAAAAAATATCTTGGTTCTTGATTTTTTAATTTTATGCAAATAAATCCATATATATTAATAAAAAATCAAAATAAATGAGTGGATATTAATAGCATAAAAAGTGAGTATCCATATCCTGAACCATATCGGTGGATAAATATTTTTTTATCCTCACCTATTTTGATATTCATTGAATATTTTTAATAGATATTTATTGAATTAGATAAAACGAGATATTAATGGATAAATATTTTTTTTATCCTCACCTACTTCGATGCTAATTGAATATTTTTAATGGATATTTATTAAAATCGATAAAGCGAGATATTCATTTTATATGCGGCTCTTTATCATCCATAACCATGTATAAGTTTCATATATCTTTACGAGTTAAAATTAATGAAAATAAAAAAAATCTAAATTCAAACGAAAAATAATTATAAATATATCCAACTCAAAATTAAAAGTAAAATGATATAAAATTCACAAAAAATTTGAACGATTTAACAATTCAAAGATTTAGATATTCTGTATGTTCATTTTAGATATTTCAAATGATATTTTAATATAAAGCTAACTGACCTCGAGTGCCTGGTCAAGTACAGTGATGGTGCCCGCATTTTCCCAAGTGCCAAGACTCTTCACAGTCAGTTCATCAAAATGTTTGATGAAAATAGAAATCGAACTCGTCGAGAATAACTTCGCCAAACGGCTACGGATGAGCTTGTGGTGTTCATGAGAAGCACATAGTAGGCTCTGATCCCCCACAAGCTCTGCAATTGATTTTATGTATCTTTTTGTGAATTTCCCCGATTCGTTAATTAAGATTGTCTTAGCTGATTCTGTGCTCGAAACAAAAACTTGTGTCACTCCAAATATGTTGGTCTTGAAGCAATTTCCATACCTGTCGTAATCAAAATGAAAAATTAATTAATACATCTCCCTTGCATTCATATTTTTCCAAATTTGTATTATTTCATTAGGTTTTTTTTAATTATTATTTTTATGCTAATTGAGGGATTCAGATTCTCCACATGACGGGTCGGGTAGTATTTCTAATCAATACAATTTATTACCTTAAACGGCGAGCTCGGATGAAGTCGTAAAAACCTCTGCCGCTACTGACGGCTGCCAAGAACTGTACGGTCTCTCCGATCAACGGTAATCCACAACTACCCGGTGGGATATCAGCCTTTGCTATCTGATTATGGTACCTTGGCTTCTTTACAAATTGGCGATACAAAAATAACAAGGCACCAAGAAGAAGCACCCCGTAGAAACAAAGGGAAGAATGCATGTAGGGCAACAGAGGCTGCATTTTTTTTTTTTTTTTGCTTTGGAAATAAAACATAAAACTATCGTGGTATGGCTATAAATATTTGAAATTGCACAGTTTGGGCCATGTGTACGGTCGAGAAAATGGATGTCGGCGTTTTGGCCTACGGGCAATCATTTATAGATGGAAAGATCCCTCGTTGACGTAGCCCCTCCACGAGTGATAATCTCCACTACAGCTTTCTTTCATGGTTTTGAGCCATTTGTCCCGTTGCCGTTTTCTGCCTTCCACTGAGTGTGGGCTACAGATATCGAAATCATAGATCAAAGTCGCGGGTAATTTTGTCGTATTTAATTTTCCAGCTCGCGTGTAGTGATTTCACTAGATCGATAGATGGATTGATTAGGTGTTGGTCTCCCCATATGTTATCTTAATTGATTATTTTATGGTTTTATTTGCATGGTAATTAGTCAAACTAATCTTAACCAAAATAAGAAATTATCTAGTTGAATATTTTCCAAAAAAAAACATTTTGTGTAAACTATGTACATTCGTGATTCATGCTGCAGCCTTCTAGAGAGATAGAGAGAAAAGTTCACAAGGGATGGTACAAGATATGCACATAACCGTTGTTTCCTATTGGATTAACAGATAAATTCATAGAAGCAGGTGGATGGTATTGTCTCGGGGAAAATATGGGTGTGATTTTTGGACCAAGGAAGAAATTGAGGGAGAAGCATTTGGTGTTGCACAACAATTGAATTGCAAGAAACACACTCAAAATTTTAGATTTTGAACTATAATTGCCACCAGAAGTGCTTAATTATATTCGTATATATTTTATTGATTTTTAATGCTAATAGTTTTGAAGGATACACAAATTTGTGAGTATGTTGCTAATAGCTCTTAGTAGACTAAGATGGAATATACAGATGACTTACTATAACTCATCTGGATGTAGGTGGAAGATAACCCCATATATATTTTGTGAATTACGTTGCATAATTAATGACTGCGGGCTTCTTTTTGAAGGTACATCAAGTCAAGGAAAATTGTGACTTTTAAAAATAAAAAAAAGGTGTGCCAATAATCTAATTTAAATGTTAATACTGCTACCCATTTTTCCTTTAAAAAAAAAAATATTATTTGTAAAATTAAAAAATATATATTATTTGTAAACAAATAAGATATATAGAGAGTTAGGGATGACGAATTCGGTCTAATGGTACTTTTTACTCTTGAAACTAGACTAGTATTATAAATTCTATCAATTTTGTTTTAGAAGTGTTACTAAATTTTTGATATGCGTTATGCTATAAGTTGGATAAAATATATAAAATCATTTAAAAAAAGTATTTCAGTTTAATAATTTATTTTATAGTGTGAATCTATAACAATATATGAAATCAAACGTAAAAAATAATCATAATTTTTTAATAAAAAATTTTGTATTTAACTATTTCTTATTTGTGTTCTTCATGTTTTTTTCTTTATAAAAAGGATTTATCCTTGTTGATCTATGGATTATTAACTATAAAGAAAATTAAATAATTTTTTAAAAAGTTTTTTAGTATTTTATAAGATTGTGTTGAAAAACAAAAATAACAATTACTAAAAGCCTATATAGAATTGAAAAAATATATTTTTTTTATTTCATGTTGATGCGAATATCGATTTTTGAAAAAAATATGAATTTAATTTTTATTAATTGGATGAATAATATTAAAATAAATTAAAAATTTGAGTAAATATAATTTTAAATTAATTGGATGAGAATTTAAAAGAAATGAAAAATTAATGAAAATAGTAATAAATGACAAAATATGAGTACTAAAATTCTTTATTATAATATATGTTTTTTTTTCTGGAGAAATACATTTTATGTAATTGTTAATTAATAAATTATGTTATGTGATAGTATGTGCTTATAGACATAATTACTTTTTGAAAAAAAATTATTTTTTCAAATTAGATATTTTAAAATTTAGAAATAAATAATAAAAAAATAAATTATTGGTTTCTTTAAAATTTTAATACCTAACATTATTAAGAAACAGAAATTAAAAAAAAAAAAAAAAGAGAGAGAATTCAATGTTTAGGGAAAAAAAGAGGGAGCCAGCTATTACTCGTTCATGTGAACAGTAAATGGACGGAAATTAAAAAAAATTGAGTGTTTAGAAAGAAAAAAAAGGGAGAGGGGGGGGAGGCAAGGCGTTTGTTGTTCAAATGAACAGTAAGTTGAAAAAAGAAGCTAGAGGGTGCTAGGCAAAAAATAAAATAAAATAAATTTTTTTTAAAAAAACTAAAAGATAACAATGAATAGTGATAATCACTTGTTTATTACTGTTCATTGCTACAGTAAAAATGTTTTATTTTAGTTTATAGTATAATGTTTTAGATACATATTGTTCTTCCATTTGATTTGTTCTTATTATTGATCAAAACCCTCTTTAAAAACCTAAATTTTGATATTTTTAGTTAAAAATTTTCACATATACTAATAAAAGTTCAAAAATAATTTAAATTTTTTTTGAGATTTAGAAATATTTTTTAATTTTTCTTAAATTGTAAGAAAATAGAAAATGATTTGCAATGATCCCAATTTTTGTGTAGAGGGCTCAAAAAATCATATACATTCATCTACTTAGTTTTAATATAATTCTCAAAATATTTATACAGTGGAATACTTAACGCCTAACTACAGTTTGAAATAGGTTAATTTTAAAAAGCCATATATGCCAATATTTTGATAATTATACTTATATATGTAAACTCATATGACTTTTTTAATTAGAACCTCCCAAAAAAATTGAAATAATTCTAGTTTATTTTCTATTTTTTATAATTTATAGAATTTTTATTTTTAATAAAATAAAAACAACGATCTCCGATTTTAAAAAAAAAGAAAAGAAAAACGTGAGACTGAATATAATTTTCTTAGCATTTATGTAAAAGTTGAGCTCAAAAAATAGCCATAATTGTATTTATCATTGATAATAATCAAATCTAATAAAAGAGCAACATTTATTAAAAAGATGATAATTCAAATTCAATGATAAAATTGATCTAATTAATAGTACTGATCTAATTGTGCCACAAAGTCAAATAGTTCATGGGCACCAATTGTCATGGAACCCATAAAGTTTTTATTACACAAATAACCTAGTATAACCTACTGTAATAATAATAATCTGCATACTACTCCTTTCTAACCAACGAAATGACCAAATTGGTGTACTTTGTTCCGGTCTTTGACAAGTAATCCTCCACCATCTCTCCGTACCTCTTGAATAATTCATCCATTATCTCCTTTCCAAAATGAGATTCCAGCATTGACTCCACTACGGCTCTAATTGTCTTGGCCACTCTCTGTCCACGTGATTGTGTAGCCATGGTGGGGCACACAACATCGACACCTCCATCCCAATCAATTTCAAAGGCTTCAAGCCGACTGACGCTGAAAGAACCTTCTTTCTCTATCTCTAGGTTCATTTCTTCCACAGATGGAGCATAGTAAGGGGCATTAAAGGAGTCAACCTTTTCCTCCTCGACGAGACCCTGCTTGTCAATGCATGACAAAATTAAAAGAGAAACAAAAGCTTCATCTCTTTATATAACTTTGGAGGTCTTGTCTACTCTATACTTAAGAAAGTTTTTGGTTCCATTCCAAACTTGGTTACACATTTTGTGCTGGCATGCATATATAATCTGCGTTGCACCAACTTTATTCGTTTAATTAGATGCATAAGTAGATCCAATATAGAAAATATTACGGCAAAAAAGAAATAAATATTAGCAACGTTAAACGCGCCAGGCCTTAAAAGATATAGACTAGGTGAGATGTTCCGAAAAAAGGGAAGATATTTGATTAAACTATTTTCTTTCGAGTGGAAAATACGAGAAGTGTTTCGGCCAGGTCAGGAGGAAGGACAAGCATCATCCACTACGACTTGAATTTCTAGCGCTTTGCAATATCTGTAGTTCTAATTCTTAAATAAAGAGAAAAATGTCTTAACTAGACAATCATCATTCAAAATTTCATATCTCCAAAGAAATTAATGCTCCAAGTGGTCAATACTTCATATCTTAATAGAATTTAAGTTCTCAAATTCAAACAGGGAAGAAAAATTTCTTGACAGATTTATAATACGAAACGTACCTCTGGAACCATGCTCATTAGTGCCTGTGCTAAGAGCTCCCAATGGTAGCAACTCTCGTCTGTGGTGGGATCAGTCGATCTCCTGCCCATGAATGACAAGAGCATGCAGCCTCCAGGAACCATTTCCTTTGAACGTGATTTCAGAAACACCGAAAAGTCTGTCTGAAACTGCAATGAGTATGCTTCTAACACACACTGCGGACTTGTCTTCGATATATAAAGCTTTCCTCTGTTCAGGGTTGTCCTCGCGCTGCTCTCTAGACCAGCTGGAACCTGTTCATATTCAGCTACCTTTCTTAAGCATCAGCATAGATGGAATCTAAGAAAACATTGATTGCTTGTGTAAACCCAGTTAATTACGCCACTGCATGCAAGTCCATGAGAAATTAAGAATAACGTAAATCCATTGTTAATTCTTTTCTTCTTGATTAAATTAAGAAGTTACTTAATTATATCTATCAATGTCTTAATCTATAGTACTGCGGCCCACCACCACCACCACGTGCTACCCATTTGTCCTTGGGCGGCACCTAACTGACACTGTTTGGCCCAATATTTCGACATGTCTTATGAATGGTCCATAAGATTGATCGACGACCGCTTTGACTTTTATTTAGTGGTCAAGATTCAGTTGTGATAATTACACATTTTTTCAAAAAAAAAAAATCATAATTTTTACGTGTAACAGCATAAAATGATGTCAAGGAAAAGATCACCCTTGAGATGGCAGGGAGGTGATGAGGTTCCATTTTTCAAGCTGGCTAGGGGACATCCGCCCCGTCCTCCTGAATAAGAACATGCACCCTTTTTATCCCAGAACTGAATGCAGTTTTTAATTACTAATGTTTTTTTAAATAATTTCTATCAAGACGTGAAAATATGAAAAAACTAGCGCTGCAAAAGAGAAACTGTGTACTAGGTTGGTGAATTTAATTGCACGTATAACTGTTCTCTTCGTCACTGAAAAGGCCCAAACGATTCAAATGCAACAAAGAGAGGGACAAATGTGTGCCATTTTTAAATTCATCTAGCAAGTTTTGTCGCATTAAAAAACCTGCCTGATACTCTACGCACCCTTTTTTTTTCCACCAAAAACGCGATTTAAAAAAAAAACTCATTTTCCAGTTTGCCGTTAAGACCGTAAGAACACTGAAACCCAAGCTCTTTAACTAGATGAACCAGGTGGTTTATGTGAAACAAACCCTGTTTTGGCTAGGTAATTGTTTCTACATGAACTTGATCGAATTGATAAAGCATGTCTATGATACAGACCTGCGAGAGCCAGTGAAGGCTAGAAGAAGAGTGCACACAATGCAAGCTCCTGCTAGGAAATAATCTACCATAGAAAGAACCCGGCATGGCTGCTACAAAGCAAGGCCCGAACCCAGAGCACTTCTCTTTCTTTAATTTGTCGTAGAATGCTGGCAAGGATCCAAAAATGAAATTGAAGTCATTGCAAGGAAGATCATTCAAGGAGACCGTAAGTTCCGGTGTTGGACGACCCAAATCTCTGCATTTGGCGTAGATGATATCAATAATTTCGGAGATCACTGATAAGGAGTTAGGTCCAGAGGAGCAACCCAGGTCTGCAATGCCCATGATGTCAGGGATATTGGTGCGCAACATTTGCATTATAGCCTCCTCCTTGACTTGCTTTCCAAGAGATATTATCTTGTTCTACAAAATTGAACAATTAGGACTGGGTCATATTAGCTGCACTTCATGTGATGACCGAGACAAAAAAGAAGAAGAGGAGCTTCTTGTCAAGGATAAACCACAAGAAAATCAATAATTTGCAAATTAACCATGTGAAGATTAGAACATATTTTATTTGCTTCTTAGATATTCTTTTTTTGATCTTTAACGTGACATCGATTACAACGAAACTGTTGGAGCAAACATACGTCGTGCACATATTGTTATAAGATATAAGAATAAATAAAAAGAAAAGGGTTGCAAACCTGCACTTTTGAGTTTTTTGCATAACTAGTTTCCCCATCTCCTTTGTTCATGTGAAGTACTTGCATTACTTCTATCTTCATGCTCTCTCTTCAGCTAAAATTAATCGCAAGTGAAATGTTTCACATATTGATGTTCTATATATAGAGAGGCAGGCAAGGAATCGGGAAAGTCAGTGCACGTGTACAAATCTATTAACTATAGTTAGTTTAGCTAGCTAATTCTTAACTATAGTTAGTTTTCTGTTGTAACTAATTTGTATAGTTTATTATTGCATTTAAGGTTAGTTAGAAGATAAGTTAGTTTTTTGTTTTTTCTACCTTGTATGAGAGATTAGAAGAGAAGAAATAAAATCATAAGCTATTTCTCTTAAAGATCTTATTATGGTATCGAGCATATTCTTAGTTCTCGAGCTTTCGTTTTTGTTTTTTCTACCTGTGTATGAGAGATTAGAAGAGAAGAAATAAAATCATAAGCTATTTCTCTTAAAAATCTTATTATAGTATCGAGCATATTCTTAGTTCTCAAGCTTTCGTTTGTTTTTTTTGAATTTTTTGAACAACCAATCACTTATTTTTCTTTATGTTCTTCTTATTTTCTTCTACAAATCCTTGTTTTCATTGCAATGATTGCACCTCATGCATGTTACTTCTTCTTCGAGTTCTACGATTTCCAAACCTAAATAATAAATGTCTAGTCGTTATTTTCTTCATGCCAATGAGAATCCTTCTCTTGTACTAGTTTCTCCTCCACTTTTCAATTCCAATTATCACTCTTGGCATCAATCTATGAGTATGTCTCTCCTCTCTATGAATAAGTTACAATTCTTTAATGGAACTATCAAAGTTTCGGACAAATCTGATTTTTTTTATCCTACTTGGGAGAGATGCAATACAATGGTGTTATCTAGGCGTGTTTGATCTCTTTCCTATGAGATTGCACAGATTGTTCTTTGGTTAGATACTCCCTTGGAAGTTTGGATAGATCCACATGATTGCTTTTCTCACAATAACTATTTTAGAATTGCAGAGTTTCAAGAGGAAATCTATTCCTATAACCAAGATTTACTTTATATTACTCAATATTTCACACATTTAAAGATACTATTGGATGAGTTTTCAAATTTATGAACCATAATTTCATGTTTTTGTGATCCTCAATGTCATTGTGAAACTTATAAAAAAAATTAGGAATTTTAAGAATTGTGACTATGTGATCGAGTTCTTGAAAGATTTAAATAACAATTTTGCAACCGTGAGATCTCGAATGTTGTTAACGGATCCTCTTTCATCCATTAACAAAGTTTTTGGCATGGTCATCGAAAATGAACGACAACTCAATGTAGGCTTTGGTGTACAAAGTTCTACTAACAACGTTAGTACAAGTGTTGTCTTCTTTAATAAATTTAAATCTCAACTTGATAGTGGTATAGGTTTTTATTTCTCTAACACATGTGGTTTTTCTAGAAGAGGTGATTTTTCTAGTCGAAAAAAGTTAGTTTACAATGGGAGAGCCAAGTTTTAGTGTGTTTTTTTGTGGTCGGACAAAGTCGGTTTACAAGAAACATGAATTTCCATCGAGTTACAAGCTTTCTAACAAATCTCAAGGTGTTTTTAATGGATTTGCTAATCGAGTTGAGACCTCCTATGGTACCGATTCTTGTTTACACGAATGTCTCGCTTCTTCGGAAAGTCATTCGGTATAGCATCTCATTTTTCGGATTCTACTAGCATACAAAATTCTTTTCCCGAAGCTACCAGTTCTTTTCGTTGGTTTGGATTCCAGTATTCGACTCATCGCTTTTGGTAATTCTAGTTTCATACGATCTTTCTTTACGATAGACTAATATTCTAAACTTCTAGCCTTAATTCAACCTCCTCCGCAATCCTCTATTTTTGTTCCATGGTCTTTTACTTTTGTTGGTATCAATGCCTTATCCACCAATTTTTCTTCCATGATAGGTACACATAATTCTTTACATGGTTCCGTCATTTATAATCCAACATTATGGATATTAGACGCTAGTGCTTATATCACATTATTTGTTCTATACATCTTTTTCATACATATATCCATGTTTTCCATGTCTATGTTAAATCGCCTACTTGGTCAACAAGTGGTAGTTATACATGTTGACATAGTTAAAGTTTCTTCTACACTCATATTGCATAATACTCTTTTTGTTCCTAGTTTTTCTTTTAATCTTATTTCTATTAGTCGGTTAACCAAGGCGTTAAATTGTTCTTGGTTGTTTCATTCCGATTTATGTGTCGGACAATATCATAAATTTTTTTATTCCACATTGTCTTTTATTTCTATTCTTTCTTTAAATTCTTCACCTTCATAACCTTTTCAAGCTCCTCTCGGTTGATCAACAAGATCTAAAATTACACTTATATATCTTTAAGATTATCATTGTGCTTTACATAGTCAATCATCTCAAACTTTACTCTTGTTGGTTATACTTATCTTCTTCAAACATGTTCTACTCCTCATTTTTTATCTTTTGTTTTATCCTATTCTCATTGTTCATCTTCACATAAAATCTTTAGTGCTAATATTTCTACTACCATATAACCTAAAATTTATCATAAAGTAGTTAAGCATGACTATTGGAAAATAGATATAGATGTAGAAATTAAGACTTTACGGGACAATAATACTTGGAAAGTTCTTGATTTACCTACTACCAAACAAAGGTGTAAATGGGTGTACAAAATTAAGTATAAAGTTGATGGATCAATAAAAAAGGCATAAAGCATGATTGATGGTCAAAGGATATACACAATAGGTAGGTGTTGATTACCTAGATACTTCTCTCCGATGCTAAAATAACTATTATCAAAACCTTATTATCACATGTAGCTATCAATAATTGGCACCTACACCAACTAAACATTAATAATGCTTTTTTTTTTCATAGAGATCTTGAAGAAGAAGTGTATACGAATTTATCATTGGGGTTTCACAATTTCAAACCAAGACAAGTTTGCGGGTTGTTAAAGTCCGTTTATGGACATAAACGGACAAGTAGGCGATAGTAGTATGCTTAATTATCTACCGCTCTTATTGCTAAGGATTTCACTAAAGGTGCTTCGATCCTTCTCTATTTGTTAAGTCTATAGACATTTCCTTTATTTTCTTACTTATTTATATTGATTATGTCATTTTAGCAAGAAATGACATGGGATAAATTGCAACAATAAAGACTTTTCTACATGAGAAATTCAAAATTAAAGATTTAGGTGATTTGAATATTTCTTAGGCCTTTAGGTTATAAGATCTTCTAAAGGGATTAGTTTGTGCCGGAAGAAACATGCTCTAAAATTATTATAAGATACATATTTTATTGGTGCAAAGCCTATTAAATCTCTTATTCTAGCTATTGTCAAATTAAGTGTTGGAGCTAGCATTTTTTTTTAACATCACAACCTATAGATGGTTGGTGGGCGATTACTTTATTTAACCAACACAAGGCTCGATTTATCATATCCTGTTCAATAATTATCTCTCGTTTCGGACAAGCCAACTCAAACACACCTTATTGCAAAGCACATAGAATTCTTTTATATATTAAAAGTGCACTCGGGTAGGGGTTTTTTTACATCCAATAATTAGCTTTGGCTCCAAGGGGCCTTTGATTTCGATCTGGTCGCTTGTGTGGACATTAAAAAATCTATAACTAGATATCGTATTTTATTTGTCTCATCTCTTATATCCCGAAAATCCAAAAAGCAACTCACATTCTCTAAATCTTGATCGAGGTGGAGTATAGAGCTCTTGCAATAGTAACATGTGAACTGCAATGGTTTTTATACTTGATGAAGGATCTTCAACTTTACCTTCCTCATCCTCAATCAACATTGATCTTCTATGATAATTAGTCGACAATTCATATAGTAAAAAATCTTATTTTTCATGAGAGGATTAAACATATAGAAATTAATTATCACATTATGAGGGAAAAACTTATGCAAGGTGTTGTGCATCTTCCAATTTGTTCAACTAATCAACTTGTTGATTGCTTCACAAAACCTTTAGTACCTGCAGACTTTGCCTTGCAAATGTCTAAGCTCGGGCATCTTGGATCTTTATGCTCCAACTTGAGGGGGTATGAGTGCACATGTACAAATCTATTAACTATAAGTAGTTTAGGTGCTTAATTCTTAACTATAGTTAGTTTTCTATAGTAAGTAATTTTTACATTTTATTATTGCGATTAAGGTTAGTTAGAAGTTAAGTTAGTTTTTTTTCCTACCTCTTTATAAGTTAGTTTTTTTTCCTACCTTTGTATAAGAGATTAGAAGAGAAAAATAAAATCATAAGCTTTTTCTCTCAAAAATCTTGTCGATTAAAGATTCAAAATAATAGATACGGATTTTTTAGGGTAAAAGTCTTTATTTGGGTAAATTATGAAACATTTGAAGCATGTTAAAAAATATATGCCACATTAAATATCAATAGATACGTAATATATAATTTTTTTTAAATTTCATTTATTATAAAGTTTAAGTCTTATAATATATAGTTATTCTATGATTACACTTTTAAAAGGAGAGACAAATGCATAAAAAAATAATAATCTCAACTATCTAATTTTATAAATGAATATTATAGTATTTTTTCTACAAATGGAGGTTACGGTGGATGAATATTCAATAAAAACAAAACTACCATTTTTTCTCTACCACACCTACCAAACTACAAGATTGAAAAATGAAGTGCATCATATTTTGTCTATATATATAAAACATTAAATTAGCCATGATTAATCAATATATGGTATATATAGATCTAATTTAATATTACGTGCTAATGCTATATAGAGAGGGATATGTCATATTTATATTCGTGTGTGTATATACACACACATCAAAGTTGATTATGACTAACTTAATATTAATTAATTTTTTTCAAAAAATGTCTTATTTTTTCATAATTTTTTAATATTTTTTAGTTATTTTTAAAATAAATTGAAAAAGGTTATAAATAGCTAATTAAATAATTTTTGAAACAAAATAGATTATTTAACTCGTTGTGCAAAATTTATAATCTGCTCATCATCATCATTTAGGCTTTAAATGCAAACCAAGAAATTGGGACCGACTTGAACTCTCCTGTCAGAGCGACTCTCCTAGAGTTCGACTTTCCAACATAAACCTCGACGAGAACCACATGATAAAGTAATCCGTACAGTTGCAAATTAAGGTTAAAGGTCAAAGGCATAAATGATCCTTAAAATCAAACACTACACGCTAACCTCCTCGACACAGATCACGCAATATTTCTCGATCTCGAAACTTTCCATTGAAACCGACTTTAGTTGATGGAACCAACGCGTAATGTTGCAAGCAAGTCTTCAACGTGTAACATGCATGTTTTGATTTTGCCGTGTATTCTCCATTCTCCATTTAGGCTATAATAGAACTCCTTCAATATTCCTCATTTAAAACATGCCAAAATATATTTTACCAGTGATTGTGATGTGCACTGCTTAGCAAAGACGATCTGTTAGGACAATGCCGGTATATATTTTTAAGAAAACACGTCTCCAATTAACAGGGAAGCACCTATATATCTACGAGAAATTTATTTTTAGTGATCAGTGCTAGCTAGACACGATTTGTGTCACATGGTTCTTTTGATGAAAGTATCTCTGGTGGTGTGTGTCATTCTCTCAATCTTTTTCAGAACTTCTCTTACAAGCCTCACGCTACAGGTTGTCCTCGTCCGTCAGTTTTGCTTCACATGTCGTCTGTTTATCTGGGTACCGGTCAGGAATCATCCCTGTATATATATGGAGTTGTGCTGCTATCTTTGATATATATATATATTTATATGTATATAATTTTTATAATATGTTTTATATTTAAGTGAAAAATTAGAATACAACTCTTCTATCTAATTATTTATCCTTACATCCTTTCTTTTGTTACTTTTCATCAGTCGTACCATCAATTTTAATAGCATTGTTTCATCTACTTTCTAATCAAATAAGTTGATATATTCCAATGGATATCTACATAACAACTTCAAAATTTAAAAATCTATAAAATTTATAGTGGAACAAACAAATTTGATGGTAAATGATTGAAATAATAAAAAAAAATTGCAAAATTCAAGTTTTATTTGTTTTAAAAAATACAGTTTAAATGAAATTCAAATTTTCTTAATTTTGTTTTAAATTTCCTTTTAACTATTAGCTTTAACTTTTTTCAAATTTGAGTTTAATCGGAACTCATTTTTTTCTCCCATCAAATTTTTAGTTTAAATTAATCTTCTTTTTTTCATTAAATTTTTATTTTCACTTTCTGACGTATTGTGGATTTCTCTCTATAAACCTTTGGGACATTCTTCGTCACACTGGAGATTGTGGATGGACATTTTTTCGGCAAGAAATGGAACCATAGGATCTACGTCTTTTCTCTTCCGGACGAACTTATTTCTCGCGTGGAAAAACAGCAAAGTTGCAAAAAACTATTGTCTGACTTGATGCTAGAATGTACAAAAAAAAAAAAAAACAGAGAGACAAAACATTCAATCAGTTCTGAAAGATGAACTGGATATGGACAGTTTTAGTAAGAATTTATAGAGAATGGCATATATCCATTGCCGACATGTACGTGTAATCAGGTTCGCAATCTGTTAAAGTTGGCATGGGGGTGGAATCAGACCACTAGCTTATGTGTAGAGAATTATTGAATGAAGAGCAAATGCTGTATATGATCATAAATGTAAGCAGAGCATCGTTTCTTATTCTAAAAATGTGTTATTCTTCTCCATGATTTACTCTTGGGAAATTCCTTGACTTTTAGGTAGGTGCTTTTCTTGAGATTCTACTCCATCTAGCATATCGTTTTCTGAAATTCCTAGTCTGACGTAGCCCGCTATCGCTGTCCATACATTTGAGCCTAAATTTATTTAAGTGTTCCATGTTTGAATTCATTGCCCAAGACGTAGTCCAAACTAGCCTTATCAAATTCGGACTGGGCCCAACTAACGGATGAGCTTAAAAATAGGAGACAGGCCTTTCGATTATTCAGAAATAATAATAATAATAACAAATAACAAATAATCGCTTTATGCAGCGAACAAAAAGTATCTGATGGAACTGATTGATTTGACAATTGGTTGGACAACCGAATTTATAGCTTTTACCATTCGGTTTTTCACGGTAAGCTGATCTCAAATTGAATATATTTATTTTAATTTTATAATATGTATTAAGTTATCAATCTATTAAAATATATTAAGTTAAAAATAAAAAATAAAATATCATCTAATTTTATATTTTTTAATCAAAATTTTGAATCTAATTTTTTTGTTTATTTTTTAATAAATTTAGCATTTAAAAACATAATTTTTTCTTTCTTATGCATTTATTCTTAAATGAAAATCCATGATAATCTAAATATAAAATTTTTATAAATCATCTTATTATTTTTTTCATAATATTTCATTGAAGAAATAAAAAAAATAATTAATATAAAAAATTACATAAAAATTAACAAATGAATCTTTTTTATTTTTGTTTAATACCGATGAGAATAATTTTTTTTAAATAAGTATATATGATTTTTATATATTCAGTTACAAAATAATGAATAATATTAGTATAAAAAATTTATTTTAATTATTAATTAATTATTTTAAAATATTATTTTAAATATTTTGCTTCAAATAAATTAATTTTAAAATATTAAAAAAACAATAGCGTATTGTTAATGTTATGTGTGTAGATATATAATTAATTTTTAATAAGATCAATGGCCATACTTACTAGATAAATTCATTGGTTTTATTTGTAGTATAAAATATTAAAATTATAAAAAATATATTGACGTTAATAGAGTACAATAAAAAAATATAAGATTGATTTTGATAAAATTTGATTATATAAAAAATAAGTGCTTTAAAAACGTTAAGAATTCGTTTTAATAAAAGAATTATAAATTAATTTTTTTACTTATAGATATAGATATAGGTATTAATCATCTTGGCACGATTAATTAATTTATTTTAACTTGTTAGAAAACTTTGACGGTGATTTTTAATAATTTATTTCTTACAAAATATAAATTGAAACTTATAACTAATAATCCAACTTGATGTATTTCAATTTGCAACGGTGGCAATCTATGCATTTCCCCGTACATTTACACACATTTGCCTTTCCACTTACACCACTTGCATTATGCATTTTTAATGTTTGGCCAAATAATTTTATTTTGATCCCCAGTGTCTCGCAAAAAAAAAAAAAAAGAAATTGTTGATTTTGGGTGGGGGCTTGGTCCTCCTGGCTCGCTCCTTTAATTTCATTTAATTTATTTATATTAAAAGATTTTTTCAAAAATTTTTAAAATATATTTTAAAATATTTATGTAGCTTTATTTAATTTATTTTAAAACTTTTTAAAATAGTCTATTAATTTTCATACAAGTTCATATATTTTTAACGAATTTTCTTGAATTTTGAATCATATTTTTTTATTCAGGTTATTATAATTTTTATTTAAGAGTCAATGTATAAAGAAGAAAAGATAATGTATTTTAACTATACAATTTATATAAAACCTGAGAAAGAATTATTTAAATACCAAATTTGAATTAAAAAATTTATTTTTTTCAGTTTTTGATTTGATATATTTTAATAGACCTACAACATATCATGAACTATCAAATTAAAATGATTTTATTCTATTCTATCTCGCAAAGTTGCATAAGTAATCGACTAGAAAATCAATATTCTTAATAAACATATTTTAGATGATATTATTTTAATTGTTTAAAAATTTATTTCTTAAATTTATCATTTCTTATAAAGATTATCATCTAGTTAATTGTAATTTTAAATTTTGATTGTAGACGAGATATGATTTATTGTTTTTTATTTATGAATTTTTTAATAAAATCTTAGAAAGTGATTTTTTTTTAAATATAGTTATAATGGATTCTTAGAATTTTGAAATGATAGTGGCATGATTATATATATATATATATATTTGAGAGGATTTCCATCAGATTTTTTTAAATAATAATTTTTAAAATATTTTTTTAGTTAAAAATCCATGGATTTTTATATATTTTTTAGATTATTACATGTTTTTAATTAAGAATCGAATAAATAAAAATAAATCATATTATTTTTAGCAAATAATTTATGAAAAATTAGTCAAATACAAAATTTTGATATAAAAAATGAAAAAAATGAATTTATTTTTTATTTTTTATCTTTAGTTTAATATATTTTGGCGGCTTCACGGTATAGTATAAACCTTTAAATTGAGATGATTTTACATACTTTGTTCGAATCGCAACATAATGTTGGTTAAAAACTAGTAAACTCCTATAAAATTTGGAGTAATGACACGTTTTATTTTTGTATCATTGAATTTTGAATCAAATTTTTTATTTAGGTTATTGTAATTTTTATTTAAGAGTCAATGCATAAAGAAGAAAATATAATGTATATTAACTATATAATTTATATAAAACTTAAGAAAGAATTATTTAAATACCAAATTTTATTTTAAAAATTATTTTTTAGTTTTTGATCCAATATATTTCAATAGACATGTAATATCTCATAAACTATCAAATTAAAATAATTTTATTCTATTCTATCCTTAGAGTTGCATAAGTAATCGACCGGAAAATCAACATTCTTGATAAATATATTTAAGATAATATTACTTTTATTGTTGAAAATTTATTTTTTAAACTCGTCATTTCTTATAGAGATTGTCATCTAGTTAATTGTAATTTTAAAATTTGATTATTGCTAAATATGATCTATTGTTTTTGATATATGAATTTTTGAATAAAATTTTAGAAAGTGATTTATATATATATTTTTAGATTGTTACATGTTTTTAATTAAGAATCGAATAAATAAAAATAAATCATGTTTTTTTAGCAAATAATTTGTGAAAAATATAATGAATAATTAGTAAAATATAAAATTTTGATATAAAAAATGAGAAAACTGAATGTATTTTTATTTTTTGTCTTTAGTTCAATATATTTTGACGGATTCACAATATAGTATAAACTTTTAAATTGAAATGATTTTACATGTTTTGTTTGACTTGCAACATAATATAAGTTAAAAACTAGTAAACTCCTATAAAATTTGGAGTAATGACCCATTTTATTCTTGTATCACTGATATTTTTTAATGTGGATTATTTATTTAGTCTTTTTATTTTAGATATTTTTAAGTGATAACTTGGTTTAGATTTTAATACATTATCGATAATAAATGACAAGTTGACAATCAATTTGTATAATAGTGCCACGTGTAAAAAATTTTAAATTTCAAAAATAATTTTTTCTTAATTTTTTAGTTTCATTTTATTTATTTTTTAAATTAAAATTTGTTAATACATGTTTTTGTTATCTCATGTGACAGCCTATCTATCACTTATCGTGGAAAAATTGATCATATCAAAATAGTCACAGTAAAAATAAACTAAAATATTGATTTGCGCCTGTCTTTTCGCTTGCAAAACCACGTGGATGGCGTATATGCTTCTGTATCTAAAACCTTGCCCACTCACGCAAAGCATGGACATCTAAATTACTTATTACTAAAGAAATTAAAATGCGAGGTCAGTTTCCTGTTCCTAAACTGTTCCTCCTCACTCAGCTGCACAAGAAGGCCGTTCATTTTCATTGGCTTTTAATGTTGTCCGTTCATTTGGTGCCCTTTCCCCACGTTTTTTTTTTTTTAATCTTGGCTATCACCTCCCCTTTGTGCTGCTCGTTTGGACCTTCAACTTGCGTGCTTAACTACGTTTTTGCCATTTTCCTCTTTTATCATGTTACTTTTACACCCTCTTCCGGTTGCTGTTTTTTTCCCTCATTTTGTTCCCATTTTCGTCACTTTGCTCGCTTTACTTAATTCTTCTGAGATGCATTAAATGGCCTACAATCATTTTCTGGCCTATGTTTTGTCTTTTTTTGGCCCTTTCTCGATTTGGATGCTTGCCAGAGCCGGACCTCTTTTATCACGTTACTTTTATACCCTTCCTTGCATGTTGTTTTTTTAGTGAAAAAATTTTATAATACACGATAAACAACTAATAACATATATAATAATTATTTTTTAAATTTAATTTTAAAAAAATAGATATATAAAAAAAATAAAAATTATATCTATATCTATTAAAAATAATAATTTTTTTTATATTTACTCATATTTTTTTAATTTCTCTTTTTTATTTTTTTCTTTTATATATCTATTTCTCTTCTCAAAATAAACTTAAAAACTAACTAATAAAAATTATTTTTATGAATTATAAAATTTCCCTTTTCCTGCTTTTGTTTCGATTTTCATCAGTTTCCTTATTCTTTTAAGGAGCATTAAATGGTCTGCTGTCATTTCCCTACCTTTTTTTGGTTTTTTTCTTTACTTTTGTGGGTTTGGATGCTTGCCACGCTAAGACATCACGAGTGCTGCCAAATTTTTCAGACTCACCGCTTCGTTTGTCGTCGGGGTTGCAATTTAGTTTTGTTCCTCTTAACTATGAGGGTCTTCTTTTTTGTTATTTTTTCATTGTTTTTAGCTGGGTTCTGATCCTTGCAAAGTTGCTGTGCGGTTTATTTACTTCCGGGTTGCTGTGGGTTGTCTAATCCTAGCGTTGTTCTTATTAATTATTATTGGGGATGCTGGGTTGCTAGTGTTTGGTTGTAATTTTCCCTTCACCTCTGCCTTTGGTGCAACTGGATAAGTTCTCTTTTCTTTTCTCATTCGGTTTGGTTGGTCACTCATTTGCTTATCTTTTTTTTTTTTTTTCTTTTTGTTGCCTGATTTAACTTATTCGCTACTTGGCTTGGTCGGGAAACGCCGACATTGCACTTCTGCTGTTGTTTTTTAAATTGATTTGACTTATTTAGGATTTCCTTTTTTTTCATATTTTTGCATCATTGCCTATCTTGCCTGTTTCGAAATAACCCACCCTTCCCTTTTGTCCCTTCCATTTTCTCTCTTCCGCTTTAGTCAGTGTTCTTTTCTTTTTTCTTTTTTTCCGTCTTTGTTTTTGGTTGCTTTCCCTCTAAATTACAGTGCTTCTCCTTTGGTTTGTGGTGTTCATTTGTTTTTTCTTTTATTTTTGGCTTAATTTACTTTGTTTTTGCCATTTCCATTAATATGTTCTTTCTTTATCATTTTTCAATTATGGGTGGCTGTTATCGTTCTCTTACATGTGCTTTGTTTTCCTCTCCTCTTCATCCTCTTCCTATAGCTGGGTGACACGCACGGTTTGGTTTGGTGCTGTCCTATTTCTTTGGTATCTAAGGTTCGTATGTCTTCTATCCAACCATTTGCTTAACCGCACCTCTTGGAAATCAAGATTGCTTCACATACAATTGCATCCACATGCAGTACAAGGGTTAGTGATTTAGTATATGTTGGGGGTTCATTGTGGCAGTCGGTCGATATGTGTTTGATGAAATGCCTCAAACAAACTTCATGGATTAAAATTATAAAATTAGATTGGGAACTATCATTCTGTCAAAAGATCTAATTCACGAAGGTGATTTATGTGAAATATCAATTGTTTCTAGATTTTTGAAGGCATTCTAAGTATGGAAGGGGTTGAAAGGTCCTTGAGCTCTCTAGATGAGGTGTAATAAGCTCCTCTGCTGATCTCATTCTTGAAACTTAAGCTGGTGCCTTTCATTACTGTGGTTAGCAACTTCTCAAATTCAGCCTATTCCTACTCAAGCACCATCATATTTGCAAACTCTATCTATCAAAGAATCTAATTTGATTTTGCCTACAGTAACTCCAGTAACAATCCATGCATATGGAAAGAATTGAGCAAAAACTGATGATCACACCCTTACAAAACGAAAATTGAAATTTACAGATAAACAACAAAGGTATGCTTACCAGCATTGTTGTCCATTCATTGCAACAATCATGTCCGTATTGCCAAAAAACAAAAAATTATGAGAAAAGTTAGATATAACTATAATAATATTTTACTTTGCTAGCAATAGTTTTCACGACAGTTACTGACCTCCTTTTTTAGAACACTTGCACCATTCAAAGCCACTCAATCGTTGATGCTACAACCACCTCCAACAGAGAATTTTCTCTCTCTAACCAAATCTCCGATCACCTTTCCTTGCTTCTAACTACAGACCTGCATGCAAAGAATACAAAATAGAAGCAGCCGATGGGTTCTGCAAAAAAGAAAAAAGGTTAGCATTTGAAATTGGATGACATAACCAAACTATTTTTTTCTAACAATCATCAAATAAATTGTCTTGCAGACTGATCTTGCCTAGCAAACTTACACAAACGCATGCCAGAGTCACTGAGATCAGAAAATTGTTCAACTGCCTTTTGCTGTCCTGTGACTTTTGAATTCCATAGATTGATATGTTCACCATGTTGACCATTTTGTTTGCAGCTTAATCGCATTTATAAGCGTTAAGACATAAATTTCCAGCTTATGTTGTGATTCCTAATGAACATGTTATCTAACATATGCCAAACTAAACAGATTTATGTTATTTTGTTTCAAGTTTCAAATCTCACTGTTAAGCATTTTGGATTCCAAGTTTGCCTTCATTTTGTTGTATAATATAGTTACATTATAAAGTCCCTTTGCTATATTAACATGAAAAATAACTATCAGATGAAATGCTAGACCTAACAACACATAAGCAATTATTTCAATGGTTGATTCGTCCATGTTTTTCTAATATATGCACACCCTTGCATGCTTGGTGATAAGAATCAGGTAGAAACAGCTCATGCAACTTGCAGACTTTACAACAATAGATACTAGAGATCTATAAAACTACTTGCCTGCCATTACGAGCCTATACTCGAAGGCTTGAATGACGTTAACACCTTTCCATATGTCCTGACTTCATTGCTTAGCTGATCCTGTATCACAATTCATATGACAACTGGTAATGTTTATATATCCGTGTGTGCATGAACTGGTGCCTTTTCCACTCCCAAGACAGGGATTTGAATCCAACTTCAAGTTTGATTGCATGGTTAGGGTGTCAATGAGCTATATATACTTAAAAGTTAAGTTATTTTCCACATAGCTTTCGTTTCCAATCCTCTATATATACGTAAAAGTTTAAGTTATTTTCCATATAGCTTTCGTTTCCAATCCAAAGTCACACACACGCACACACACAAATATATATATATATGCGAATGATCTTGTATTAGGTTTCGTATGAATGCACTTTCAGCTATGTAAATTACAACAATTCCAGTAGCTATTTGATTTTTTTATATCAAATCAATCACGGTCATGGGGAGCAAATATCATGAACAAGTATTCATTAATTGGGACTTAATGATGTAAATTAAGCAATTATTAGATTTCTTAACTGGAAAGCTGCATACAATTAGGATGGATTATGAGCAGCTATAACATTAAGATCAACATTAAGATCTAAAAAGAATAGATCAAAAAGAATACTCAAAGAAAAATACTCAACATTAAGATCTAAAAAGAATAGATCAAGATATTTTTGTTTCTTTATCCGACATTCATAATTTTCTAATTATTCTTTTACTACATTAAAAGAAGTAAATTATTCTTTAGTTATTAGTGGAGTAATATTCATAGTTTGTCTTTAATTTCCGTAAATCGATGACTCAATCTTTTTTTTTTTTTTTTTTTTTTTGTGGCTGTTGTTTTATTAAAAATTAATATTTTTATTAGAAGTCACACGATAAACGTTAATCCAAAAAGAAAAAAGCACATGTTAAATCAAATACAATATTATATCGTCACCCACAAAATTGTTGATTGAAACAGATTGAACTGAAAGGAGAAAAAAACAGATGGGTGCCTACATTATTTCACATCACTTGCCCCGCACCAACTCAAAACAATAGGAAATATCAAATAATGAAAAAAAGGGAATGGTTGATTCACATTAATTGACCTGAGCTGCTTCATCGACAACCAATAAACGCAGAGGTGCCAGTCCTTCTATATGCAGTTTTGCAGAGGTTGACACAGTACAGAAAATCAAGCATGCATTTGTCAGCCAAAACTTCTTCATGGCAAATCTACTTTCGAGACATGGAACAGTGAATGTTGGTGGAAGTAATCTCAGTAGTGTATAGAGATAGTCTTTTACAACATTCCATAGTTGTACATGGTTGTCAAATCTGCTTCCCAAAATAAAACAAATCCATGCACACACAAATAAAATCTAGAAGAATAACAATTTGAAAGAATCAGATATTTCAGTTCCAAAAGGCCTTTCTAGCCAAGAAAGGAAGAATGACAATATGTGCATGCCTTCTTTGCCCTGATGTATTACACCTAATGAGGTGAGGGAGAACAGGTTTCTCTGACGTTGCAAGACACAATTACATCGCAGAAAAGAAGATGAGGAAAGCAACAAATGTCAGCTTAATGGATGACCAGATAAATAAAGTAGAATAATATTTCTTCATTCTAAAACATACATTTTAGTACTTGCTTCGTGCTTTGTATCCCTATGTTACATGGAAAATAAATTACCACCTACGATTGCAATTGCTTTTATGGTCATTCTTAACATATGAACCCACTAAAAAAAAAAAACACCAAACTTTCTTTTTCAAATCTCCATTGCGCTTGCCGCCTTACAAAAACAATAAGAAAAAAATAAAAACCCTGCAGCGAAGCGCGGGTTAATATCTAGTTCCCAACTATTTGCCAATTCTCAATTGAGTCTCTAAAAAAAGAAATTATAGATTTAGTCCTCGATCTATTGAACATTACCCAATCAATTCTTTCCTCAAATACGAGAGTGATAGGTTCAGCATATTCCTCTATCATTTCAAACATCTTAATCATGTTTTTCTATTAAAATTTTTAATTATCGTATCTCTTTATTCTCAATTGCGTCAGTATTTGCTCCTCTCGATTATTTTTGCAGATAACAAAGACAAAATTAATAAAACAAAAAATGCCAAAAATTATCTTAATTATCTAAAAAAATGATTGAAAGGACCAAATATAAAAGTAATTAAAAGCATAAGGACACAATAGTTGAAAAAATTAATAAATAGATAGGATTAAAACATTTGAAACAGTAGAGGGACATATTGGATCTTTAATCCTTAAATTTGGAGTCTATAGACAAGATGGGGATTCAATTGTGAATTTATTTGCGTTGGACCTAGATGAGAATCATGTGATAATTGGGGAACCGATATGTCCATTTCCTTATAATTATAATATATATTTTTTAATCGAATTAATTACCGTCCAATCACTCGGTCTTCGTTCTATCGATAATACTCTAAGACTCTCAACTAGCAAAGCTAGCTGGGAAAATTGAATTGAAAAAGGTCTCGCACTTTCCCTCGAACGCCAAAAGGCATCACTTTTTCTTCTCTCCACTCCTTTTTCTCCACTGCCTTCTCCAACTTGTTTTATATTATCCGAGAGACCCGAGGCTGAGAGCGTTCAAGCAAAGAATCTTATCTCGTTTTCTTTCAATTTGAATCATTCTCTGCGGATTCTCCAGAATTTATTTGAGGGTGCACGTTTACCTGTTAGGGTTTAGAAGTCATCCACACTTTGCAGCAACAGCACATATTTTCCTCTCTGTTTTTTTTATTTATTTAAATTCTGACGGTGCGATGTATTTATCACAGTGAAACCATAAAATTCAGTAATGGAGGTCAAATTAGAGAAAAAGGACGCAGCTGATTGGTCCTACAGAGGCGAAGGTGCTGCTAATTTAGTCCTCGCCTACACTGGATCATCTACCGATTTTGTAAGTTCCATTAGAATTAAATTGTGCAGATAAAATTTTTATTCAGTTGACTTCTACCGCAAAATTTGTTCCCGATTTTGATTTTTTGGTTAATTATTTAATGCATTTTAGATTGGGAAAGTAATGAGGATAACAAAAACAGCAAGGAACGGATCACCAAAGTGTAACTCTAACCAATCAGCATTAACAGAGGAAGAACGGTTGTTATGGAGAGACGTGGAAGAGTTAGTTAAGTCTCCTACGAAGGAAATTGCAGAGCAGATTTATACTCAGCAAGTCATGAGTCCTTTGTTAGGTCCCAAACACGTCGATGCCGGGGTATGATTCTTGTATATTTATTTCTATATGGATAATAAGGAGTGTAATTTAGATTTCATATATTGGCTTGTTGCGCATTTGGTAGATGCGTGTGCTGGTGACGACGGAATTTCTTGAGTGTGTTGAAAAGAATGTTCTTGAACAGCGTCCGCCTTCGCGAGTTGATGTTTCTATGGTTAATGTGGAGAGTGATTCTGTGATTATCATGTCTGATCATTCTCTATTTCCTGGAGGTAATTGCTGTCATTTCGAAGCGTTTTTTATAATTTGACTTTCTAGGTATGATATGTTCTTTTTGTTGCAGTTAAATAGAATACAGTTAATAATAGCGCAATTGGGTTTGGCTGAAAATTTTACCTTTTGTTCTCTTTTGATTCTTGATGTAGTGGCTACCATTGTAAGAAATCCCTTTGTCGTTGTGTTTTGAGGCTGTGGTATGCCATAGCGTAGATTCACCTTTTCTATGGTTTGGGCGGACAGCATATGAACTTACCATGCATGACAGCTGAAACTTGCAATAGCCCCGTGCGTGCCCCCCTCTCTTCCCTCCCTGTGGATATTCTGTTGGGAATTTATCCCCTTTGACATTAGAATATACAAGTATCTAAATTCATTAATGAACTCACCAGTGGTATATTTTATTCGGTACAGGCAAGGGCGAGTTTGAGGCTTTTGATGGGAGGCAATACTCGCATCATAATCCTATGTGCCCCTCTATTTTCCCTGAAATCGCAATAAAAATCAACTTTATTTGTATTTTTCTAGTAGCAAGGATCAAAATTTCTGTCACCTATGATTAGAACGTGGGCTGAGCTGTTTTATCTGGCACTTGTGAGTTGTAATCATGGATGTTTGCTTTCATTTCTTCATTCTAGGTATTCTTAAAGACAGACCTTGCATATCTGTTGAGATAAAGGTACTTTATCTTTTCATTGTGTTTCTTCTCTTGTTGGTATTAGTTTATTTTCGTCTGTGAGTGCCATCTTTTCCTTCTAGGCTTTGTAACTTCTATTTGTTTCCATCAAGTAGCCCAAATGTGGATTTCTCCCTGTATCAAAATTCATAGCTGAAGGAAATTCTGTTAAAAGGACCACTACTCGTTTTCGAATGCACCAAGTCCTGAAGTTGCATGAACACGAGGTAATTTTTCTGCCATTTATTATACTTCTCTTATTGAGCCAAGTTTTCCAGAAAAGATTGAATTGGTTTAAATTATTACTGGACATGTATGGTTTGTCCCAGTGGAAATTCTGCATTGTTGGCTACTATTAATAAGAACTACTGCAGTTTAGCATTAAACTACACCTTGCTACTGAAGCCTTCTGTTTTTTTCAGTTATTTTTATTTGTTCAGTAATTAATCTGACTTGAGTAATTTAACTTTTTAGATATCGGAGTTAAGTGAGTATGATCCTCTGGATCTGTTTTCTGGTTCCAAGGAAAGAATACATAAAGCCATCAAGGATCTCTACAACACTCCTCAGAACAATTTCCGCATATTCTTGAATGGTTCTCTTGTATTTGGGGGCCTGGGTGGTGGCACGAAGGGAACTAATGCTGTGGTTGGAAAAGCTTTTGAAGATGTACTCAAGGGCATCATCCAGGCAGAAGACGGCTTGCGGACGATGAGTTTTGTACAGCTTGTTGCTGAGACAGTTTACTGCTCTAGGGTACTAGATGAGCTTCTTAAAGTTCAAAAGCGTGACAATTTTGACATTGAAGGGGCCATTCATGCATATTACAACATTGTTTCTCAGCCTTGTGCTGTATGCCAACAGTTGGATGAAGCAAGACTACCACATAGATGTTCCTCCTTGCATTCCATTCGTATGGATGAGAGTTTGAAGATAGTGAAGGATTATTTGATAGCTGCTACTGCAAAGGATTGTAGTTTGATGATTAGTTTTAGACCAACAAAAGGTGGGGAGTTGGGATCTCCATATAGTCATGTACACCTACAATCAACCAACCAAAGTTTTAATTACAAGGTGCTCTTCCTTGAACGTATTTTGTTTATATTTTGATGTGCACGATAAATATCAAATTACTAGGAGGTCTACAATGTCACCATTTTCTCACAGTATTATTACATTGGAAACAAAATGAGCACACGCTGTTTAGCAATTCCCACATTAAAAAGTGTTATAACCCAAGAACATTTATAATTTTAGTGATGTGTTTATTTTCACCTTCATGGCTACATTTTGATACTGTATTGATCTCTTCATTACTCCTTAAATTGCAGCTAGAACATATTAAAGTTCACTGTTTAAATTCGTCTGGCAAGGTATCTTCCCTCCCTTATGTTTAATATCTTATACGAGTTTCATTTGCTTAGGTGAATTTCATTGATTTGGATTTGAAACCTTTAAAGAAGATGGAAGGCTATTTTGAATTGGACAAGAAAATAGTGAACTTCTACACTCAAATGTTGGAAATGGAGCAGAAAGATGGCAAATGCTGGGAGCATGGAGGTGTATGATATATAAATTGACTTTCAACAAGACTATAAAAGATTGTAAGTTCTGATAAGGCCATCTTTTGTTGATTGTTAGTGGAATACTTGTAACTTGTAAGAGTGCAGATGGAAACAGTTAATATTTTGGTTGACGAACTGTTCACTCTGTAGCTTTTTAGGGAAATTGAATCTCCCTTACAGATGTAAACTTTAGCTGACCCTAAGTAGTTTGGGATTAAGGCTTTCTTGCTGTTGTTGTTTTCTAAAATTTAAGTTGTATTTTCGTACCTCTTTATGACCCCATAAAGTGAAGTGGGGTTGGACACAGGTGACGAAATTTAGTCTTACTTTTTGCGTTTTGGCTTTGAGTGCTAGCACACTAATTGGTTATTGTGTGAGTAATCTATTTTTGACCCATTATTTGCCATGATGTATTGATATCTCTGCCAAAACAAAGGTGATACTCTTGGTTCTTGCTTCGTTATCTGACTATTATTTATTGCCCATTGACTAATCAATGGAGACATTATTCTCTTAATTCTGATATGTTATGAGGAACTATGGACCTCATTATGAACTACTCTTCAAATTCTGCTTTTAAGTAGTTGGAGTATTGGATTTCACCTTGTTAGATGTTTAAAGTGCGTTGAATATGCAAGTCTACAAATTAATTTATATATATTCGAGTTACCAATATATATATATATATATATATTATCTGCATACAACTTCTTGACAGTGCATGTCCCCTTGTGTACATGCGACTGATAAAGAAAGTTTAGTCAATATTTTATCTTCTGTTGTTAATTAAGAGGAGTTTAATGAGGAAGAAGGGTTGAAAGGGACAAAGGACACTCTTGGGCTCAACAGGGAAAGTGATGCATCAACTACTATACTGTCATTCCATCCCCAAGTCCACATGGGCTATAAATTTGTACAGCTGGATTTAAATTTACTGTGGCATATGGCAACAGAAATAGCAGGAATGTTCACCCTTTATTTTTCACATTTGAAAGTTGAGGATTAAGGCAGTTTACTTTGTCAAAACCGTTGTATCAATTTTTCCTTATCCTTTCTCTTTGCTATGTGTGTATTCTCATTTGAGTTCTGTCAATATTTGAAATGGGACAGTAATTAAATGTGTTTTCTGAAAGCATGAAAATGATTCTATTGCCTATACATTTTTTACCTGGGCTGGTTAGCATCTTCAGTCAGAGCAAGTAAATTTCCATTTTTGCATCTGGATCGGGTCTGTGTGATTTGGAAGCTCAATTCTAACTAGTTTGCTAAATATCACTTTTACAGAACAATGATATTGGAAATCAGCATGCATGTTGCCTGCAGCCAGTAAGGAAGACTTGAGCAGTGTATTTTGATTGGCCAAGTAGAACAGGCATGGGGATTGACAGACTGTGGCGGTTCCAAGCGCTCAATAATGAGCTGCCAAGTTGTTGACGGCATCTGTGTGCTTAGATCAGGATCCATTTAACCTCTTGAAGTTTGAGTGCAGCAAAAAAAGACAAATATGTGGCAACGGTGGGGACAAGTAGTGCGCGTTCATCTGACCCAGTTCCCAACAAAGGTGAACCGAGAAATTGAAGGACACGACAACATGCAATATCAGGTTACCATTACATTCTCTGCAACATCCTAGGTTAAAAGACACACTGGCATGCCTGTAAAATATACTAGCTTGCACCTTGGATTGTCTGTACAATACCATAGCTTGGGCCTGATGGAGCTATTAGCACTACACTGAAACAGAAAAGGGATGGATGAATGGCTGCCTTTTCTAAAGTAAAGAGCCGGATTCCATACTGGGTCGCATTAAAAGGTGCCATTCTGCCATTAATGCTTGTAACTGCTCATAGCTCTACCCGTTCATATCGGCTAGGACAACTCTTCCTTGAATGTTGAAAGACACGCATCTGCATATTGCTGAATCTGTAATTTTCCTTCTATATAGTTGGCGATGTATTGCCTGAAGGTCTCTTATACTGGTGTATGAAATGGCTAAATTAACTGCATTAACGATCTGAGATCATCATGATTGAAGTTTTCTTAAGTACTTTATTCAAGACCCAATGGAAAGGCCTTTCGTAGATGAAGTTTGTCTGAAGGTGTGTAAATTCTGCAATAAATGCACATGGGAGGAACAGTTGAACCAATCAAGTACTTTCTGACAGGCATTTACTTATCACCTACTTATATTTACTTCATTAGACCTCAGCCAAACTTCTTCCAACATTTCACGGGAGTAAATGTAATATGCTACTATCTTTTAATCATTCTTACACGATTGAGGTAAAATAAGTAACCAAACAGTCTATTTATAGCTACTCTGAAACCCTCCATACCTTCTGTATCCATTGCATAATTTATTTTGACTCTTTCAAACCATGCCAAAGGTTTTCCTTCCTGAACTCTTAAAACACTAGATGTGCTTTTAAGTTCATGTAATGTTTATCTGGTATTCTTGTATTTACTGCTTCTCATTGTCTCGGGTCATTCTCTGCTCAGACTGACACTCTGCAGTGCTTTCTCAGCATGTCTGCCGTGGCTTAAATTTATATCTGTTATGAGCTCATAGACTTTATTTTTCTGTGCAGAAAACTGTTGTGTCAGTGGAACTGCTCTGTTCAAAATGCAGACGGAAGGTGATGAAGTTAATTGCCACAATAGAGGGGATAACTTCTATTGTCCTTGACTCATCAAAGAATACGGTGACAGTGATTGGTGAAGCGGATCCAGTAAAGATCATTTGCAAGGTAAGAGAGTATAGAAAATCTGCTGTTATTATGAGCACAGGGCCTCACAAGGAAGAGAAGAAAGATGACCCATATAAGAAAGACATGACGAAAGACATGGTTATCCCTTACGCTCCAAGGATATGCCAGAGCTGCGACGTGTGGTATGTCGTTAATGATGATTTTTACCGTTATTGCACCATTCTGTAAATAAGAAATCTGTTGTTGTATGGAGCATTTGTAATGCTTAATATGTTCTGTTTCATTTCCAATGAACCATTTATCGGTGTTCAGTAAAACTGATATTTTGGTTGAACCATTGCTATTTAGCTCTAGAAAGTCTTATCATATTATTCGCTGGAAGCATTATCATTGTCATGCTTTCAGCAGTCTGCTATGTAACTAATTATAATAGAACTAGCTACTTGATGTTTTTACGAAGGGAAGTCGTAGCCATTTGTATTTCCCAGAAACATGAAGATAAAGCATGCCAATGAGAGTTTTGTGCGTGTTCGCAACCAACCAATCTCAACTCTTTTGATCCTGCAAAGTCCATAAGCTGTTAGTAGTTTTCATTTTCCCAGTTAATAAAATTTGTATAAAAAAACTGTTCATCAATGAGCAGCCCTATAAGAAGACTCATTGCGCTTCCACAGAATTTTATTGTGTGACCAATGAAAGAAGTTGATGATTGAGCACTCTATTTTCTCAGGGCCTCTTCTAGGCTTCTGACATGGGATTTATTATACAATTACTGCAGTAGCTACCTGTGCCTCCTCCCTAGGAGTTAGGACCGCATGTGACAGTAAAAAGACGAGGAAGAAGAACCTTGACTGATCTTATTTGAAAATTTAATAGACATATTAGTTATCCAAGTTACTACATGCCATATTATATTGTAAATCTTAGTGCTTCGCCTTATTTATTATTATTATTATTATTATTATTTCAAGAGGTTTGAAATCAAGGTATGTCGAAGAAAGGAAGAGAACTCATAAGCCTCGTTGGTTTTGGAACCCGAACGTTTTAATTGAATTCCTGAGGTGGATGATGAAAATTAAAAGTGATTTTGGTGTTGATAGAGAGAGAGAGAGAGAGAGAGAGAGAGAGGATGGAAAGAAGGATTTGAGTAAAAAGGACAAACAAGTTGTGACCAGTGTTTTTCGCTGTTTTCTTATCTCCTATGAAGGATATAGAGAAAATGAACATGATTTGCAAATGACCTTAGGTTAATAACCTGATCCAGGAATGAAATTTTTTAACAAGATGCTAATACAGTTTGCTTATATATCACAATTGGTTCATAAAGTCATGTGTTTCCTTTAATCTAAAAGAAAATTAAAGACTTTTAAGGTGTGCCGTTGGGTTGACAAAACTTAAAAGGTGTGTGTTTCTCCGACACGGGATTGATTCTCTTGGTATTTGGACATAGACGTATTAACAAAGATATAAGATAATCGACTCGTGTGTCCATTTTGTTTATGAATGAACCAAAACATGAAAGCTCATTTTTGAGGAAAGACTTGGAAGTGGTCACACATTCAATTTCTTCACGCTTAGGCAGCTATCCATTAATGACACACCTAATTTTTCTCTGTCACTCAATCGTAACTGTACTGTGCTCTAGTAAAGTTTATTGGGCTGAGAACCCATTTTCTGTAAGATATCTGGGCTGTGTTTAGCCCAACACCAATTTATCCCATCTAACACGAACCCCAATATTGGGCCTACCTATCACTTAATTCTCAACAAAGAAATATTAGCCCACAACGTGTACGGCATACAGCCCACTTACCACCGAGCGCTTCGCCATGAAAAAACTTTAAAGGTTCAGGCTACGTGGCAAAGCCTCCAATGTGATGACGTGCCATAGGTAAAAAAATCTCACTGATCACCGAAAAAAAAATTCTTTATTTTAAAAAAGACAGTTTGTTTATCAGAGAAAAATAAATAAATAAAACAGGAAATTAAATCACGTTTGAAAATTAAAATCCGAAGCGCTCTTGGAGAGTTTTGGAGAGAAGTTTTCCCGTTTTTCCCCCTAAACATAACAAACTAAATTTTTTTACTTTCTCTACAAGCCAAGAAAAATTGGCAGCGAGGCTGTTATAAATATTAAGTTTTGCTCTTTGTTAAAGCTTGACAATCTTACTTGACTAACGGCAGAAATTGGCAGAGTAGAAACTATGAGGTTCTTAGAGGAGAGTTTGCCACCACCCCCTGAATATGAAACTATCTTGTCGGTGGTAGCTCCTCTCACGGCCTCTGCCGTTGTTTTTTGCTCTATCATGAACGACCTCTTTCCCGATTCTGTCAATGAATACTTGTCTTCAAGTCTTCAAAAACTATCAGCCCGTTTATCATCCCAAATCACCATTGTTATTGAAGAATCTGATGGACTTGTTGCCAATCAAATGTTCAAGGCTGTCAACGTGTATTTAGGCTCTAAGTTATCGCCTTCAACGCGTAAAATCAAGGTGAATAAGCAAGAAAAGGAGGATGAACTAGAAGTTAGTATTGATAAAAATCAAGAATCGTTCGATGTGTTTGAAGGAGTGAAGTTGAAGTGGGTGTCGGCATCTCGTGTTGACAGGCTAGTTTCTTCTAACAGGAAACGCCAAGACAGTGCTTTTTCACGGTCTGAGGTACGATATTTCGAGCTAACTTGTCGTAAGAAGCATAGAGAAAAGGTTTTGAGTTCATATTTACCTTATATTTTACAAAAAGCTAAAGCAATAATAGAAGAAAAAAGGACAGTGAAACTGCATACTATTGACTACAATGGTACTGATTATTGGGGTTCCGTCAAGTTTGATCATCCTGCTACGTTTGATACAATAGCAATGGACCCAGATATGAAAAGGGAATTGATTGAGGATCTAGATAGGTTTGTAGAAAGGAGGGACTTTTATAGGAGGGTAGGCAAAGCTTGGAAACGTGGGTACTTGTTTTATGGACCCCCTGGAACAGGGAAGTCAAGCTTAGTTGCTGCCATGGCTAATCATCTCAAATTCGATGTTTATGATTTGGAATTAAAAGAGGTCCAATGCAATTCGGATCTTAGGAGGTTGTTGTTTGGCACAGGCAATCGGTCCATCTTAGTGATCGAGGATATTGATCGTTCTTTTGAGTCCATCGAAGATGATAAGGTAATTGCAAATTTTCAATGCCATGTTTCTTTGAGATGCCCGAGTTCAATCCTTTTTTCCCTCCGATGTTTATAAGGTGCGAGGTATCAGTCCAGTTTCCACATTGAGACTGGTTGTGTCAGTCACCGCAGTTTATTTCATTCCACTAACAAAACTGTGTTTTTGTCATAGGTAACTCTAGGAGGCCTTCTGAATTTTATTGATGGCTTGTGGTCAAGCTGTGGAGATGAAAGAATAGTAGTGTTTACAACAAATCACAAGGAGCAGCTTGATCCAGCATTACTAAGACCAGGGCGTATGGATGTCCACTTGCACATGTCATATTGTACTTTCTCTGGCTTCAAGACACTGGCGTTTAATTATTTGCATATTCAAGACCATCAACTGTTCAGAGAAATTAAGGAGCTGTTTGAGAAAGTGCAAGCTACACCTGCAGAAGTTGCTGGAGAACTAATGAAAAGTGAGGATCCAGAAGTTGTACTCCAAGGTCTAATCAAGTTCCTCTGTGACAAGGAAACATCTGAAACTAGCAAGAATAATTGAAAGCTGAAATTTTATTTTCAAAGAAATATATTAATCGGTATTAGCATTTTTTTTAGTCATGGCGCTAGATTGATTGTAATTGTCATTGTACATTTCAATTACACATGGGTTTCAACATATGTGCATGCTGTGATCGCTGTCTGTCGTTATAATCATCAGCAAGTATAATTAAAGAGCTAAATTATGAGTTAAACAACTGAAAAAAGTAAAACGCCGAACAAAAACTTTATTCGATCTAACTTTTTGCCTAAGCAGGCTATACACTACGAGAATTGCTTACAGGAAAATGCCGAAAAGTTGAAAAATGCCTATAAGAAATGCTTGCCACTAAACTTACGCCAAACTGCCTGCAATGGAACCCGTATATGGGTCGTAAGTTGCCCTCTTATCTTTCTTTGGAGCCAATACCACGAGGTGTTCATACACGCAAAGCAGTAGTAGTAGATAAAGAGAATTCTGACAGCCAAGTGGTTGCCTGTTAAGGGAGCCACTGGTTGCATTTTCATGCCATATATGAATGTCCTTCTCCTGAAGACTATTGACAAAATCTATAACTTCGTTGAATTCTTTCCGAACATGACAAAGACAATGAAGATGCGGAAAGGCTCCAAAAAATAGAGTTCAATTAAAAAATCTTAATATGTGCTTCAAGAGTGTGATGGACTAGTAACCATCATGAAAGCAGCAATAATTATTAGTGACAGAATATGGGGAAACCAGACAAATATTATCGAATTGTTTCTCTATGGCATCGTTTGTTTCACCTTGACATTTGATTACATAGAGAACAGGAAAAAAAGATCACAAATCAACAGTTAGTGAGACATTTTACCTTGTAGAAGCACTAATAAACCACAAAAGTTAATCGAAAGCTCCTAGCAAAAGCACTCTATAAATTAGATGAAAACTACAAGTAACATCATGGACAAACAGATGAAAAGCATCCAATGATTGATATAATAACAAAGAAACAAATGGAATCTGATATTACAGTTGTACATTGTCATCCAACAAGACAGATAGTGTGATTGAGAAGCTCTTAGGATTCTGGAAGCAGTTGTTACCTTGGTTATAAGAAGTGGGAAAAAAATGCAGATTGTAGTGCATCTGTAAGCAAACGAGCATTTGTAAGTGCAAGAATGCTCATATGTTTTAAAAAAACCGGCACACAGAAAAAATGACGTGAAAAAGAAAGACCGGAAGTATACATAAAAACATAATTACCTGACAAATTAATTTTGATAGGGTACCCGTCCTGTCTTGTCATCTTTCTGGTTTCAAATTGAGATGATTTCTTCAATCAGTATTACATCCAATTCTTGTTTATGAATGAAATAGTTTCACTAATCAAACAGATTAGCAGTAAAACCATCCTGCTTACAAACAAAGAGTCTGTACAAAGAAAAAGAAACAACTATTAAATGCAAAAAGCAGAAAACAGGACAATCAACAGACTAACTACTGTCAAAAAGTTACAATTGACGTATCTCAGAGAACTTAAGCTTTAATATAGCTTCCTGCAACAAACTGAATCCATACAGCCTATTTTGCACTGCCTGAATGATGTCTGTACTCTTCATGTTTCTCAAAAATGATCTTCGGCAGAAAGGTAAAATTCTTCACCTGAAACCTACTAGATTTCGATGTACCATCATTACACTGTCCATCAGTGTTTCCAGCAACGGTTCCATCATCAGAGTTCCTCACGTGAACATAAGTTACAAAAGAATATCGAATGCCATTTTCCACCAATGGTTGAGACGAATACCAAAGCTGAAACAAAGAAAAATCAATACTCGGAATGAACACATCGCATTCAACAATTGTCTCAATTTCCGTAATGTGGATGGCATCACATCCTGGGGCATTGAGTGTTTCCCTGCATCAAAAGGCCTAAATAGTTTGTCATAAAGTTCAGATTAACGCGTACAGTATTCATTAACTAGCAAAATTACCTCAATATCTGGCCACCACCAATGACAAAAACCTTCTCAATTGAAAAACAATAGGGAGCTTCAGCCAACAACTCCAAAGCGGATGAAATGCTCCCACATGTTACAACATTTTCTTCATTTTCAATCTCAAAACTCCGAGTCAGGACAACATTCAATCGACCTGGAAGAGGTCGGTACTTGAGAGGAATACTTTCCCATGTTTTCCTACCCATCAAAACTGAATTTCTTTTTCCAGGATCCGATGTGGCCAATGTAATCTCCTTGAAAAACTTGATATCAGAAGGCAATCTCCAAGGTAACTTCCCATCCTTTCCAATGCCCATATCACGAGTAGCTGCTACCACAACTTGGTAACTCCTCATTGGAATTTCACCAGCTGAAACAGTAAACCTTCTGCAATTTGAAGTTAAAACTGGAAATTTTAACAGCCCCGAAGTTGCCTTAAAAGAAGCAGAATTGCAGAGCCTGCTCTGGCTAGAATCCAGTAAAACCTGAAAGAATTAGGCATGCAATTAGGGTAACTCTATTAATTAAAAAAAAAATCCACGAAAAGTAAAAAACCAAATTCCTTCGTGAAAAGTGAAAAACCTTTGACAGAAATAGAGTCCTTTGAACACAATAATGCATCAGCATCTGATTTATCTCCTGAAATTCCGATAAAAGAGAGAAATTTTAATTTATTAGCATAAAACAGAATACAAGCTTGACATGTAAATAAATAAATAAATAGAGCAAGAAGAAATAGAATACAGAAAATTTGAAGCGAATTAGAGATTGGAGATCATGAAAACTGTAATGGAAGAAAATAAAGTCGCAGAGCTGAGTATAGTGTATTAAAGTTGCAGCTAAAACAAACAGAAAGAAAATGCATATGAAAGGTGAAATTACTGTTCAAACGCCAGATATTCGTATTGTAGGGAGGTCCTGGTGTCGATCGCCGGCGAGATTTCGAACTGAAGCAGCGGTGGCTCTATTGCAACAGCCAAACCAGTGCCACGTGTGCTCCATGTGGTTCCTTTAGCAAGCCTGTACCATGGGCTGGTACTCTGCAACTATCGTTTTGGCCCATTATTATTCTTTTAATCGATCACTCCGAATAAACAAAATAGCTTGTTTTTCCGAACTCCTTATCCCCCAATCTACTTTTCATCTGAGTAAAGCTGTATCAAATAATTTTATTTTATTTTAACGAAAAGGTTGACAAAAAGGACACGAACGACATACGATAAATAACTCAGAAGTTGAACGGAATTATTTCTCCCGCCAATGTATCTTTTCGCGATATTTTCGCTCTATATATTAGGATTCTTTTCATTTCACCTAATATCAAACCAAAATATAACTTTAACTGTAGTTTAGATTTAATTGACAACATTTCAAATTATTTACAGCACCATTTTATTAATCTGGCATGTACATTTATGCAATGACTTTTCCTAATGTGATTGTTGACAATATATATATTAAAAATTGGACCATGATGCAATACAACGATACCATAGAATAATACAGTTTCATAACAAATATAATCTTAATCGTTGGATTTTATCTTGTTTTCATCTTTTAGCCTATTTTGTCTTATTCAAAATTTCACTCCACCCTTAAGCTTTGATACTAGAATATAAACAGTCCCTACACTAATAATTTGGACAAATCAGGCCACAAACCAAGATTCTTTTGCTCTTTGTTTTATTTTTTTATTTTTATATACTATCACTTATATATACCAAAGTCAAAACCCAAAACCATGGATACACAAACAAAATTTAACTTTTTATGTGCTTTTATTTTTTTAAATGAGTACACTTTTCTTACAACTGTTTTTTCACTCACATTCTTTTATTGTATTTTCTTGAACGCAATCATTCAGTTGGTATAATTTTTTTATTTTCAATCAAATACAAATTTCATATTTTTAATAATCACACATTTAAAAATTCGCATACCAATAGTCTCTTATTAGTCTTAAACAATCATTAATAATGTCTTTTTTAAAAAAAAAAAAAAAAAAAAAACTCGTTGGCCAAACCCCTGAAATATCGCAGCTACAATGGCAATGCAAGCGATTTGTCTATTTTCAGAGTTTAAACTTTATACCCCAGCATCCGGGCAAGTTGTTCACCAGGGATCCCTATATTTTTCCTCTCTTCCTATTGGTCAATGTTCACATGCTTTTCACTTTTCTCTCTACTTGAATCAGACTTTTAGAGATGTTTTCAAAGAAAGAAAGAAAGAAAAAAAAAAAAAAACAGACAATGCTCGCTAGGCCAAATTACGGTATGTGCCTCTTGGTGCAAATTCTCATGGTTAATTATGCCGGGCTTACATTTCAATTTCATGTAGAATACACAATGCTAGAAAAAGGCTTCTCTATTTTTATTTTTATTTTTATTTTTTCTTTTTTAGTTTGCAGTGAGTCAAACCCGAGCCCAAGGGGAATGGGAACAACAACATGCCAACTAAGCCACAATTTCATTGGCCTCTCCTCTGTTTTATTCAACGTACATCCAAGTTTTATTCTCTCCACACATAAAAAGACTTTCCGACAAGAATCAATCTCTCTCAAGAAGATAAACCACCCCAGCCCTCCTTTCGTATGGACACCAAATTCTCATCCCATTTAAATGGGATGTGTATCTGGAAGATTAATTATGGAAATTAATGAAGTGATATCAAGACAGCATTAATAAATTCCTCCTGTACAGAAACCTCTTCACCAGCAAAACTTCTTTTTCTGCATCAGCCAGATCAAATCCTTAATCCCAACGAATGAAACAAGTGGTGCTTTCGATCTGTGTTTTAAAATGCAGGTTGTAAGACTATAATCTTACCTGAAAACGTGCTAGTTCACGACCATCTACATACGCAAGAAGTTCTTCTAGCCTGATCAAAGCTTCGTGCAAAGCCTTTTAAGTGAGAAGCATGATGGTTAGAAATATGCCCACATGGACCAAAGCAACTGCAAGTTTTCCTTTTTTCCATCCAGGTAACATACAGCCAATATCAAGAAAAATAAAACCAAAAGAAGTAACGGCTGGTTTGCTACAGTCGTCAACTTCGGGGGAAAAAAAACACTAAACCTATCTCAGAAAATGCAAATTTCATGGATACAGAAATTATGGCTACATCAGTTTTTTTTTTTTTTCCTTTTTGGCTTAGCAAATAGACTCATGACTCCTGCAAGATGGTAAATTGATGTCCACTTCATTGTCCATCTCATCAAAATCTGATAATCTGATACCTAGTAGGTCATCATACAATCTATACAAAACGTGGTCCACAGAGATGTCATTTGGCTCCAACAACATAGTTTTTACATTACTTGTGTCCTGATTAAACAAGTATTCCTAAAATTTTAGTTATTTGTTAAATGCAGAAAAAATGGTGGCAAAGAGCCATCAGAAAAAAATTGAGGTGTTGGCATATAAAACTATTTAGCCTGTCCAACACTTGAGAGATCCCACCCCACCAACAACACACAGGGAGATTCATGCATCTAATAGCTTCATATTCAGTTGGTAAAGATTTGTTTCTACCAGAAGAATATCTAAACAAGAGAGACTAGTTACCTTTTTGGTTGCAATTAGCTCCGCTTCCAATGCATCCACACGATAAACAGCAGCATTAAGCAGTTCCTCTTTTTCACAAGGCATCTGAAAAGGCTTTGTCTGTAATGTATCAACCTTCTCCTCAAGTTCACCCAGCCTTTTCATGACAGATGAAACGAGGTCTGCCTCTGTAAACCCTGGAGCAGGAGAAGGGGGTCTGAGTTCCTCTTTCGGCACTGATTCAAAAGTCAGGTCAGTAATGTCACTGGCAGAATCAGATGCTAAGTGTTTCTTAGTCTTCCAAAATGCCATTGAACAGAAAAAGGCAAGAAATGTTATGAAGAAGGCCACAAGCATAGCCCAGATACGAGCAGAGATTCCTTCTGAATTCTTCTCTACACTTAACAGAGAAGGTGCGCCTGCAACCAATTTCATTAATTTTATTCAGCATCCGATATAATATCATACCAAATAACATTAACTCCAATTTACAGCAGTGAAGCCCTCTTGAAATCCGACTAGTCATGGACCCCTTATCAGAATAGATAACAGAGCATAAGCCTAAAGCTAGGCAAAAAAGAGCCAGGAATTAATGATCTCCCAAAAGTATAGGAGTTGTCAGGATCTCCAGATCAAGGCCCTGTGAAGTCAAAGGTTATGCTTTTATATTCAAATATCATGACACCCCACCTACTATGGTGTTTGACACCCCACCTACTATGGTGTTTTATATTCAGTCATTACTGTTACAAGTCAGAATTTCTCTAGATGATAGAGTTGGTAGCAAACAAGAATGGTGCAGAAACTTGCTAACCTCTGGAAGTACATGAATCTTGAAATTCAGCATCCACTGTCTTGTCAATCATAGGTATATATTCGTCATATTCAGATACACTGGCGGTATTCATCTTACCAGCCACCCTAGCCTGTATAAACATCCAAGCATAGCCTATGAGATCAATTAATTTAAGATATTAGCATTATACACACAATCAGACCCCCACACAGACTGCAAGGAAATGTTTCTATTGGAAGATACTTGAATGTATCAGTCTTCTAAACTGAGTATGAAACAACATTAACTACACTTCACATAGACTCGTACATTCAAACTTTCAGAAAAGCTTACTTCTTCAGAGACAGGAGCCAGCGTTGGCAGCAAATAGCTCCCAGTTGGCTTAGGAGAGACAACATCTTCCACTTCAGAACCCGACTCTGCAGTGGATGTATCACTTGTTTTTATCTGTCTTAGCCAAAAATAAAACCAAGTTTAGAGAACAAGCAGTCAAAATACTATATTACAAGACAAAAGCCGTCCTGAGAGAGTTTACCATTGGACAGAATGGCTTATCAAAAGCAATTACCCTGCCCTCACTATTTGAAATAGTTACTATTTGTCTGGAATATAGTGCTTCACCACTAAGAACCATCTGGACAGAGACAAATAATCATGTAGCATCAGCATATAAGAAAAACACTTAATAGAAAATGAGTCTGAAAATGGTGTTTCAACGGACAACAGCACCACTGATAATTTCAAGTAACTACAAGACCTTTAAAATGTTTGGATCTTTCCACGGCCCCTTATCAGATCTCATACAACCTCCCTGATCAGCACAAGTACAGCTACCACCAAGAAACTCGGGTAACTCACTGAACAAATTCCAAGATATTTTAAAAAGTTTTAGACAGTATGTATAATTGATATGGAAGATAACTAGCAAGGAAATAATCATAGAATTTGGTTACCTTGAGTCTATTATTTCAAGTAACTTGTTCTGGTACTTGTTACCAAGAACCTGTTAAAATTCCAAAATGAGCTAATATACTTCTGTTAACCGTAAATTTATGGCAATTAGACAAAATTAAGAAAAGGACTACTCACATGAATCTTGGAAGCTGTGTGGGAATCAATAAAAGATTTCACTGTTTTCCAGAGCAGCTTAAAACCAGGACCAGCGTTAATGACAAACATTCTGCAAAGTGTCTGCACAATTTGCTGTTTAAACTCTTGTAGCAAAATGACATCCCAACTTGATTTTGAGACAGAAGTACTGTTAAAAAGAAAAGGCTTCTACGGGAATTGAGAGTAAATCACATACCTCAGGATAGTTGTCACCATCAATCTTCTGAAGCTGAATGATGAGTTCTCGTGCAGACTTAGTGAAGTTTTTTAAACCCTAAAGAACAATTTGTTCAAACAAGAATGCAGAACGTAACAATCTTAAAGAGGTTCCAAACAAAAATCTGATTATTAATAAAGAAAAAAGCAGATATCATACAATTCCTTGCACATCCAAAATAGTAGTACTTGAATCTATGTGTCTCTTTGCAGCAATGGAGCAAGCTGGAAACTTAATCGCAAAAGTCTTTTCAAACTCCTGCACGTGATATCTCAAATATCTTTCTAAAGTGGTCACTTCCATAAGTTTGCTGGAATCAACTTTTCCTAGTCTTTCGATGTAAACGGGTCTACCATCCTTATCTACACCATGATATCCCTGAGGGTAGTACTTTAGAACTTCTTTCAACTCAATGAACTCGAAATCCTGAACAATAAAGTTGTTGACATCTCATAATTAACAACACGTTACACTTTTCATCAGAAGGAAAAGGAAAAACAGCAAGATTGTAAGATACTAACTACTAAGCGCAAGAATAGCCATAATGAGATGCAGAAGTAAACATACCAAAACAGAGAAGGATTGTGTTATTGTTACCTCCAAAATAGTGTCAGTACCGAAGTCTTTCCTCCACTGTAGCATGTTGGCCCACATCTGTTTTGCTTTCTCAACATCAAACTTCCTTGCTTTTAAGAACCTGCAAAAATGTAACTCTTGAGCACTGAAGCTGTACAGTTCTGCTAAGCTGAATCAGCTATGCCTCGTTTAAGCATTCAAGAAATATGTAAATATAGAAACATTAATAAAAGCTCGCACTTCCAATGTGTAAACAATTATAGAACCTCATAAAAGTTTACGAAGACAAAAACCGAACAAGAAACAGCCACCATAGATGCTCATATTAATGCCTATATTTAATTGAATAGAAACCAATATGAACAGTGCAACTATCATTGAAAATCATCCGCCCTCTCATCACTTCTGCAACTGAAATAGAAATTCAGAAAGAAAAGGACAAAAAAATAAAAAATAAAAGAACTAACTAATTACAGGACAACATATGGCAGGTGAAGTCAAAGTGGAGCTTCAAAAAGATCAGGAACACTATATCTTACATCCTAGCATTGAAGACTTTAACCAGCCAACATTTTCCCTTTTTTTTTTTACAGGCCCATCTTAATTTATTTATTGAAGAAACAAGTGGCAAATTACAGAGTCAGCATCTGAATAATATTAGAAAAAGGATGTAACAGCTAAAAAATAACAAAATCCATTCAGAATTTAAGGAAACAAGCAATCATTTAAGTAGTTCAATAAAATAAAACTCACAGTCTAACAAGCAATCGATAAGAGAACATGTCAATAATTAAAATACTGCAGCAGCCCCAAGTATGACCATGTCAAAATAACGAAAATTAACAAAGGCAAAGAATATATTTTATCAGAACAATAATAAGCACTACAAGTGAGCAAGGAACAAAAAGGAACCTCAATAGCATGTGATAATCATCATGCCTTGCAGGAAGCAAATCATCGGCCGTAAGTGCCTGTTTAAATGCATCTACAAGCCGAAGCTCCTCAACATCTCGAACATCTTCAATTGTAGCAGAAACCCCTTCATCACCGCCGCGGCCGCCACCTTTTTTCTTGCTTTTCTTGAGAGAACGCCTGAATTTACTCGACGCCTTCATTGCTTTCTTTTTCAAACTCCCAATTCTAGTCTTCCTGTCTTCCTCTGAGTTATCAAAATCCGATTTCCGATCTCTTTTCTCATCATTACTAGAGAATCCTTCAAAGCCTAAGAACGAAACAAGGAAAAAAAACACTAGTAAGAAATTTAATTTCATGGTATTATAAAAATCCATTATTACCTTTCCAAAATTGCCCAATCTAAAAGGATTTTAACAAATCCTATACTACAAACTGTACTTTCTAAAGAAAGACTGTATGATTAAAGAAATGAAAAATAATTTTTGAGTAGAATTTATGACAAAAAATTAACAGAAACTGGAAGAATTGTCAAATGCAGAAACTAACAATAACCGACAATTCAAATCCCCAGAATCCTATAGACAACGATATTATCAAATCAAATTCAATAGAAAGTCATAGATTGAAGAGGTTAAAGAGAGAGAACTTACAAGGCCTAGCTAAGCGATCCAACGGACTCGACATGACGATAATTTCGAGATAAGATTCCGAAAGAAGAAATCAAAAACCAATTCGATTAAGGACTCTAACCAATTCAATTTTGACGAAATTTCAGCATCTTTTAATGGGCTCCTTGCAGCTTCTGCTGGTAGGGGCAAAAAATAGTCGTAACGGAAGGAGAAGGAGAGTTACGAACTGGGATTTGAGAAACTGAAGAGAATAAAAGAAAAGAAGAGGAGTAGTAATAATTATCTGTGAAGCAATTGAAGTTTATTTTAACTGAAGAAGAGTGGAAGGTGGAAAGGCGGAGAGACGGTGCGTTAGATACGGCTGATCTTTATTGCCCGGTTGTTGATTGTGTTTGTGGGTCCTTTAGCCACGCGGCTATAAGAAGTGGAGCCAGCTGGAGCTTAAGCTTTGGCGGGAATTTTACTAACCGTCACCCACGGTCGTTCGTTTTTTAGATTTGCAACTTGCAATCTAAAACACTCAAAACTTGTTTATTTGGAACAACCAGTTTTTTTTGTTCGACTGACCAAGACTATCCATTTTTTACAGTTTACGGCTAATCGAAATGAGTTTTCTACAATTTTCTTGCCTAACCGGCTTAATGGCGTATTGGAAATCAACTAGCGCATAAGGCTTACACTACGAGCCACATCCTTGTAATAATCATTTTTTTTATCGACAACGTGATTCCCTCGGACCCTCGTTTATAAAAACATTCAGCTGAGATAAAGAAACCTCATTTTTAAGCCTCGGAGCCATCAATATAGACTCTTTAATAAGAAGCCAAGAAAAGGAAGAGAGAGCCATCCGGTCTCTTGCTGTTTTTGTAATTTACAATTACGTATTTGGAAATATTCTGGGTATCACGAATATTCAAATTATAGCAAACGTCTTCCTCACTTCTTCAAATATTCCTAGATTTAAGCGGGCTGCATGGTTGACTTTATGACTCGTGCCCAATTTAAGGGGATAACAGAAACCTCGAGAGTTGAGATCGCGAATGCTCACAGGGTTCGACTTGTAGAATTTGACAAGCTGACATCTGACAGAGACAAATTAAGCTACGACCCACGAATATTAACACGCACAAAAAAAAAGTGCAAGTCATCTTCATTATCATTTACTAGATTTCAAACATTTGTTGGGTGCTGTGATTTTAGATACTTTTGAGACATTTTGGCAAAAACAGAGAATATAAAGCTGTAAAAGGTTTGATCTCAAGCCAATCCATTGCACGATTAGATAGCAAACGGGCATTGCCTTCCCTATGCGCAATATGCAGAAATGAGAAAGTGTCAATTGCTTCCAACATTACATTAGCAAAGTTTATCTATACATATATTCATACATATATTCACATACTTGCTACATACATATTGATAAAGGGGAAAGCGACATAACCCCGCCATCCTCATCAGCTTCCAATAATGGTTATATACACAAGTTTAAGCTGCGAGACCTGAAACAGCCAAGAATAAGTAACGTGTTAGTGAACCATCGAATAAAATCTAACAATTTTTTATTTGAAAATGAATCGCTGATTATAGTTGCACCTGTCATGTATATTTCTTCAAGTTCCTCTTAGCTCGAAATTGACCAAGTTTGTCTCTCCATTGAGCTGGAGCAGAGCATGAAAATTATGAAGATGTGAAAATATTGCAGCAACGGAAATTAGCATGCGGGAGGGGGTTGCAATGCAGTTACAATAGACAGGACAACTTTAGAAGATTTTGGAACCAGATCTTTCACAATGATGAACAGCAGGGAATTATAAAATTTAAAACCACAACATATCACACATCACTTTGTGTTCAATCACAAGTAGTTTATATAGACTTGTCCGTGCAGTGCCATGATATGAGCAAGACCAATCTGGTTTGTTTCCAATTGATGATGGCTATTGGTTAAATAGACACAAAGAAAACAGGCAAAAAGCAATGTGCGAAACAAACTGAAATGAAACATACCAGCATCTCCATAGCGTTCCTCAATGGCAGCTGTCAACATGTTGCGCACAAGATCAAACTCCTTGGTATCAAGACAAGGTTGACCAGTGGGCCTGAACCATATTCATTCCAATTAAACCTTTCTTTCTCAAAGCATAGGCATAATTTAGATAGATTCAAATTCTTATTGTGCAAATTACTAATTCAGTTATCAATCTGAAAAGGTGGCAAAATTATTAATAGTTAACTTTAGATTCACAGACAGTAACTATATTCTACAATTAAGGAAAGGCCATATTAACCTTAGAATATGAACCTACAAAACATTTGCACTTCTACAAAGTCCTGACTTCACATATCTTGACTGGAGCACACGTGCTATTGGATAATAATCTTCTTGCCAAAGAAAGCTGGCAACTTTTCTTTTCAATCCAAAAGGATAAATGAATAAAGGAAAGAAAATATCTAAAGATTCAGCGACTTACTGATCTAGTTCAGTGAATAACAAGCCAGCTGAAGCTGGAGACTGAATTGGCTTTCCAGATTCAGTAACTCTCATTCCATCACTGTACGCCAGGTACTTATTCACTTGAATAGGCACCTGCACAGAACAGGGAAAGATGCAACTCCACAGATCAGCAGCCATGGATAAGTTCGTTAAGTGATTTGATTCCAACGCATGAAAGAATGCTAAAACTCCAGCAGGATGGAAAGCAAAAATTCAAGAAACCCACTAGCCACTTCAGCAGTTGGCCTCTTAACGTTATTTATTTCAGTTCAGTTTGCTACTTAAGCGACTCTACTGCAAATCTTGAAACAAACTTCCTTTTCATTCCTAGAAGATAAATATCAGAAAGTGGCTCTCTTTCCAGTTTCCACTACAGAGAAAGGGAAAATGATGAAGGAAGAACACAGAAACAACGTGAAATCTATAACGATCAAAAATACTAATTAGCATGTAGGTGTCAAAGTCAAGTCTGCATCAGCCAAGATCAAGATTTAGGCATTAGATTAGGGATTTCACCATTACATGCACCAGTGATAAAAGGCAGACATGAAAATCCATTTGACTCAACATTCCATAATAAAGATGTATGCATTACAATAGGCATTTCACATTCAAATATACCAGATACAATGCCACACGTGAAACCCATTTGAGTCAACATTTTTACAGCTTTTTTTAACAGGATTTCAAGAAGGGTTGCACCTTCACGCAGTCAAACAAGGTTTGGCTTTGAATATATCAGTACAGCCAGCAAAATGAGAGGAATTATATCCACACTTTCAAATAAAATAATTTTTACTTTCCCATCATCATGTAACTAAACATGGCACTATTCTTCAATTTTTCACATGAAGGTGGTTCCAGCCCAAAAGGGTGAATGGAGGGAAAAGGGAAAAGGGGGAGGGTGGCAGACAGAATACCTTGCATCTAACTGCAATATTTATGGCATCTGATGGACGAAGATCAAAGCTGACACATTCGGTTTCATTACCAATCTGCAACAACATCAAATAGGGGGAACCGTTTATACCCAAACTTATACAAATTAGTCAAATGCACCATGGACCAATTCGAATGAAAGTATACCTTAGTGAGGTACAACTGAGCAAAGTATGCTTCATGCACTCTCTTAGTAACTCTTACAAGCTTGACCTGAGTATCATAATCAAAACATTGGATTAAATTAGTAGTATTTCAATGCAATGGCAGAAAATAAGGAAAGCACACTCCACATCTCCTTCATAGATTTTCTATGCTGTAGGCTATAATCTGCCATATGACATTAAGCTAGTTTGTACACTTCCATGTTCTCAAGCGTAGCCTCTTATTATTATTATTATTATTACTATCTTTATTTATGAAAAGAAAAAACAAAACGCCAACTTACTTCATAACCCATCTTTTCAACCATCTCCTTCACCACTTGATACATAGTTGGCCTTGCCTGGAAACCGACAGCCAAATTCCTCAGCATTGCTATTTATGAAACAAATCCAAGCAGTTGCCAAAGTCCAAATTTGACAACTCAATTATTTCGAAATAAGAATCCTATCACAATAAGAAAGAAACTAAATACATACAATTTGGACATTTCGCACCGCTGCCATGAGCAACACACTTGGCATCTCCACTGCAATCAAATGTAAATCATCACTTCAAAATGACAATGGAAGCAATAGTCTCCAAAGTAATTCAAAGAATCAAATGCTATACATTTGAAACTATTAAGCATAACGGCAAACATACAAACAATTATTGGGAGAAGAAGACCAGTCCCATCTTCCATCTTCAATACGATTGCAGGATGCGGAGCGTAGTCCGGCAGATGCCCACCTTGAGGATTATTATGGACACATCGTAAGTGCCTCCCATCCCTCATTTTGATCACAAAACCATCCGATCCACTCTTCACCTCAACTACAAGAAAAAAACCCAATTCAAATTAAAAAAATTAACAGTTCACCACAAACAAACCACATTACACAAAACACTTCATTGATTACTCAAAAGATGCTAACAGTCCATAATCACTAAGACAAGATACACTAATGAAGTTTAAAGGCAAAACCATACCAGCTTCGACGACACTGGAGTTGACATAATCTTCATCGTTTTCATTGAAATTCTCTGCTTTACTCCCATTGCCATCTGATGATGAGCTCAAACTACACTGCACTATATTGCATCTTCGCGCTTTTAGTTGCCGAGAAGTAAGGTCCACCTTAGATTTGTAACCACTTAAGCCCTTAAATCCCCACAATTCACTTCTACCAAGCCTAGCCTTGATCAAAGGACCAGTCATTGGAAAACTGTAAGTTCCTGCTTGTTTTCCACGCACAGCAGGGCAAATTACCGGTCCTTGCAATGACCCCATGTCTCCTCTTTCGAAAAATATACAAATTATCTGAAACAGAAATATATGAGGGATCAACAGTGTAATTAAAAGCGAAACTGAGGTGAAATTGAAGATGTACATATTTTTTTAAAAAATACAATTTATGATCGAAGAACCATATCTTTTCCAGAATTAGAAACAAAGCAGGATCATTGAATACTTGAAAATTCCTTCTTGGTTTAAAACAAAATCTTGCACTGTTCAAAAAATTTTATGATCATCTTTTCTACAAATCAAACGATCTGTATTATTAGTCGTAGAATCACGAAACTGAAGATCAAACAAAACCCAGAACGGGAATCGCACCTGAAAAACAACCGATCACTTGTAAACAGTCAAACCTACAGTTTCTCGATCTTGTAGTTACCGTTTTCTTTACAGTAAAAGCAACGATCAAAAGCGAATGAAGTGGGTTTTGGTTGTTGAAGAGAAACTTGTAGAGTAAGGAATTGAAAGCATTTAGAGATAAGAGAAGCGACAAGAGGGATCAGATAAAGGGAATGAGAGACGGTGTGAGTAGATAAGAGATTCTGTTTTTTGGCTTAGAAGAGAGAGAAGAAGAGGCAGACATCAAAGAGGCACAGGAACACCGAGTGATGATATAACTGTAGAGAATGTAAGCAGGCCTTCATTCTATGTCAAATGACAACTTTAGCCTTCTTAGTCTGTGTAATTGCATACCGATGATATTTTAGTAAAACTATAAATTACAATCTCCCTTGAGCTATTACTAGATTTTTTACCCACTATGCTGACGGATTAAATAAAATATATAAAATCATTTAAAAGAATTATTTCAGTTTAATAATTTTTATGATAAAAAATAATTATAATTTTTAAATAAAAAATTTTATATTTAACTATTTCTTATTTGTGTTTTAAAATTTTAAAAATAAATAATAAAAGAAATAAATTATTGGTTTATTTAAAATCTTAACACCCAATTAATTATTGGTTCTTTTAAAATTTTAACATCTAATATTATTAAGAAAACAAAAATTTTTAAAAAAATTCAATGTTTAGGAAAAAAAAAAAAGGAGGGGGAGCAATTGTTTATTGTTCATGTGAACGGTAAATGGATTGAAATTTAAAATAAAAAATTCAGTGTTTAGGAAAAAAAGGAGGAGGCAAGTCGTTTACTGTACAAATAACCAATAAACAGGGAAAAAAAAAAGAAGAGGAACTAAAGCCGGAGGGTGTTGGCCAAAAAAATTAAAAATTAAAAAAATACCGTAGTAATGAACACTGATTAACATTGTTGATTGCTACAATAAAAAAAAATCGTTTTTCTTTAGTATATAGTATAATTTTATAAAAAAATGCCCTTAGCTATTATTTTAAAAGGGATAATTAAATTGCCCATCAAAAAGAAAAGGAAAGATAATTATTTGAAAAAAAAAATAACTTAACAAATTAAGAAGAGATTTTTGAAAAATGATCATGATTATCATGATTTTTTTTTTTGGTTGAACAATATTGATTTCACCGTTTAATTCTGATTTGAGATTTTTTTTTTTTTTACTTCTTCTAATATTTAAATTTTAATTTGATTTTGTAAAGATAACAATTTAGAGGATTTTATGAACAAATTGAAGGTTTTGTAGTATCGTTTCAAATGCGAAGGAAGCTTTTAATAAAGGTCCAATCTTTGAATGTTAAATGTAATTTCACGATACCTTAAAACGATTATTGTAATTTAGTCTTATATATATATATATATATATATATATCGACACAGGAGAAAATGGTAGCCGAGTTGTGGTTTAAAACAATTATAATGTTTGTGTTACAATTTTAATGCTACGTTTTATCATATTTTTTAAAGAAAACGTTTATATAATTGAGATTTAAAAAAAGCTTTAAATATATTAATTTGCATAAAAATCAATGGACAAAGGTTAATTAAATTTATTTTCTAGTGATATTAGATTGTCTTTTTAGCAGGATTTTTGAGAAATAAATTTTATCTAAGATTTGTGCGAATTTTTTTTTCTCAGTCTCTTTATAAATTTAAATCCAAAATTATAACAATCCTTAAAAAAAACTAAAAAAACTGAAGTATTTAAACAATAACAACTGTTCATTTACTGTACCTCAATTCTTTTGGTTTGGTTTTTTTTTCTGGTTTGATTTTTTTTTCCTTTTCTAGGTTGCAAGGCTTAGCGGGGCTATCCTGGCCGCTTGGCTTTTTTTGTTTTTTTCTTCATGTATGGCCTATCCTGCTGCCTGGCCTTTTTTTGGTTTTTGTTTTGTTTTTTATCACACACACGTATATAATCATGAAATTAGGTGTGAAAAATATAAAAAATAAATCGTTATTTTTTTATTTTATGTACAATTTAAAGATGATAAAATATATATGATATTTTTTAAAATTTTAGTTTGAACATATATATGTGATTGTATTACTTTTATTTTTTAAAATTTATTTCTTCAATTATTTGTTTCTTATTAAAATTCTCATCAAATTAATTTTTTAATATAATTTTATTTGTTAATAATTTTTTTATTATTATCTGAATTTTGGAATAAAATTTTGAGAACATCGGTGTTTAATTTTTTTAAAATATATTATTATAATTTATATAATAAATTATTTTTATGCTTTTTAAATGAGTATTTTTATTCTTTAAAATATCTTATTATAATTTATAAATTCTGATCATATATATATACTACTTATAAAACTAAAAGATTTGGAGGTATCACTATTAATTTACTATAGTAATTTTTATTTTTTTAAGAAGGTTGCAAGCATGACCTAGCTCACAGTTATTTATTGTAGCTGCCTGAACAAGCTTACAGTCCATTTATTATAACTTTTCTTTTTAAATTTTTTTTTTTGGTGGCCATGGCTCAAGCAAGTTTGCCGACTCACAAGCCTACACAAGCACTCCCAGCCATCCTTTGCCTTCTTCTTTTTTCCCTTCCAATGATTTATTTTTATATTTTTTTATCATAAAATTAGGTGTGAAAATATAAAAATAAATAATTCTTTTTTAATTTTATGTACGAGTTTGATGGTAATAGAATATATATGATATTTTTTAGATTTTAGTTTGAATATATATATATGTGAATATATTATTTTATTGTTTAAAATTTATTTCTTCAATTGTTTGTTTCTTATTAAAATTCTCATCGAATTAATTTTTTTATTTTATATAATTTTATTTGTTAATAAATTTGATTTTTTTTTATATGTATTTTGGATTAAAATTTTAAAATATTATTTTTTAAAATATATTATTATAATTTATACGATTGATTATTTTTATGATTTTTAAATGAGAGTAATGTAGTTGGATATATAAATTCGATGAGAGAGAAAGGGCTAAAAGTGTATTTTAGATAATTTAACTTAATTTTTTAAAAAATAATAATTAGTTTAAAAAATAATTTGACTCAATTTTTAAAAAATAATTAATTATTTGTTAAAAAATTCATATGTTATGTATATATATATAATCGAATTAATCAAAATCAATTTTATATTAGCTTTTATTTAAATTTATTCACTTCGATATATTTCATGCAATTTAAGTAGGTTTTTTTATATTTTATTTATTTATTTTATATACTTTGAATCTAAGTACGATATATATATATATATATATATATATTCTTGTCATATATAAATTCTAATATGAGAGAGAGAGAGAGAGAGAGAGCGGAAATGTGTCTTAGATAATTTGATTTAATTTTTTAAAATAATAATCGGTTAATAATTAGTTCAAAAAATTCACAGGTTTTATTTGTTTATATATATATAGAATTTATCGAAACCAATTTTAAAGTAGTTTTTAGTTAAATCTATTCACTTCGATATATTTTATGCGATTTAAGTGGATTTTTTTCATATTTTTTTAATTTTTTTATATACTCGAATATGTTAAGTACTATATATATATATATATATATATATATATATATATATATATAGTTTTGTTATAAATTAATTATATCCGCATATATAATACCAATTATTTGTTATTGATTTTTTTTCATGTTCTAAAATCTATATTTTTAAATAAAATGTTTTAATTGATGTTTTGAAAGAAGCTCTTAATTATTCGAATGCATTTTTTATATTAATATTATAAATTATTTTGTTAATAAATATATATATAAATCAAATAAGTTCGTTCAATATATAGATTCGATTTACATTAATCTCTATAAACAAGATATTTACCGATAGCATACCATATGAATCGTTAACTCTACGTATATAATGATTGTTTAATCATAATTTAACAAAGATATCTAACTAGTAAAAACAAATCCATATTGAACCGACTAGATACCTTAATAACTTCATCCATACATATGTGGATAATTCTAGAGCATGGTGGATTCATTATAGCCTCCTAGTACATGGTTTTACTCTATTTATCGTCTTCTACTAGTTGTTCGACGACTCATCATGAGCAATTGAAGAGCTTGAGCAACGTTTGACGAGAGTACTAGTTTAGCGTGTACTAGGAGGAGCTATGCCTATGGGACTACGACTCTAAGAGGCGAGGGAGAGCAGCTTGACATGTATAAGTAGTGGGCATGTTAAGGTAAGTTTTTTTATTAATCAAAACGAATTTAATTATTTTTTAGTTTAAGCCAATATTAAACATATTTTGTTTTTAATTGGTTACTGAATTCTCTTTTAAATCAAATAAGCATAAATTTAATATTATTAAAAAATAATTACGATTGATTATTAAAATTTAATGAAAATTGAATATTAATTCATTTTAACTAAATCAAAATGATTTTCTCATTAGACTACATTTCTTGATGATCAGCTTCACATTATTTATTCTTTTATTCATAAAAACGCGTAAACAGTCATGCTAGCTGCATTGCATTATCTTGACCATCGGACATTAATATATTTGATTGAGGCAACAATTAAATAAAGAAAACTCATTTCTGGAAAGTAAAAATATTAAAATGAATTACAATGAGTCATCAATCAATCATGACCTCGATTTCATCAACGTTTGCTGCTTCTTTCTTTCTATCTCTTTTTTCTTTATATTGTTCAATATGTAATTTAACGTAATTTTTTATTTGAGAATATATATATATATATATATATATTATGTAATTTTTATTTGAAAATTTATATCCATTCATTTTACTTGCGAATTTTATTAACTATAAATTACGAATCTCCTATCGTATAATTATAGCTAGCACTTCTCATCCAAAAGTTAAAAACTCACCAAAAATTATTTTATAAAAAAAATGTCCTTAACTATTATTTTAAAAATGATAATTAAATTGTCTATCAAAAGAAAAAGAAAGATAATTAATTTTAAAAAAAGGAACTTAACAAATTAAGAAGAGATATTGAAAAAATGATCATGATTAATTTTTTTGGTGGATGAAAAATATTGATTTCACCATTTAATTCTGATTTGAGATTTTTTAAAAAATATATACTATTTTTTCTAATATTTAAGTGTTTAATTTGATTTTGTAAAAACTTTTAATTAAGAGAATTTTAGATACAAATAGCTAGAGGGTTTTGTAGTATTGTTTCAAATGAGAAAGAGGCTTTTAAAAAACGTTCAAATTTTGTAGTATTGAATGTAATTTCATAATACCACATAAAATTTATTGTAATTTACCCTTTACAAATTATTCTTTTAGAAAAAAAAGTTATACTGTGAGATATAGAAGAAACGGTAGTCGAGTCGTGGTTCAAAACACCTATACCGTTTGTGTTACGACTTTGATGTTTACGTTTATGATAATTAAAAAAAAACAAGCATTTATTTCATTGAGATTTAATAAAAGCTTTAAATATATTAATTCGTGTATATAAGAATCAATGGACAAAGGTTAATTAAATTTATTTTCTAGGGATATTAGATTGTCTTTTTAGCCTGATTTTTGAGAAATAAATCCTATCTAGATTTGTAAGGTTTTTTCTCATTCTCTTTATAAATTTAAATCCACAATTATAATATTAAAAACAAATCCATATTGAACCAACTAGATACCTTAATAACTACATCCGTACACATATGGATAATTCTAGAGCATATTGCATGCTAGGGATTCAATATGGTCTCCTAGTACATCCTATTACCCTATTTATTGTCCGCAACTGGTTGTAGCAATTGAAGAGTACGTTTGCTTTTATTCCTTTAACCATGTTTGACGAGAGTAGCAGTGTAGCGTGTACTAGGAGGAGCTATGCGACGCCGAGAGGTGAGGGGAGAAGCTTGACATTATTCATACACATAAGTTTATATTACCAGCAACAATGTTGAAGCAGGAGAAGATTGTGTGGTGATGGGACGAGCATATACGTAAGTTTCGTGGCCCGGTGTTTCACTTGCTTTCATACTGAGAAGCAAGGTGAAGCTATGCGAAGCTAATAACAATCGAATCAAAAAGAACCAATCCAACATCACTCCTTTTCATTTTCAATTTAATCCCATGGGTTAAAAAAAAAATTGAGAGGAGTCATGGAAAATTGGGAGCTAGGTCAAGAGAGAGGTTCCTTTTTAGAAAGAAAAATGAAACAAAGAAGGAAAAAAAAACAAGAATAAGAGAAGAGATTAGAGTGTATTGGAAACTAACTAAGATTTTCTCTTCGTCACAGATTTCTTGTTTTAACATATTTCTTACTGCTTATATTATTTTCATGTACATCCCTTGATTAGTGAGATTAGTTAGTTTCCTTATAAACCTTGGATTGGTTAGGCTCCTTGTAATATATAAACATCTTCATCTCAATAAATTATTATTGTCGTTGATACAATTTGTTATGATATTAGAACTTTGATGAACAAACGATCGCAAATTTGAATCCTACTACCTTCACTTTTTTTTTCTAATTAATTAAGCATAAGATAATGAGGATATATACAAGTTTCAAGCCTAAAAGCCTTTCACTCAAGAGAGTGTATTAGAAAATAATACAAATCATATCCCGATACCTCATCTAATGACTTAAGTTTTTAAGCGAGATAATCTTTTAATATGGTATCAACTTTTATGAATTGATTTGATTACAACATTTGCTTTCTAATTTGAGAGTGCCTCGTTCTTCCCCTATACAACTCTATTGTAACAATCAAGTTGTCATGCATATTGCTAATAATCCCGTCTATCATGAATAAACCAACACACATCAATATCGATTGTCATTTTGTTCGTGATTGTATTCAAAGTGGTTTGCTTGTCAATCGATACATTGCTTCTCAACATCGGCTTGCTAATCTTTTCGCTAAAGCATTAGGTAAGCAACAATTCCATTTCTTAATTGGCAAGTTAGGCATTTGTAATCTCTATGCTCCAACTTGAGGGGCGTATTGAAAAGCTAACCTAGATTTTCTCTTTATCACACATTTCTTGCTATTTGTATTATTTTCATGTACGTCCTTTGATTAGTGGGATTAGTTAGTTTCCTATGTGAACCTTTGATTGGTTAGGCTCCTTGTAATACATAAACATCTTTACATCAATAAAGTATTGATGCGGTTGATATAATTTGTCAAAGTGATTAGGAGTCTTGTGGAAGAACAAATCCGTCTCGAAGAAGATAGAGGGGAGAGGGAACCATTTTTTGTTATATTTTTTTTTCTAAGTTTTTTTTTCTTTTTAATTTTCTATTTTCAGCTAATTTTTTTATTATTTTTTTAATTCATGTGGTAAATTAATATGACATGGCAGGTCACGTGAATTATTTTTTATCAAGTGTCAGTTTCAATTAGAAAATTAGTCAAAAAGCAATTAGAGAAGCCACGTTAAGAAAAAATTAAAAATAAAAAGTGATGATGAGTACAAAAAAAAAAAACAAAGACCGCATTGAAAAAATCAGAATAGCATAACTCATTGTTCATTATTCTATCCGTAAAAAAAACTAGTAAAACAGTCATGTTAGCTCCATTGCATAATCCTGACCATTTGATGTTAATACATCCCAATTAGACAACACTAAAAAAAAACTCATTTCTCCAAAGGAAAAATATCAAAATGAATTACAAGGAGTCATCAATCCATCGTGACTCCGATCTCATCAATGTTTTGTGCCTTCTTTCTTTCTATCTCTCTCTTTTTTTTTTTTTTTTTTTGTATTTTTTAATATTAATTTAACGTAATTTGTTATTTAAGTGTGTGTATATATATATATATATATATATATATATATTCTCTACTTGTGATTCTTATTTTCTCAATATTAGATATACTCCTTCTATAATGTTTTTATTTGAAAAATTATACACGTTTATTTTTAATTGCAAGCAGTGTACGATTTTTCTTTTGTCCTGTTTAATTACAAAACTTTAGGTAGTTCATTAATTAGGAAGCAAAAATTTTACCACAAATTGCACGCTAATCTTTTGTCTGTAGACAAGTATCAAAACAACTAAATATACTTGATATTAAATATTTGACAAGATTTTATCACATCTTATTTTAGCATTATGGAGACGTTCAAATATACATTAGGCTGTAGTATATTGTTAAAATAAAATCTAAAATATCCAAATCAATTTTGGTAATAATTTTTTTAAAAAATTTCGAATAACAGATAATTTGGATAATATATATATAAAAAAAAACTGGGTTATGCAGATTATAATATTATTTATGAATTTTTAAAATTAACGAACTTTTAATTTTCTTGAACCTAATTTTGGCCACCCATCAAAACTTTTTCTTAATTAATTGTGATTTTCTAGTATTTCAAGTAAAAAAAAATTAATGGATTGATGATTAAAAAAATTTGGTCACCCAACTTACATGATAAAAAAATATATATATATCAAATAATATTCAGGTATTGCCCGAAATAGCAATTTATCCCAATTCTCCGATCATGGGATAGAAAGGAAAAAAGTTGTCATACGCGGTGCTCAGGTTAGGCCATTCTCATTTAAATACACTGCCTGTCAAAGTGGACCAGAAAACGTCTTTTGCGCACTTTACAGAAAGATTGCCCTGCCAAATTAGCAATGATGTGGTTTGTCTGATTCCGTGCTGTTAAGAAGGAAAAAATATTCCTAATATTAATGTAATATAGTTGTGAGTATAAGGGTATTGTTGGTATTTGATCAAATGGATAAAACATACGGACTGGAGCTGGAACCGTATTTCTGCGAGGTGACATCATTATTGGCTAACTAGCAGAATAACATTGCGGGCGGCCGAAAAAATCAAGATGCCCATATGACTGCCGCGTGTAAAATTATTCCACGTGGCTATCTGGATAAGGCTCTCCTCCTGTAATATCAAAATTTTTGGTTTTTTCTTAAAAATATCAAGTATCACTGCACTCGTCTGTTTGACATGTTAAGGTTTGCTGGTGATCTCCTCTGGTGGAGTCCTTTTTCAATCAAATTATAGAAAAATGTATTTTTTATTTAAATTCTAAGTTTTATCTAATAAATGGAAACATGTTCTTTTCTTGATTACAAAGTTCAAACGTTATGTTTTAGTAAGATCATTATCTATCCCTTAATTCAAAATATATTTTATCAGATCATAGACATAAAGCTGTACATGATTTTGGGCTCAAATGTTGGTACACATGATTTGATTAAGCCATCTCACTATAGAGACATATAGAAAATTAAAGTCTACGAGTGGTTTTTTAGTGATTAGTTAAACATATAAGAACAATTTGATAAATTCAAACCATGATTAGGTGAGCACAGGGACAAGTAAAAGCCGATTCACAAGAAACAATAAATTGTAAATTTGCATAGTTGGCATGTCGTTTTCAGACACGGGTTATTCCTGTGGGCTTATTACAAGGGAAGAGTCGAGATTAAGGCACGGTCCTTGTATGTTACAATATAATTTAGAATAAAAAATGAATATAATTTGTAATTTTTTTTAATGGGTATATATTAATATGTTCACAAGGTCTATTCTAAGCTTCATAGTCGTGACTGTAAGATTAGAATAAATAAATTAAAAAAATCATGTATAAAATTGGCAATTTTTTATTTCAAAAGATTTCATTATTTTCACAGGGGAATATAACTATACAAGCATGTTTTATGATTATTTTAGAACTCTTTAAGGAGTCGGTGACAGATAAGAGATGAGGTTGTCTTGCTAGAAGTTAATTCAACGCCCTTAGTTCAAATAACAAATATAAATATAAATAAATTTATTTATTTTTATATAATATTAAAAAATTTATATATTTTTAGATTTTCAATCACATCTTATTTGTCTCTAAAATTTTTAAAATATTCAATATATATTTTCGATCAAATAAATAGATTTTTTTATCAAAATACTTTTTACCAAAAAAATATATATATATATATATAAATTAAAATCACATGACATTTATATTTCATTTTTAAAGTCTTTAAAATTTTATTTTTTATTATTATTTTATATTTTGGTAAAAAAAAAATTGATCAGAATGATAGATTGAATATTTTAAATATTTTTAGAGATAAATGATATGTAATTAAAAAATTAGAGATATATGAGAAATTTTAAATATTATACAAGATAAATAAATATATTTATCTTGGATATAAAACATCAGAAACAATAATTAAATATTTCTTAAAAGGTTCAAATGATTTCTTTCTCCTAACCCTTGGTAGATGAAATGATAACACGATCATTAAAATGATAAATTGCACCAGATCGAGCATAAAAGATAGCCCATTAGGTACCTACAAAAATTAGGACTCAGCGGATCCTTCAAGCAGCCTGCTATCTTGAGTGCTCAGGTTTTGAACCTTCTAGTTGAATGCATCATCTTCTTTGATAAAGGAAAAGGAGCAAAATAAAAATAAAAATAAATAGTTGAGATAATTAAAAAAGCTAAATGTACACAACCCCTTCGATTATTGGTCAAAATACCACTAATCCCTGAACTAAAGTTTCGCGTCACTAACCTCTAAACTAATTGTTTAATTTAATTTAATCCATAGGATTCCGTTTAATCACTAACAGAATATGTCACAGTGAATAAAAAAATTCTATTCAAATAAAGCAATAAGTAGATAAAAAAAGATGGAAAGAAACTGAGATGACAATGTGGCTGCAATTGAGGTAATGTTAGGAAGGACAATGTGACAAATATAAAACAAATACTCATTTTATTCGATTCAATAAATATTTATAAAAAAATATTCAATAGGTATTAGAATAAGTTAGGGTAAAAAATACATATCTATTAATATAATCTTAAGATATGTATACCTACTTTTTACATTATCAATACCTATTAATTTATTTTAATTTTTTATTTGCATATAAAGATTTAATTGTATAAAATTTAAAAATCAAAGACAAAAGTATTTTTTTCAAAAACTTTGAGGATCAAAAAAACTGATAAATAAATTATCAAAACGCAAAAATAAAAGTGAAAATAAAAATTAAGAACCAAAAAATCTTTTCTCAAAAATTAAAGAGACTAAAATGAAGATTTTTGACAAATTAATTTTAGCAAGGATCAAACGAGTACTAAATAAACACATAAACTAACGTGGACTGCATATTAACCGAGTAAAGATTTATATACTAATTTCAAAATAAGTAATGATTAAAGTAGTTTTTATAAATAAAATAAAAGATTAAATTAATAAATTGGGTACTCTTCATTGTTATTTTTAGGTAAGGTGGAGCAAGGATGGGTAAAAGTGGCAGTGGAAAGGGGATGATGCGATTTTAAAGGGTGTAGAAGAGAGGCTGAATAGAGTTTTTCTGTGTTACACTTGATATATTCCGTCGATAATTACCAAAACCTTACTTTGAATTAATGGATGGACTAAATAAAGTTAAAACAATCAGTTCAGAGGTTAATGATACGGAATTTTCAATCCAGAAACTAATAGTACAATAACCAATAGTGGAGGGATGTTTTGTCCAATTTAAACTAATTAAAAGATAACTTTTTTTTCCCCCTCTTATGAGGAGGAAAAGGGCGACGTAATTACGTATTTATATATGACTTGCTTGACTCTTCCAATTTGTCGTACTCCACTGAACATGATCACAAGCACAACAAACCATTATGTTTTCTATTTAAAACTAAACAAAACTTCAATTATCTAGATGCATACGAAAAGAAAGAGATGAGGCTATTTGTTGTACGAATCTCTTTTTCATCTAACAATCAAAAAGTTATATTATTGTTAATTTTAATTGTAAAAAATGGATTAGTGATAAGAATTTTAGATTTTAATATCATTTTTCATACCTCTTTATAGCCATTATAAAATTTAAGCATGTTTTCTCGATTTTAAAAATATAAAAGTTTAGAATATCCGAATTTAAAACCAGTCTACATCCACAAAAAAATGGTTGAAAACAGTATGTTTCTCCATTTTTTTTAAGAAAAAAAAAACCATTGTTAATCTTAATAAATAAACAGTTTGAAGTCCTTGTCTAAAGTGTAAATATCGGCTTGAATCAAGGGCGAGTTTAAGGGGTGGGTGATGTGGACCAATGCCCACGCTACCTTCCCTTCACATCCATAAACAAATAAATAATAAATAAATAATATTAGAGTTTTGCTGAGTAAATTATAAATTAGTCCCTCTAGGTTTCAAGAAATAAATTAATTAATCCCTTTTGTTTCAAAAATTATTATTTAATTTTTTAATCAGCATTGCCCATGCTCAATTTAATATTATTTTTATTCTATAAAATTTTTTATTTTATCATCAATCTTTTTATATTTTTTTACATTTTACATTTTTCTATTTATTAAAATAAAAAATCAAGATAAATTAACTAAACTACAATTAAATTTCAAAATATACAGATTAAATGATTAATTTTTAAAACAAGAGAGACTAATTAATTTATTTTCAAAACAAGAGGGACTAATTTATAATTTACTCGAGTTGTGCTCCCAAAAATTTGTTTCTTTAGTTACATTTGCCACCATAACTTATATTTTTTTTGGTTCCATTTGCTCCCAAAATTTTAGTTTAATGAAAAAAATGTTACCACCAAATAGTATTGATTTCTCAAAAATACATGTTTTTGACAAAAAGTAAAAGGTTGTGTGCGTATTTTTATTTTTTTAGGTTAATTTATATATATAAACACACACATGTTTATTTTTTATTTTTTTTTGGTAATTATTAGTAAATTTATCCTCATTAAAAAAATATTCCTGAATCCGCTATCATTTTGAACTAATTTTCTGTGGATGATGGTTTGAATGATTTGAATCTGCATTTCATCGGACCATATTAGTTAAAGGCAATTGATATATAATTTATTTGTAAGCTGCATGTCAAAACTCAACCCATCGCCTTCCAAACGACGACCACTGCAAATGGAAAGGTAAGTAGAGAAAGGCCCAATGGGTTATCTACTTTAAAGAGTCCTTTATCAAAGCTGGCCCACGGGACATAGACTTGCTGCTTCTCTACAATCACAAGTGCATTTTATCTAATTTCAAATCCGTTTCATTCTACTTCTCTTAACCGTACAATTCCGTTCGCAAGGGAGACATCCGGGCTATTAAGATCTGGGATTTTGACTTGAAAGATCTTAGTTATAACCTAAAATAGGTATACAAAGAGGCTTATTTTAATGATTCTGTATTCAGTTATTTTTTCTAGTGAAATAAAATTTGAGTTTTAATAATCTTTTTTTTTTTTTTAATGATTATATAATGAAAAAAACTATCTTCTATTGTATAGTCAAAGAAAACTAAATTAACCGGTAGAATTCATTCGATGCAATCCAAGGTTTTTTGAGCCTCCCATTAAACTTGAAAATAAAAAGAAGATAAAACCCATGAAAGTTTGCTAGGTCCCCAAACCCCCCCCTCCCCCCACAACAACACACACACACAAAAAAAAAAAAAAAAAAGGAAACAAAGTAAGAATAAGAAGAGGTAGGTTAGCTGTAATTTTCATTCATTACTATGCAAGGTAAATTTCAATCCATTATTGATTAGGGTGCCTATCAATCCTGTCAAGTTTCGGCAAAGTCCATTGCTTATGAATCAGGCAATACCACAAAGTCCTTGAAAAAATTCAAACGCTAATAAGTAGTGTCCTGAGATTTTTAGTACAGCATGTATCACATCGGCTACCCTGGAAGGACAGACTAGAATTTATAGGCACATTAGATCGTTTTCAAGAGATATTGTATAAATTTAATTCCAACCATATCTTCTTGCCATCAAAACGTCAATGCTTAATCTGATGGGAAAAATTCCAAAAAAAAACTCAGCCGAGCCCCCACAATGGTTATATATCTGTGGCATAGATTTAGTCAGTACAAAGGAGGGGCAAATCCTCTTTTGAAAAGCCTTGCTGTGCCAAGTACCGACAGCTTCAAACCAGCCCAACTTTTGTCCTCAATAATTGATCGGACTGACTAACTGTTGTGGGCTCTTATGGACTTATGGTTCCTCAAGCACTTGCCAACTCAAATTTCTACGAACCAAAAGCCAGGATGCATAAAATATTAACAAATTAACAGCACAAATTTACTGTTAATTTGTGCCGATATATAGCATCTTCTGCCAATAAAAGGACATTGATGGTTGATTAAAATGAGGCCAAGGTGCTTGAATTTTTCATAAAAAGCAACAGTTCCTTAAAATGTTACATATGAATTTGTTACCTGATTGTTAATGGATCAAATTTGGTCCACCCCAGAATCCTTACTTTTTGCAGGATGACCAAATTTGCTCCACTAAACACACTGGAGAAGGATGTGCTACATCAGAATTAATCTTTGCTCAAAAGTGTTAAAAACATAATTGCTTAAATCCACATGGTTATGTCCCTCCACCAAAATTAGGTGGTGGCCAGATGCCTCCACCCCCACCATCACTCGTTACGTAAGACATGCAAGAAAGGGGCACCAGGCAGAGCCCTCGGCTTCTTAGGTCTCTCTTTGGTTCTTCATGCCCCGAAATCGAAGCCTGAAACGATTGCAATATATATATAAAAAAAAATGATAGAACTAATTACATAGTATGCTAAACAGATGATCCTTTAATCATTCTACTCCTAGCTAGGAATATATAATGGCCTAGAAAATAGTTCCTTTCTTTTTGTATTTATTTTCCGGTACATAGGGCCTATAATATATTAATCAGGAAAAATTAGCATAAGCAAGATCCAAACCCTAGCTATGATGTATGGTAGAAAAATTGGGTATCTATACACGTAGACATAGTCTAATAATTATGTATTTAATAGTTTTTTTTATTTTAAATAAAGCAGAATCGAGTGCTAGAAATTCTAATTTATTTGATTATTATATAATAATAAAAAAACTATGTATTTTTTTATTATACGTAGTTCAAAACCTACAGACCTCTTGATAAACCATCTATATATATATTTCAACTCCTATTTAATTTTGTCATGCTTATACCAAGGATCCAGTGAAGCAATGCTGACTTCAAAATCAAGCAAAAAGATTGGTTCTACTTCAACTTCCACTATATACATCAATTTTGTTCAATTAATATTTTGGAAAGTCAACGAAACAGCACTTGATGCCTCTGGTTAACCTAATTCCAATCAAACTTCAAAAAAGGACATCAAGTGTGCATTCATATTTTTCGTGTTGTGAGGTGTTAGAAAACCACTTTCATACCGTTTGAATGCTTCTACTGGTCTTGTTGCGGGATGACTTCATATATGGAACACTCAACGTCTGCAAAAATTAATAAAAAAATATATATATTTATCACAACTATGTTTTTGTGCGCAAATTAGCATATATCACAAGCACTTCCATTTGCTGTTATTTGAAGCGACATCGATCACGAGATCGAATTTCACTCACTTAAAATGAATTAAAGGGTAAACGGAATAGACTTATTCAGGATGCAGGTCACGAGGAAATAGTTGCTATGTCACGATATTTAGACTGATCAATATGTCAAATATTATTGTAATCTCATCCATCATCCCGATTTTAAAGGATTTTTTTTTTTTTTTTTTGAAAAGCTAGGTTTAAATGAATTTAAACGCGTTTCAACTACTTTAATTGATAAAATCAGTTTGAGATCTTCTTTTTTTCACTTAATGGGACTTGAACAACATACTACAGTACCATTCCCCCCTTGGTATAATCCAAAACCCCTTTCAAATCTTAATCATTAATGTGTAATTCCAGCTTGGTTATGAATGGAAAAGGCAAGGTAAAATGATGTGAAACGTTATCATCAATACATAGGCTAAGTTAATAAAATGATGTTTCAAATTATATATATATATATATATATATATATATATATAAGAAAAGATTTTACTTATCCAAGGTAATCTTGAGTAATAAAACAAAACACATTTCTATTCTATCATCAAACTGATTCGTAAGGCGATCAGAAGGCATGGATCTCATGTACATATTCATATCATAATCATAATCAGAGAGATGCTAAAGAAAAAGGAAGAGAAGAAAAATGAAATCCTAATGAAAACCCTAGCTAGCATTTGTTGACGATTTTTCTTCTAGAGGAATGTGGGCACTTTAGTCTTTGCCCTAGTTTTGACCAAGGAGTAGTCTAGCTAATACTTGAAACATCCTAGTCCATTTTTTAAGAAAAATATGGGTGTGTCAGAGTAGGAAATATAATTTAGTCTATGACAAAATCTTAGAAGAATGTTGGGAAAGTGGAAAATACCTCGACCTGGTTTTGAAGGAATTTGATGTATCCAATAGCCTCCATTAGCACAGATGCTGTGTCTGTCTGCAATATTCTCCCAATCCCACCCACATGCAAAATTACACGTTACTTTCTCATTCGCAAAAACATTTTTTAAATTAGGTGGAGCATATATATTCTCATGAGCTGGCTTCTGATATATGTTTCCCACTCTATTTTTTTATATAAAGTTATTTGTTTTTAATGCAAGAGTTTGATTTCAAATTAACTTAGATTTCTAACATAAAATTAGTAATCCCTTTGTGATTATGATGATGAGGGTACTGAAATAGAGGCACAGAAAACTGAGATTATACCTTTCCAAAGGGTGCAACTAACTGCTGCAAAGTTGCAATTCTATCTCCTAATTTCTCTTTTCTAACCTGTTAAACACCAAGGTCACAAACTGAGACAAATCGCACAGGAAACGAAAAACGAAAAAGAACCATAACACTTGTGTTCTGCAAATGCTATTCAAATAATTTAGGTTTCCCACCTTAAAAGGAGGGCAGGAAGCGCGTGAGTCCAATCGCGATTTCTTTGGTGCAGCTTGTGTTGCCTTTGGTTCCATCAAGCTGTTGTTGGGCCTTTTAGCCTCTGTTATTTCACTGGTGGAGGAGGATATCTTTGAAATACAAAGAGTACGTACTAATAAAAATCAGTTCAAAGATCGCTCAAAAAGTCATTTTAAGAAAAGAAGATAATAAAGAGTGATTCTCCTGATAAAGAGATCCATACAATGTTTAAAGCTGAAAGTACCCCTCATGTAGCAAAAAGAGATGGATGGCTAGTTAGCTTGCTAGCTAGCTATTCTTTTGGTGCCATGATTTGCTCAAGAATTTTTTTTTAATAAAGGGTTTTAACTTTTCAATTTGACTATGAACTTAGGGTGATAACATAGTTGAAATTTGTTAAATCTTTTAATCATGTTACTTATCTACTAAGATTTACTATTCTAGATAATACACAATGGTTTCTTAATTCAGCATAATAAAACTAGCAGCCAGCTGCTCCATTAGAACAAGTTCTATTAATTACTACATGATTATTTTGTCTGAAAATTTTGAATTTGCTAATCAATTTAATTCCGGTATACTCAATGGCCATATAATACTAAATAATTGCCAAAAAAAAAAAAAAAACTAACATCTAGAATGCAGTCATAACCATTCTGCGCATGCCATGGTTGCAGAAGCTGCTTGCTGTTGCTTAAAAAATGAATAAAAAGAAGAGGGAAGAAGAAACCTTACTTTACTAGGGCTACATGATGGCCTCTGATTTGATTGCTGCATACGATCGAGACCAAAAGAAAGACTGTCTTTGAACATGTCAAGAGGATCAAGAGAAGGTTGGGCAAAACTTCCACTAAATCTAGTGGGGGTTAAGAGATCCAAGGCCTGCAAGTTCATGTCAAAGGAACCTGACATCAAGGGTGAAGATGGCTGATTCAAGTTTGAAATATTTACACTAGGATATATCTGACTAAAGTTCCCTCTGCTGGGCATAACACTTCCAAAGCTGGAACAGTTGTGATGAGTAGAGGAAATCTCTCCGGGTGAAAACTGATCATGGGCATTGATTGGAAAACCGGATGAAATAGTCTTGAGAAGGAGCTTTTCACTAAGACTGAGATCCTTATGCTCGTCTTTAATGTAACTTGAGGAGGATAGATGTGGATCTTCTATGGTGCTTGAAGGGCTATTTAACATCTCAGTGAATTTGGGAAAGGAATCTGATGATGAGAGCTCTTCTTTGATTTTTGAAAGTTGTAGGTAATCATAGGCTGAATGGCTACTGAAGTTGCCAGCATTGTTATTCCAGTAATGAAAGCCTAGGTCCTGAATCATGGTGCTGTTGAGAGAAGAGATTGGACTCTCATTTTTCTCTCTTGAATTGAAGATAACTCCATTATAGTTTGGACTTAAGTTGCCAGGATTCCTGCATAAACAGTTCGAAGAAAATTAATATGAATATATCAAAGAAATCCCTAAAAATTACCAGTTCAAACATGAAAATTAGTAGCAAGAAACCATAATATTACTCTCTAAAAATGAAATGGAGAAAACAACACTTATCTAGTTTTTAAAATAGATACCTAGCAGGGTATTTGGTCCTGGACTCCAAATAAAAATCATTTGATCGATAATTAACAAAGAACATAACATACTTCAGGTTTTCATTTCTAGGCAGTTTGATTGATGTACATCAAATCATATGTAAAGAAAAGAAAGAAAGCTAAAATAGAAAAAGGAGATTCCAAAATCTAAAGTTAATTTATGTTGGCACTGTGAAATATACTAAACACTCATTGTGGAAAGCTTACAGTTTAGGGAGAGAGAAAAGAGAGAGAGCTGAGGATAATTACTCACAAAGTGACGGTTTGGGTCCAAGCATGGGTGCTTCCGGCCTCTGCATAGCTAGACGGGGCAGTAGTAGCTAAAGAAGAAGACCCAACAAGCTGGTCTTGAAGCGGATGTTGGTGATGGAGATTTGCAGACTCCATAATGACAGTTTATTTTTTAAAAGGCTTGAAAATCCCAAGATGAGTAATTAAAATTTAACTATCTATGGCTCGCTAGCTCCAGGAATCTCTCACTCTATTCAAAGAAACAGTTCAGGTGACACCCACACACCTTCTTGCTTTTGGAGACCCACTTTTCTCAGTTTGGTCTTTACTCTTTCAAGTTCCATCTAAAGTAGTCTTGAAAGAAAAGTAATAGAGCATGAATAACCCATCTCCATACCTCTTTCTGACTTTAATTATTATTTTTCTTTTCTTTTTTCCCTCCAGCTTCTCAATATATATATAAGATTAATCTCTCTCTCTCTCTCTCTCTGTGCTCTCAGAAATTACAGGGAGATGATTATACTTCCTCTACGTTATGATTAAGATCCTGCCTTCGATCCCAAGGCTTTCGACAAAGGTCTGAGGAGAGAAATGATAAAAACCATGCTCTCTTAGACACGCACACACAAACAAAGACACACTTCACCACATGTCTAATGGTGTCCACACACATATTTATATGCACATTTCATCAAGCAAGCATCCTGTTCCTTGAGCAATTAAAAGTTTTATGCACCTATAAATCAAGGGACAATCTGTTTTTTGAGGTATGAAAATTTCAACTTGAAAGTCTTGGATTCAAATTCCTTAATGATTTTATATCACTTGGCAACCATATGTCAAAGTACTTTTTGGACTTTTTTTTTCTTTTATGAACTAGAAAATTATATCATAGACAAACTAGTAGGGCGGTGGTACCAAAAAAAAAAAAATTACAACCAAGCTAAGAAGTCATTAGACCTTTGTAGGCTAGACTGAACTAGAGAATCAGCTACATAGTTCTTTTTTCTCTGAATATGAGAGAAAGAGACAGATTTTAAACAGAATATAGAATTAAAAATATCATTAAAAATAATCTGTAATTCCAAGATTTAACAGCTGAATTTTTGTGTATCAAAGCAATATCATTGGCCGAATCTGACTCTATATCTCAATAGACTTGATGAGTTCAAGGAGAAGTCGCAATAATTTCCAATGTTGGCAAAGCTGAAAAAGTACATGTGAAATTTTCATAGTGATCAGCTGGTTTGCTCAACGAAGTGTCATTCACATTCCATTTCAAAGAGCCAATATGAGAAGAAACCCAATTAGTTGCCGCTCACATTTTGGCCAAATTAGTTCACATTTTTATATTATCAGAACTTCTATTTAGATTATTTTGTGTATAGATAGAATTTACATAAAATCATTATTGTTTTTATGCTGAAATTTAACTTAATTAAATTAAAGAAAAATAATGAGATTTGAACTCCTAATAACCTGGCAAAAAAACTTAAAAAACCATCTCAATTCAACTGGTTACAAAAACCTTTAGTACATATAAAGAGAGTTAGGTTACAGCCTCACCCATACATTAACTCAAGGTTTGGTCTGGACTGTCTTTGATGGAATCAACGAAGACATTGAATAATTTCTCTTAATTCAAATAGGCTAATTTGAAGATCAACGGAACTTAGGAAAAAAAATTCGGATAGACATGTCAACGCTAGCTAGATCAAATGAATAACTTGGTTAATCAAATCAATTTAATGATTAGAGTTATAAAACAGTACTCCGTAGAGAAAGAGAGCTTAGAGCCGATGCAAGATCGATAGGCTTCAGTTTCAGTATCAAAAAACAAACAGAATCAAAATAATTTTGAAGTAGATTCGTTATGGAATCAGAAGGATAATTTTAAAAGGTATAATCGAATTTTTTTAGCGTAGACCGGGTGACCAGTTAGAACCAATCATACTCTCTCGAGTTGCTACAGTTACGGGTTGAAATGGTCTGATCTTGTGCGCCAACAGTTGAAACTGTGTTTTTAACCATTCCAGTCTCCCAGCACTTGCTTTCTTATTCGAGCAATTGCTTTAATCACAAGCAGTCGATGAAGTCCACAAACGTTAATTAGTTTTACTGCAAAGATAAATAGATAATGCAGTTTTACATGTCTAGTTTATAGTTTTGCCCTTTTGGTGGTTCAATATTTTACTGAATTAGGGCAAATTGTTGGTTGCTAATATTAAAACATAATAGAAGATTCTAAGATCACTCTAAGGTTTTTTCTGGTTCTGAATTAGGGCATATATAATAGCCAATTACCTATACTACACTCGCGGGTCGGATATAACAAAATTATTATAAATTTTTTTTAAAAAAAATTAAATTTTTAATTATTTTTATTTTATGTTTTTCATAAATTTTCAACTTAAAAAAATATATATGATTTATTCTTCTTTTTGCAATGGTTCTTAAATAAAAACTTGTAATAATTTAAAATAAAATATTAATCAAGAATTAAAAAATACTTTAAAAATATATTTTTTTCATAAAAAAATATATCAAAAAATAAAGTTACAATTAATGTATACACTTGTATAAAAAATAACTAACTAAAAATAAATTTTTATTCTTATTTAATACCGATAAGAAGATTATTTTTTTAAAGTATATATTTTAGCACAAAAAGCTGTATTTGAATAATTATGTTAAAAATTATTTTATTTTTTTTCAAAAATATTATTTCTATAAAAAAAATTATTCGTAGTAAATAGTTGATGTTATGTGTAAAGATGCATAGTTAATTTTTAATAAAATTAAGGATTCAATAATTTTTTTATACATGTCGACCATACCTAATAAACTGAAACAAATTATTTAAAATATAATTTTAATATTTTAGATATATATAGATATATATATATATATATATATATATATATATGCAATTAACATTTAAAAATTCATAATAAATTTTTTATCATTTTTTAAAAATCAATTTTAAAATTTTATTCTAAAATTCAAATATAAAGAAAAATAAATTAATTGGATGAGAATTTTCATAAGAAATGACAAATTTAAAAAATAAAATTTAAATAATAAGAATAATTTAATCTGAAATATATGTTAATTTTAAAATATAAAATAACAAGTATATATATTTTATTCTTTTCACATTGCATAAAAAGCACAAATAATAACTTTCGATATTTCATAATTTTTTACTTAAAATTATTAATTAAAAATTAAAGAAAATAAGAAAAAAAAGTTGTAGGCCTCGGCAAAAAACAAAAAAAAAAACTCTTTTGAATTTTCGACGACCATTGCAATTTCCGGCGAACTTGATTTCGTCAAAAAAGTCATCGAAAAGTCGAGTTTCTTAATTTTTGACGTCCCTAAACCAAATTCAGCTCTATTTTTATCCAAAAACACCTTAAAATCATATAATCAACATCAACAAATTTTCTTGTTTAATACCTCAAAACTTATTTTAATGCATACAAAACATAAAAAAATTAAATCAAAATAAAAAACTTAAAATATTTTTAAATCTTGATCTATCTACTCCAACTATTTCATGTAGCTTGTTACCATCATAAAAAGATTTTACTCTTCGAGAGAAATAAATTAATAATAAGCTTGATCGTTTTTTTTAGTATTATTAGTAATATAGTTGCAGGAGGAATTGATGCCTTTTATTTATATGAATAGAAGGAGGGCAATGCCGCAATGGCCTAAAAGAATACAGTTATGGCATCCTGGGGAAGGAATTGATGCCTTTGAAAAATGAGTCTCGTCATAGCTAGGTACACCATTGAATCAGCAAGTCATTAAATAGATTTGTAACAGTCTTGAAGTACCTTTTCTTTTCTTGAATGCACTTGTTTCTCAATTGTCTGGCTTTACATATGACATGAAGAAGGTGGCACGTCTCCAGATGCATGCCTTGAAGAAAGGCACCAGTACTGCTCGAACCTCTGAATTTGATTGGACATTTCATAGTCTCGACTAGCTCCTGGAACTTGGTCTGCTCAATATTTCAGGAAACTTGCAATAATAATCAAATACTATCATCTCGTCATGACGTGAGTATTTGCTAGTGAAGATTTCAGAAAATATTAACCGAAGCAAAATTATAAATGCCAAAAAATAATTGTAATTTAAAAATTTAAACCATTAGATAAGATAAAAATATGATTTATATTATTTTATAATATATTTTTTCTTGAAATTAAATTTTTTAAATTTGAAATTTACATTGACCTATACTATTTTGTATTCAATTAATTATAATTCTTTAACACACTTTCTTCTCAAGTAAAATTCTTTTGGGATTAAAATTTATACAAACTCATACTATTTTGTGTTTAATTAATTAAAAAGAAATAAAAATAATGAGATTCGAAATTATGATCATTTGGTCATTAAGACTTTATTATTATGTCAAAAACTATTTCAATCTAATAATTTTAAATGTTAGATGAAACTCTAAAATATAATTTATATTATTTTCTTACAATAATAAAAATACTAGACTCATTAATAAATGATAAATAATAAATTTCAAATCTTGAAAGTAGAAACGAGATAATATTAGTCCATTTATCAAATGAATTTATGATTTAAATCTAATTTGGGATTTATATTTTGTTTTCCGATTTTAAATTTTAAATTATTTATAGTATCGATATATACAGGATATAGATAGTTCTAACTTCTATGTTACTAATATCAACCTACAACATGCAGAAAAATACTGAAAATTATCAAAGGAAAAAAATATTCTCTACTGATCTAATATCGCCGTGCGTAAAGCTAGCTATTTGTACCAGGATAACCATTGGCAAGTACATGTAGCTCTTCGCCCTTGTCCAGCTTTCATTGGAGTCAGGACTTATCATAGCCCTCCATGCATCGAAGTTCTGGCCAAGGATTTGCTTATAAAAAATAGAGTTGTGATATATGTTAAAAAAAAAAATCAACATAATTTTACAGAGATAATATTTTTTAAAAAAATATAAAAAAATATTTTATTTCAATAAATATTATGTCATTTAATATTTTTATTTTTTAAATTTACCTATAAAACTTTTTTATTTTTAAAAATAATATCTATTATCACGATGTAATCAAGTATTTTTCTCAAAAATAACATTAAGGATATATATATATAT